CTTTGGCTGGCTGGGTACAGGGACTGATCCCTCCTTCCGCGACCCCCAGCGTCCGTGTCCCAACCGTTGACCCACTTGGAGCCAACAGAAGACGCTAGAGAAGACGCTAAGAGCACGCTAATCACGCAGGCTACTGTGCTAGCGCAACTTGTTGGTTCACGGGCAGTCATTTTTTTTCGCTTTCTGCCCTCCTCGGGCGATTGCCCAGTGTGAAGCTCGCCAGGGCAGGCAGGGGTCCTTGGGGGTCCTTCCCGCCAAGGTCGGATTGAACGATGGGTCCGTCATCCCGCCAATCTACTCTAGCTCTGACGTGACGCCTGGACGACTCACCACCTCCTCATGTCAATCAAAGCCCATTGTTGAACGGGCACTGCTGTGGTTGGCACTGACACTGGCCCTCGCCCGTTCGCAACTGTCGCCGTCGTCGCCGCCTTTCCTTAGTATGGAAATGCTAACCACCACCACCATCCACCACCTACCTGTCGTCCTTCGTTGTTGGTTCACCAGAAAGCCACGCGATGAACGGAACCGCTCCAGACCAGTAAGCCAACCGTCGATGGATGAATCCGCCCGGCTGAAGCCACCGACCATTGTTCCTTTCAGGCACAGTCCTTTTGATTGACGGCGCTAAGCCTGACTGACACCAACCCACGAGGCTACGGCCGAGACCCTGTCCGGCTACCTCGATACTCACCACACTCTACTCGTGTCTCGAAACCCCTCAGCTTGCTTTTCACCAAGCCTCCAACGCACGACATCCGGCATCTCTCTGCTCGCCCACGCGATTCGACTCGGTGGCTGCCCTCTGCGGAAACCTGTCTCTCCCCTCACTCGCCCATTCTCCGTGTCCCCCCGCATTGCCGGGCATGAAGGTCTACGTTACACCCCAGCAGAGGCACCCGCACCAATGAGACACCAAACCCAGCTCCCCAAAGTCACGAGAAAACACGCACAACGAACATCTCTCTTCGTCCTTTTTCCCACAGAATTCCCGCTCGCATAGTTTATGCCGCCGGTCGTACAAGAGCATCAAGGAAGGGCGCCAGCTTGAAATGAGCGACCCAGCACGGCGGTAACGCCTGCGTTTGCGTTGCCACCCCCGGCCAAGAATATCGCGTCCCGCTCGGTATCCAACACGGCAGCCACTTGATAATCATCTCATAAGCCTTAAAGCCGCCGGTTTGCATCTACAAACTCCGCAGGATCTGGCAAACTGACGCTGGGCCCTTGCTTTGTGCGACTCTTCTTGCTGGGACAGGGAACCAGTCTGACCTCTCCCCGGCTGATATATGCAGCGATTGCCTCCAAAGGTCCAGACCGAGTTGCCCAGCTCAACTACGAATGCCGGACTGCATCACTCATCACCGCCACGTCTCATCCTCGCTACCGCCTCATGCTAGCCAGGCTCATCTCCGCTGCTTTTCTTCGCACTGTCTGGTGACAGACTCTCGGGTCCGGTCCAACCTCCCAAGAGGCCTTGCTCGCGCATATATTTCCCTCAACGGCAACAAGACCGCTCCTAATGCCGCCTGCACCACCAATCACAAGATTCCATGCATGGCCGCCCCCACCGCAAGCAACACCATAACCAGACACTCCAGGATACAGCACCCAGGTTTCTGAAGCCAGCTATTCTGGGCGTTTTGCGGCATGTGTGCCTGCTCCCGATGATGAAGAGTCTACAGTACCGGTGGTGGGTGACACGCCAATGTGACGATGCAGATTTCAAGGCATCATCATTCAGGTACCGCAATCTGCATTTTCCATAACGAAGCCGACGGCATTATGACATCCGACATTGCAGATGAGCCTTCTCCGCTCCAAATCGTGGTCCAGCGCCGCTAACATGGAAGGCGCAGATGGACACGCAGACGAGCCAAAGAACCCGCCAGCTGAGAACGATGAGTCTTGTCACGACACGACACGACCCCGCATCGGTTTGCTCCAATGAACCAAACTATCGTCCCTGACCTCGATAGGACGAGTCCGCGAACACCATGTGGAGGCGCTCGGCCGCGGAAGCCTCGACCTGCAGCTTTTCTCCTAGCGTCCAAGATGACGGGCTGTGATACCACTTTGCTCCTGTCACAGTGCATCTGCGGCCTAAAGGGGGCCTGTTGCTGAAGCCACATCACGCATAATACGCAACTACACCCTCTGGGAAAAACGCCGACTTGGTGGGAACCAGTAACCTGGAAGACTGGCGCACCCTCCTTGGCCTCCTGCGCTTGGAACCAGATAACACTTGTTCCAGTCTAATCTAGCAATCTCACACATGTTATTTTCGCCGGACGAATCATCACGCCCGACATTTGTTGGCCCATAGTCACGTTTTTTCCGAATCTCGGCCGGACTGCCGTATATGATGCGGATCTTCGAAAGGATTATTCATAGGTTCTGCGGGCAACATCCGAACCAAGTCGCCGACGCACGCGAGGCTTCAATCCGGTTGTTAGGCAACCGCATCAGCAGTCAACCAAAGGCCGCCGATTGGTCATCATCCGAGTTTGATCATGTTCTCGTTGAATCTTTAGGGCCATGTCTCCTATCAAGGTAGTCCTATCCCGATACGTGCACCATCTGCAAAGCCGGCGAGTCGACTAATCACCGGTCTCGAAATCTGGGTCGGTTCTGCGACGTAACCCAACCACGCCCCCTTTACTCTGTCAGCAACTCATACCTTCGCGATTTAAGCATATGAGCCATGTACAAAAGTCCCAAACCAGTCGGCCACTGAGACATCTGTAACAATTATTGCATACATCCCCGCATTTACCACCGACACGTCTTTGCTTTTACTGTCACGGGGGGAGAAAGCGCCGATAATTCGAAACAACGGCTAAGTGTAGCTGGCTTCAACGGCATGCATAGAGCGGGTTCTTCATACCTCATTTGCCTTGGAATCGTTCTGGAAGATTGCCTCGAGGGGTGTTGCATCGGTAGGCGGGCGTGGAGCAATCTAAGACCGTTGCACTCGGTGCTATGGCCAGGCTGCCTTAGACGTCGGACTTGGTTAATTGAAGGCAGTCAACAGACCGATTTTCCGCAGGGCGAAGTCGTCCTCTTAGGTGATGGTCTGGAGTCTTGTCGCGCCTAACAGGTGTTCGGCGTGCCTTGTTTGGTCGCAATATTCGAGTGTAATTTGCTCCAATATTCACAGGCAACTCGGTAGCCTGCCTTGTTTAGACCTTCCTCCGATCTACCAGAAGACTCTATCGGGTTCACCCTGAAGACCAAAACTGTCACCTTAGCCTATTGCCGGAGACTTTCGCCGCTCGTCTGGTTCAGCTCTCTCATTCGCCGAATCTAGGGAAATGAAGTTGATTTGGCTCGATCGTGAGGCTATATGTGAACGTCGGAAACGTCAAGGGAACTTGATCTCAGCGCAATGATTGCTCTACAAACAGGCCTGCGAGGGGCTCTCCGACCAAGAACTCACTGTCAAATCGCTTCTCCGGGACGCCTCAGGATGGAACACACGAAACGTTGAGACAATTTGCAGCCTACCAATTCGCTCCAGCCCTACCCTGGGGATTGAAGTTCCTGCAACGTTGCTCGCCGGAGGAGAGTCCTTGGTTGGATGCCGGCGTGGTCATTACCGCGGTTCTTGGCCCGTTCTCAGCTGCGAACAACGTAGTCGGCACTTGGGAAGAGGACGCACACCTCATTTTGACCACAAAGGTGCGAGATGTCTCAGTTCTCGATGAGCCTCGCCTGTTTGCGAGGCCCCTCCCTACACCTTATCCATCAAGTGATGGCAGACAACAGGCGCTGGTTAACTTATTCTCCCGACGGCATGTCTTTTGCCCCGGGCTGGGTCTGATTGGATGGCAATTGGACAGGAAGAGCGGGGAGGAAGAAATCGAGCTGCCCTGAGCTTCGCCCAGTACCACCCTCAATTCGTATGGGCGCGCGTGGCCGTCAATCGCTTCCATTTGTGGCGTGTGGCGGAGTGCTTGGGTTGTTCAGCTGCTGTTGAAGATTATTGCATCTCCGAGCGAGGTTATTGACGAGAAATTTTGCTGTCTCTCGGGTTTGGCCCTTTTTGTTTTCAGTTTAGCACATGTTGAAAGCCTTTGGTGGATGGTCTTTCTCAAGGGAGGTATCCGGCTCGCGGACATGCAGGATATCTAAGCCGGTTTACACGTAGAATACTCACGGGGTTCCGTAGTCAACCCCGGCGTTCACGTGCATTCATCTTTGGCAGGGAACTCATTATCTTGTCATTCGAGGCTGTGCCCTTTCTCATTCACGGAGATAACGATGCCGTCCAGTGCTTCCACCTCAGTGCCTCCCAGAGATTCCAACGGCTTTTATGGGACATCGAACCGACCTCATTCTCTGTGATGCTTGCCATGTTCGTTTTATTTGATAAGCTGCGAGCATGGCCTTATAGAGAAGTCTTTGGTGGTATCCAATGACGGATTTTCAGGGCGTCTGAGCTGAACTACGTGCAGCATGTTCGCAGCTTCGAGAGGTTGAACTCGGCTTCTCTGGCGTCAGGTTTCTTGTCTTGTCTATCTATATCCAACCCTGCTGTCCTGGTGTTCAAATACTGTCGACTCCGTCAGTCACGAAGACAAAACCGTGACAATGATGTCTAATTCTGCCAATCACTCTGACGAAGAGACAGATGCTGAGAGCACGATGTTGATCTGGCCGCTTTCTCTGGCCCGTTCTCTACATTCTTCTGATTTGATTAGTTTCTGGACTGAGATCAAGGCCAGGTCTTCTGGTTAGAGTCGAGGCTATAGATGGCTCAGTGGCCTGTGAAGGTCAAGTCATCAAGTCTCGTCCACCTTGCCGTCGTCTCTCATCTCCAAAAACCTAGACACTACCTTTTCAAACAAGATGAGTACAAAATTTCTGATCAAAGCTTTTCTTTTTTTTTTCTCTTTCCATTCTCCTGCGTACAACATCGGAGGACTATTCCACCAGTCCACAACCCAGCGAATCCTCTACCACGAACAACCAAAACCACCAAGAACAAACCCGCAAGAATGGAACCAGCTTCGCAGCCCCAGCCGGTCCAAGCACCAAACTCTCGGATCCGCCGCGCGGTCTCGCGGCCCTGGGACTTCCTCAAAGCTCACCTCCGCCCCGTCTGCCAATACGTCCGCCGGCACTTCACCCGCCCCAGCGCCTCCGACGACGCGGCGCGCGCCCTCGCCCTCGCCCGCCGCCAAGCCCACCTGCAGGTGCTGCGGGCCAACTTCCGCCCCGACGTCGTGCAGAGCCTGCAGGAGACGCCGTGGCTCGCGGCGCACCTCGCTGCCGGCGGGGAGGGCGCGTGGGACGAGAGCCAGCGGACGTTTCCCGACCGCGTGGCGGGCCACGTCCTCACGCGCCTGCAGATGCAGAACTTTAACTTTGTCGAGAGGGGGCAGGTGAATCTGCCGGCGCGGTCGGTGCGCCACCTGGAGTCGATCATGGAGCTTGTCTTTGTGGAGGAGGTTGCGAGGAAGATGGCGGTGATGATGCGGGAGGCATGGGTGGATCCTGAGGGACCTAGCTGGTGGTGGGTTTTTAGGCATAAGACTGTCGCGGAGTGGTTGAGGGCTGTGGTTGAGCTGCAGTTTTCTTGAAAGAACTGTGGATGTTCGTCAGGGGGTCGTCCTTCTTCCCTATTGACTTTTTCTTTCGCAGTCTGCTGCCTGTGGGCGCACCTCTTTGACTGCCGTATGACTCTGGCAGGGAAATATAAGGGGGTCAGTGAGTACACGCCTGGCATATTGTAGTTTCTCGAAGCTAACACAGATATAGCCCCGGGTCAGGCTGCGTGGTAACTTGTCCAAAGGGAGGACCATTCGTCAAGTCCACTTGAGGGGAAGGACCATTCTTAAAGCACTTGAAAGCGCTGGCATCACGGGCGAGTTCAGTGAATGGTATGATCTGACCGCTTCCATCAAGGTTCCTGACGCCTTACCCCCGAATACCTGGCTGCTGGCAATGGCGAGGAACTTGTGCATCTACCACGGAACTGCGAATGCCTACACCTACAAGCGCGACAATTGTCCGGACTCGTTCCCGGACTTGGGTTCCGCCGCTCTCTCCGCCGAAACGACACAGATTGGGGGAATCGGATGGCACTCCACAGCATCCCGCAAGTCTTCACAAGGTTCAGTCCATTGGGGGCGTTGTTGTGGGCTTCATTCGAGGAGCAGATTTGCTTGATCGATCCTAAGGACATGCTCGCACTACGGAGGCGTGGATGGAAAGCTGATGGCGAGGCGTCTGTCGGTCTTCTTCTCTTTGATGTCGACTTCTTCGCACCTGCTTCTAGTCGTCTGGGCAGCTACGTTATTCCGCGAGGTCGTGAATAACTCCAGGGTCAGCGCTTCAACGATCTAGGCAGTGGTGTCATCGTTGAACGCCATGCCGCACTGTCGCAATCTGCATCAACAGCATCGTGCATCAACAGCACCGAGTAGAGGGGATTGAGTGGCCAGATGTGGTCCACGGTTTGGAGAATGGCCAGCCGAACAACGTTTTCTCGACCAGTGGGACGAACACATGGCAAGCGATCTGGAAGGGTAGACGTACGGAAACGTTTCTCGACTCCCTGTCTATCTCGAAGTTTGCGACGTTTGTCATCCGGCTTGAGCTTTCCGACGGTATTACTGTTGGCGAGCGGCGCCATTCTGTGATCGCCAGGATTTGGAGGGTGGATGACAAGTATGATATTCTTGTAGGACCTGTATGGCTGAAATGAGGGATAAGACATCGAATTCGATCATAAAATCTAATGAAGAATCCCGGAGACGCGTCACTGATAAAGTGATAGATGTCATTAACTGTTCCTGGGGAGCTCTCGCTGGGGTTGGTGGCTGCACGGTTGCTTCGACGCTGCAATATCGACGTCACTAGCAGCAGGCTGAAGCATGCCATCGTGCTCGAACGTATGGTGCCAAAGTGGAATTTCAAATAGCAAATATCAATCTGCCCTCGGGAAAATCCAATGGTACATCCTCCATCAATCCATCTCACATGAGAACAATGTCCTTCTCCTTGATTCTGGTCCATCCGGCTCCTCCTTCGAACGGAAACCCTTCCACTAGCCCGTCTTCGTCCAGCACTGATTCATAAGACGTCCGCTCCCGTGTGGTTTGCTCCCGCGGATGACATAATGTTTTCTCCGAGAACAGATACGAAGGCTCCATTCCTTTGTGGCGAGAGTGCAACTGGAAGTGTCCTACGCGTTCATATATCTCTGCCTCTTCATCCTTCGGTGTCAATACCAGCCCTTGGACGCAGGCATTGCGACCATTTCCTTGCACAAAAATTGCAACAGGGAGAATGAATATCTTGAGGAGCGCCAGCCGAAAGCTTGGGGTGGCATCCACTTGCGTGAAGATGTCGCCGTCTAGATGCCTCGATGTACTTGGCAAGCCGTCGAAGGTGACTTGATATTTGCAGGTATCCGAAAAAGAATACTCACGCAACAAGTTCCACCTCGCCGGCTTCAGACGGCCCCGAACCTGAAGCAATGCACCGGGATAGATGGCACCAGTAGGATAGGTCGGATCCACCAAATCAACGCTGATGTTGACGATGGTCAACAAAACCTTGTGCGGTTCTTCTGACCACACTCCTGAGGACACCATACCTTTGGTGGATAGCCACGACCAGGTTGGAGCAATGCAGGGGTTAGGTCGAGGCTGCAGAGCCCAAGGGTTTGACCACAATAACTCCGTGGGGAGACGTCCTTCCCATAAGCCAACGACATATCTGTCATTCAATCGTTCTTGCATGACCTCAGAAATACCAGCTAAGGCAATGATCTTATCTTCCTCCTTCGTCAGTGACGCATAGGAATATGCTTCCACTATCGTGAACCACATCCTTCGTGGGAAAGTCTTGCTTCTAGCCAGCTCCATGAATGTCATCGCCTGGTGCGGCATGCGGAAGCGCGGCCATGATTCACAAAAATGGCTTTCGAGACATTCGTAGAACATCTGAGAGCCGCCGAACGTCAAAAGTCTTGGCGATAGCGCCCTTTCTTGTACTGTCCATGCACGGCTGGCCAGATTCGAGTAGTCCACATCCCGCGATGTGAGACGCATGTCAACAACACAGAAGCCTTCATCGCTTGGTTGAACGAACTCCCACTTACAAGGAACGATAGGCGGTACAACACTAAGAGGGTCTCGTTCAACGAAAAGCCCCTCAGTGGCGTCTCGTGCATGGGCAGCCACTATGGTTATAGCCCCATTCGAATATACGTTCTTCATCGTTTGCGACTCCGACTGCCAGTCATCCGCTGAGTCTTGAAGTATACAAAGAGAATCGATCCAGATGTAGTTGTAGTCCCACCATCGACTAACTGTAATTGCCTGCCGGAAAGTTTTCGGTAGTCGGAGTATCGGAATCCCGTCACGTAGTGCGGCTTCTGTTGACGCCAAAAGCTTGACGAGATGGATCTTGCCCCAACAGTGACTCAACGCCACATACTCGGCCGTGTCTGACAACGTAGCTCCATCAACTAGTCGAACGACCTCACTGTTCTCCTCATCAAGACTTGCGAATGCAAGCAGTCGAGTCGGCCGCCATTTGCGCTTCAAGCACGGGTCCTGTGTTTTACACTGCCCATGTTCGGTCTTGCAAGCAAGGTGCCAGCGTCTGGCCCATTCTCGGCTCTTCGCAGATTCGTTGCTGATTTCAACCGCATCATTACCCAAATCATTTGCAATAAGAGACCTGATGCTTTCTGTAGAAGTTAGCAGATATTTTCTAATGCCTTGAGTTCGGAGTGCTCATTGCTTACCGTGTGGACCATTGCAGGGCGTCAAAATCAAGTTTACCGGGTTGAGCCTTCCACTGGAACTATACTGGAGATCTAACACCCAGTTAGGCTGTGAATGATTCTGTATTATCGAAAAGGTGACGGCGTCGTCCGGCGAAGCAGATTTATCCAGTTGGGGTTCCACAACGGCGCAGAAAGGGCATCCTAGCCTGGCATTCTGGCGGAGTATTGAAAACCTTTTCGCTATGCACATGGAACTTATAATCCGATGTCGTCGACGGAATCTTTGGTTCGAGGAAGAACTTCTGACAGGTGCCGCATATCCTGGACAGAAATGGTGCCTGTATGGTTTCGGGTGGTAAATATCGGTAGGGTCGTTCGATTTGCTGCACGTCGTACGTCATTCTGAGCTCATGCAGTTGCAAAGCAGTGTTCTTTTCACACAAAACGATCAGAACTATGGATCATGGAGGAGGAGGAACAGTAATATATCATATCTGCTGCTGCCTGATTTCGGTGATTGATTCGTCTCACGTGGACTTTTGACTGGTAAGCATAAGCTGAAATTCGCCTCACTTTTCTGCTGACGTCTCTAAATGGAGGCCCGCCGCCCGTCCCATTGGTACCTTCGATTTCCAAGGAGGGACCCCGAGAGGAAGGGGGTTCCGAGATCTTTTCAGTTATAATAGTGGCGCGGTGGACATAGTCTTGGCTTTACACTTGTTGCGTGGTCTTTAGGGAGCGTTTTATGTCGTGCTCGCGGCCCGCCGGTATACTGATGGGGAAAGGAGCAGGCTATTTCGAAATTAGGTGTTTCCAACGCAAGCTTGGGCAGTACAGCATCCATATCACCGAAGCCCAAAGTGACGCGGATGATTAAGCCGCCGTTGAAGGGCCCAAAAGCAGACGTATAACACAACAGGAAGCGCGAGAGCAACTCTCGGATAGTAGTCAGCGACGTCATTCAGTTGTGGCCGCATGATCAGCCAAAGGCAGGACGCAGAAAATAAGGCGGGCGCAGGCATTTGATTGGTTGATCAGACAACCCATCTCACGAAAGAGCTCGACGTCACCGTCGCCGGGCATTGAGAGGTTAAGGAACAATCCGTGGCCAATACGGCATAGAGACATCGGCACCAAGAAGTTGCTTGTTGATGATTGATACCATATGGTCATGTTCCAAGTCTGAGAGGTTCTTCTATTCATGACAACTGCCACGCGTCTATCGGAGTGCATGCTTCCATTGATTGCAACCATCGATGCTGGAAACATAGAAAGTCAGTGACTTTTGATTGTGCTGGGCGCACTGATGTTATGTTAATTGTTACTCACGTTAAGCATGCCTGTTTGCAACTCTCGGCCTCCGAAGTAGCAGTCCAGGGCGGACACGGTGTTAAGACCATTGTGAGTACCTTTCAACGGCAACAGAAACATGAGAACTACTTAGTGGGGTTCGGCTGATGAATCATTATTTATCAGAGGGCAGAGATGGGACGGGATTAATCAGGGCGAAGTTGAGGATTTCCTCTGCCCGGCAGGATTGGCAGACGACACCGGGTTTGTCGGTTTGTAGATGAAGACAAACCACTAGGGCCATACTCAGGCAAGATTTAAGCAAGTTTTAGGGGTTCGAAATTTTACCAGCAGTCTATCCTTTATCCAAACTTTACTCAGCAGTCAGACCTCGCCGTGCCACTTTTTATTGCAGCACATTGATTGAGGGAAATTTCTGTGGTTTCGCCTCATAATCAAAAAGAACACCAGAACTGCTCCTACACACGGAACAGCTAGCCACTTGCTGTCCAGGTGCAAACGATCGGAAATGTAGTTCAAGACTTGCCCATCTGATCCGTGCCATGATCGACCCGCAGCATGTCCGACCACGGTCCTGACATGGCGCTCGCTGAGCAAAGCCACGCGAGGTTGGTGCGTCCCATACATCCACATGTACTGACGATATGCCGCAGTCAACATCAACGGCCCCGTAGACCAGAAAACCCTCAAGTACGGGAGAAGTATTCTCTTCGAAGTCGAGCCGCCGCGTCGCTTGGCCTCTCGCAGAGACCACATCAAGAAGTCGGACCCCTTCTCCGCCATGAAGAAGTGGTTGCTTAAACCCGCAGCGCCTCCAGTGGGCGCGAATACAGCTTGTAGACCAAGATGTTGGAGACACATTGTTGCTTCGACAGATCGAGGGTGGACGTCCAGATCAGCATAGATCCCTCCCTCCGCATGTATTACGACCAGACGTGCCAGATCTGCTCTCTGGATATTGTGGTCGTAGGTTTCGTATGTCGGTAACAGCCAGGAGTATTTCGACTTGATGAGGGAAAGGATGTCGTCGTCGGTCCAGATTTTGACTTGGTAGCCCCTTGGTTCGAACATGGACTTCCAAGACTCACGGGAAGCTCTTGCTGGATATGTGCTGACGTCTGTGGTCTTCCATATTTGGTGAATTGTATTTGGAATCGTTTCGTCGAGTTGGCTGTCGTCGATATTCGAAAGTGTCGAAGGAGGGCATTGGTCTAGAACTTCGATCGGCTGGCTTGGGAGACTGAAGTCGTTCGTGTTTGTGTAGCTGAGTTGATGCAGGACGAGGAGTGCTGTGAGCGAAACGATTGTAGCGGCCAAAAGCTTTAAGCAGCTTCCACGTGGAACAGCGACCATTATAAAGACTGAAGGATAAGAATTGACGTTTAAGAAGATGTGGTGATAAAAGAAGGACGGGGTAGTCGTTGATGGCTGAATGTAGATGGGATGCAGTGTAAATTGAAAGGGGTATCTTGATAAAATTCCAAACAACAGAAAGGAAACATGCAAGTTGGCGCTTGCAGGAAAGGTAAGGAACGGGAGTTTAAAGAAGGCAGTGGTCAACCAGGAATTTTAAGAGGGAATTGCAACCATTTCTTGTAGAGTTGTGATCATGAAAGGGAAGTGTCGAACCACTTGCTATCGGAGGGCAAGCTTGATCTGACTTAATATACAGAAGGTAGGACCACGGAACTGACTCTTGAACCACTAAACAGAAACGACCACCCTAAAATCACCTGCCCTATGTTCACGACAACCTTCCGTCTCCGTATGTAATCAGAAATCGCCAACTGACGATCTCTGGACGGAAGGTGGACTTCCAATCATGCAGCAGCACTGGGGCGCAGCTGCCGCAGCCAGGTTCGCTTCACCCACCAACTCGGTCGTGACCATCTGATGGTCAATGCCATCCGAACCCAGGCATCAGCAAAAGGGATCCCGGTGCTGTCAATTCTGAGTGCGAGACCCCTTTACCCACGAGTCAGAATCTAAAATCGACACCCGGTGGAGGTTTGTACCAACATGATCATCTTGATACGAGGTCGGAAGCAGCTGGGTTCTACACTAGCCCTACCGCATCTCGGTAGGTGCCGGAGGATTTGGTTGTCGTAAAAAGTTCCGAGCCAAGTCTTTCGCTTTGTTTCGGGCCTTGATACTGAACATCGTTGGCCACGTACGAAACAGCTAGCGACCGTCTACGCAGTTAGCTCTGAGTTATTTCTTCATGATTGTCATCTATTGGTTCTTTTCGTTTTCAATCCTTGCGAGTATCATTTATCACATTCAATGGTAGCTACAAAATTCATATTGTCTCTACGTACAGTCTTGTAGGTGTCGGAGCTCGGAAGGGCCCCAACTCCATTTTCGTCTGAATTACCCCCTTCCAAACTTTGGAGACCGGAAGATTCCAGGTAGTTGAGACATCCCTGAACAGTTAGTTCATAACGGACACTCGTTGTCTATACTTAGAGTTCGTTGGCCAAGAGCCTCAATCTGCTTAAGGAAAGAATGGCGATACGGAACAGCTTCAGGGTCAAGATTGTTCGCTTCGTAGAAGAAGTTTCCCTTTGGCCAGAATTTGAGCAAGTCGTCCAAACGCTAGTCCCTTGTAAGTCATGGAGTGGTTATTAATATTTTGGTTCTGTGCACCCACATTGTTGTAACGCATGAGCTGAACCCACCACAGGCAGCAACATTTGTCCCCTGCTCAAGGCAGCAGCATTTTGCACCCAATCTCCCTCCAACGTCGAAATAGAGTAATGATGTCGCGATTGACGGGGAATTCGGTCCCCGTACTTTGTGCTGGATTAGTTTACATTCTGCATGCTAATCTCAATAAGTTCTGGCCACAGTAGTCATCCCAGGAAGATATGTACTACCGGAAACCCTCCGTATCACAATCAATTTATTCTCCAGAGGCCGCCAATGATTGTTTCTCACATTTTATTTCGCGGTATCCGGGTCGTTGTCGTTTGCTTTTTCGACTCTCACCTCCCTATGGACCGCTGTCTGAAAATGTCTGAAGGAATTAGACGGAGAGCTGTAGAAAACTCATTCCCGTTTTTTGTAAAGAATTGGTGGCTCTAGGGTCTGTTGCTCCTCTTGACGTTGAGAAGAGTAGGTAAAGGGGGTCATGGCCTAAGCCCGCTTTCTCCTTGGAAATCAAAAGAACACCAATTACTAAACATGTTGAATGGCACCAGTCTTTTGATGAGACCACCTGAAGCTAGCTTTACGGCCCTCTTCTTGGTCGCGTATCGTACTGTCCGAACATTGCACAGGAAAAAGTTCCTGAGGAGTCGAGACTCGATAAGCTCACAAGGGAAGGAACCTGGAAAACAGGACGAAAAGTATCGTAAACACCAATGACACGAATCGTGGCGGCATTCTGACTCAAGAGAAGATGTGGTAAGTAGTAGGCCAAGATGCAGAAAGAAATTTTGGTTTCACTCCGATAAAGCCAGCCCCTGGATATCTAGCCTGCTTGACAAATCTGGACTGAACAGCAGATGTGGCTCCTGAAATAACGATGTGGTCTTGATCGCAGCTGATCGAAAGAGCTGTAATGTGAAGTGTCGCATTAGATGAGAGAAAATGTGTATTTACACACTTCGAAATATGATAATCATGGCTGGAATATTCGAGGGAGGGCATGACTGGCTCTCCCGGTCGACCGGCAACTTCACTCATATGGCTAGTCCATTCCATGGAACCTTGCATACTTATGTCCAACCTATCAAAGTCTGTCGCAATGATTATGATAAGGTGCGACTTGTATTAATTTGGAAAAAGCACCTAAACGGCGTGGCTTTAACGCATCCAGCGCCGGCTTGGCTGGGGTTGGCAGGGGATATTACCCCGTTTGCCAAATTCACCTGTTCGACACGCTTATCTTTTCCCCCCTCCTCCTTGCTGCATTGTTGACTAATCGTGGACAAGAGACCACATGATCAGACTGACTCGAAAGGCCCCAGATATCTTTCGGCATGAGAAATGGGGTATCCCTTGGGAGGGAGATGTCGGCATCACACAAGTTAGCCTAGAGGGCGATCCATATCGGAAGCCTGGAAGGCTTATCCCACAACCCGAACACTGAGTTTTATCGCAAAGTAATGAAGAGAGAATGAATTTTGCCTTGTTCATAGCCAATTGGCTTCCGCACTTCAAAAAGAAATCCTTCCAGGCGCGCGCCTCATGGGCTTTCCGCATTACCTAACAGACTGACGAGCTGTCGGCTTTTCACCGTCCCAACTCCCGGATGAGGCTTTTTAACCATGTCCACGGAAAGTTTGAACGGGCTTTTGACAGCTCAGGGGGCGCTCCTAACTTGTAAGTCTCTCCAGTGTGATAAAATGGACGCCATTGCTTTCAGGACTCGTCTTCTTCTTCCCTTGCCGCCAGTTCGTGCATAGGTCCGCGCACGATGTTCGAGATTTGAATGATGGCTGAGATGTTGTGTTTGAGACCGTTCACAGCGAACACGCTCACATCCCATGGTGCTCGCTCTCAACAGCCCTGGCATGTGTGACATACGGCTTGGCTGGGCCAGAAGCAAGGTATCGTTCCATCTTCCACTTACTTCCCATAATACTGACTCTCCTTTTCCCTGAGCCGGCTAGCACGAACGACCACAGTACATGTGTCATGAGCGTCGATGTCCATGGCAGAACGCAAACTGGAGACGAGAACTTCAAAATCAAGATGATACTGGGCAAAGCGAGAGGTTAGGGACGTCACTGAGGTCATGGGTGAATGCCTGGGAATATCCAAATAAGCCGATAAAGTCGACAGACAAGAGCTTTTATGAAGCATATTTCTATCCAAGCGGAAGGATCGAAGGTGAGAGACTCTTTAGGTCTTTTTGTAAGCGAGTTCTCGAGACCAAAAAGTTTGGATCCATTGAAAGGCAGAAATACTCAAAGGGCAAGAGCAAACTAGTTGGTTCCTGCCTGTATCTTCTCTTCTAGAGCTCGGCCCCCTTTTTTCTTTTTTCTTTTTTGTCCTCTTTTTCTTCGCTCGTTTCTGATTGCCGAGGTTTTTCGTCCATCTTCACCTTCACCACACACTTCCGCATCTGTACCCAAAAGTCACACCGCGCAACCTCGATCAAAATGGAGGTTGATGACGACGACAGTATGGTTAGCGACAACTTCGGCAGTATTACCACTCATAACGATGACAATACTGTGGCCAACATCGCTGCCGATGGCGATGTTATCATGGTCGTTGGTCCAGAAAAGAAAGAATTTCGACTCCATTCCTTCTTTTTGAAGACCACTTCTAAGGTCTTCAAAGCCATGCTGGGTCCCAATTTCGCCGAGGGTCAGCAACTCAACGCCAACGAGGCTAAAGGCAATCGTGCGCCGGTCAAGATTGACCTCCCAGAGGACGACGTCAACAGCATGGGTTTCATCTTCAGAGCCATTCATCATCATTTTGACGCCTTCCATAACGCCAAGGGCATTCCTTTCTTCGAGATTCTGGTCGTGGCCGACAAGTATGACCTGATTCATGCTATTAAGCACGCATTTCATCATGCGTTAGCTGCCGCTTTTGGAAAAGAAGACATCCTGAAGAAGATGCTGGGCGTGAAGCTCTGGAAATTCACCATGGCTGCAGCTTTCGTCAAGGACGCTACTGCCTTCAACACTGCTACGCGCATTTTTGTTCTGCACTGGGAACATGGATTCCTCGATTTTGCCAAGCAGTGGTACTTCAACGAGGTGTTTGCATTCCACGTATGCGGTAAGTGAGTTCCATTTGACCAGATTTTAGATCAAGGGCTGATTCGTTGCTTCCCCAGCTGCTCTTGAAAGAAATCGCTCTGATTGCAGACAAGAAGCAATGGTAGAGTTGCTCTTCGCATGCAAACGCGAATCAGACCGGCCGAGGCTCGAGATCAAGTACAATATTGGGGTGTCCGACCCCTACCACTTCATTGAAAGCAGTGTGAGTCGTCAGCTAGACCTCATTAAAGGCTGCGTCGAATATCAAAAAGGTGGAAGACACACCAACGATGAAAATCAATACTGGATGGATATTCTAAAGGAAGATGCAGGATTGCACCTGGCTCTTTTCATCTGAGATGACACACCTCTGGCTACCGAATCAGAAATGTCGACGGTCATTGGCGAAGGGAATTGGCGAAGGACAAGTCATAGCAACAGTGACCTTAGAACAGGGAGACTAGAAATCCAGGGAAGGGACCTCAGACTGTAAATTTGGCAAGAGAGCGGCTTGAGAGAAGGTTTTGGTTACTTAGATCCACGAAGACGAACTCTCCATGATATCAAGCAAGAATCTGGTCTCTATTCTTGATTAGAGAAATACAGGGCCGCTAGAAAAGAAATTTATCAGCCGCATGTGCTTAATCTGTCTTGCAAACACAATCTGCGACGCCATCAGAAGCAGACGTGCTGTCAACAACTTCAGCGATAGAGGTCTGGCCACCAAAGCGAATTCTGAAGAGGTCAACAAATGTTATTGATGGGCAAATCTCTATCAAAGCGAGATAGTCGGATTTCGAATTCCTTTTGTTTCGTTTCTTTCTCTTTCCCAGTTCTGGAGCCTTGGATCTCTCTGATTCCGTTGTTCAGAGGGTAGCGAGGTGGTTCGTTCGGGAGGGAAAGAGCTAGCTGAGGTAGTTGGTTCTTGCCTTGCCTTGCTACAACTTTCAACTTCACCCTCACCTCGCCCTCCTCGCTTAAATGCAGCCGCCCAGAAAGCATTTTTCGTCCACCTTCTTAGCTCAACAAAACCTCCGCCATCGCTAGCCAAAAAAAGCATCACTGACATCGACCAACATGGAAGTCGACGACGATGCCAGCATAGTAAGCGACGATACAAACGCCATCAACAACATCGCTCCAGATGGCGACGTTATTATGGTGATCGGCCCTAAGGACAAGGAATTTCGACTTCATTCGCAGATCCTGAAGGCTGCTTCCAAGGTCTTCAAAGCTATGCTCGGCCCAAACTTTGCCGAAGGCCAGCAGCTCCTCAACAATAGAATTCACAACGACCCAGTCAAGATCGACCTTCCCGAGGACGACGCATACAGCATGGGTATCCTTTTTGAGCTCATTCATTATCGACATGACGTTCTTTCTAGTGCCGACGCTGACATAGTTTTCGACGTTGCGCTGGCTGCCGACAAGTATGATCTGATCTGTGCCGTCAAGTACCCGATCACCGAAGCGATGGATCGTATCGTGTTCACCGACGATGAAAGAGGCGAAGAGGAGTCCATGTGGAAGCTAGCTATTGCTGCTTCAATGTTCGATTATGACCCCAGCTTCAAGAAGGCCACTCAGGCGCTAGTTTCGTTGTCTTTGCATGGATACATTCGGTTGGCCGACTTATGGTACCAGGACCAGATCTTCGCACTTCGCCTATGCGGTCAGTCTCAATAGAATTCCTTCGAAAATTGTATATTTGCTAATGTCAAGGGTATTTCAGGCCTTCTCGAAGACCAACGAGCAGAGCTAAGACGGATGGTGATGAGCAAGCTTCTGGCTGTCTGTGCGTGGTACAACGATGAAGACAACGACCAGACGCAAAGGACATTTGGCTCAACCATCCTGAGATTCGATATCAAGATGGATGCTCCCGAGTACTTTGCCCATTCAGACTTGCAGGGAGTTCTTGATGCCATAGAATCTTCTGATTATTTCAACCAATTCCGCGAGAATGCTCAACGAGAGAACGACAGAAGCACCAAATGGATTGGAAGAACCGTTAAAAAGGCTGGGCTGAATTTGTCCGATGTGCGTGCCTGATGGGCATGCTAGGTATCCAACATGGGCCGAGGAAAGACAAGCGAAAGGGAATAGCTTGGGAACTTGGTTAGCCAAAGGATAGATGGATCTGTCCAAGCACGAACACGTGCAATTCGAGTGGAACTTTTAGACGATGACACTGCAAAACAATTGACCTCATCTACCACCAATGCATTCGTTCAGAAGAATCTATCCACCACAGCGAATTGTGAGGAAATCAATAAGTTCTGTTGATTAAAAAGTCTTCATCAAAGTGAGAGGCTCAGGGTTTCTCTCTGTCTCCTTCCTTGAATATCGGGCCGCCCTGACTCCATTATTCAAAGAGTAGCGAGGTCAAACGCCTCACAAGGAAAGAGCTATGTAGTTGGTTCTTGCCTTGGCCACTACTTTCAACTACAACCTCACCACACCTTCCTCGCTTAATTACAGCCGCTCGTCAATTTCAACCCCGTCACTACTCCTGCGAAACTTTCGGCACCGCCATTCAAACGAGACGCTCCATACGCCAAACAAAAATGGAGGTCGACGACGATGCCAGCATGGCCCAAAATAATGCGAGTACCGCTAGCGATGATGCTAGCAAGATCATCGACGTCGCTGCCGATGGCGACATCATCATGATCGTTGGTTCCGACAAAAGAAAGTTCCGAATCCACTCTGTCATGCTCAAGTCCGCGTCCAAGGTCTTCAAAGCCATGCTGGGTCCTAATTTTGCAGAGGGCCGACGACTCCGGAACAATGGCCACCACGGCGATATCACTAAGATCGAGCTACCAGAAGACAACGACGGTGGTATGAGCGCCATATTCCATCTTCTTCATCATCGTGTGGAAAAATTACCGGACCCTATGCCTGCCGCTGTCTTTTACCAACTTGGTATTGCCGCCGACAAGTACGATCTGGTCTCAACCCTGAAGTACACTATCACCGGCGCCATCTATCGGGCCATCAATGACGGCAGAGAGTTGAAAGACATGAGGATGCTTGATGTCTGGTATCTGGCCATTACTTCAGCTTGCTTCGACGACGCTGCCAACTTTGCCACACTCACTCACGTCTTGGTCTGGTATTGTGACACCCACTTCGTCCACTTGGCTGAGGAAGCAGCCACTGATGACTCGTTCGCATACCGTTTATGTGGTAATTCTCTTGCTTGAATCATTCAAACAGAACGTATGTGGTACTGACAAGCTTTTGAAATAGGTCTTCTTGAAATGAAACGCTCAACTATTCGTTCGGAGATGCAGCACAAAGTTCTGGCCGTGTGTTCCTGTAAGGACGAAGGTAGAATCCTTACCACGATCAAATGGGGCTATAGCGATGACGACGAGTACGACATGGCGAAGTGCATGTCAAGGGGAAGCTTACACACGATGTGGAAGTATATCAACGATGCGGAACTGAACCTCGAATTCATGGATGACTTTGATCCAAATTCTTCTAAGTGGTGGCCTTGGATCGAAGGTATCCGCAAAGATGGAAAGATGTTGCTGAAAGACACGCGCAAGCCTCAAGCCGAGAATGTTGTTGGTACGCAACGCCCCTGAAGATGGTTCGGCTCGGAAGACTTGGACGAGATCGCGTCGAAAAGGGAAACACGGAGAGAGAGACAGACGAGACGGGCTGAGTGGATGTACACAACTTAGAGACGTGCGACCGCCATGATAACGAAACCCAGATAAATACTAGCCCGCGAACTACGGATACACACACACGCTGCATTGTCAATTGTCTTTAAGCGAATTTGACACGCGCATACACTATATTCCTAGCTCTTATATCGGTGACCTGACCATGCCCGTTGCCGCGTTCCAGTCTCTTTGAAAGTCTGATCATGCTAAAGAATTGGGAGAGAGTGCTTGATCACCGTGTGACGTTGTTACAGACGCAAGGTGGTGAAATGCCTAAGCGATTCCAACCGAATTGAGTTCAGTTCAGAAGACGGCGCGTCCACCCCTTTTCTGCTCGCGAAAGAATGCTGCTCAACTCAACGTCATCGCAGCCTCAAACCCCATAGCTCCTGCAAGACGGACAAAAAAGACTTGAAACGTTCTTCTGGGTCGAGCTAGCCCAACCAAGCCGAGCTGGAGACCGAACGCAAGGTTCAAACATCCGGAGTGAGCTCGAGCCACCACACTTCCTCCTCTTCGCCGAGCACCGCCTCCTGTGGCTGCTCTCCAAGAACGATCACGAGAAGAAGGGCGGCGGCAATTGACAGCCGTCGACCGTGACTCGAAACCTGGGGAAAAAATCAAACCAATCTCATCCTCCTCCGATCGGAGCACGGAGCACGCAGCCAAGGGGCAGACTCGAGCTGAATGCACTCTGAAAGCTTCACCGCCTCCAGCAGGGCGCGTATGCCGGACGCACGGCACCAATGCAGAATCAAGAGATGAAAATCTCAACCACAGCCTCACCATCCCCCGACTCCAATCGGGCCAGGACCAAGGAGCTGGGGAAACCCGGCCAGCGACCAGCACCCAGAACGCGTCCTCTCGCAAAACAAGCCTCGGCACTGACGACATTCACCCCAATCCTTCCAATCCCCAACCTTCCTTCCCAAACGTTCACTCCGCGCAGCTGAGTCGGGGGAAACACCACCAAGGAATTCTTGCTTGCGCCCGGCGTCTCATCGGACCCCGGGAGACCTGGGTCTTCCCTGGCAGCGAGGAGGATGCGGAGGAGCAAACCATGGTGCTTACCAGACAGGACCAAGCAAGGCCCAGAAAAACCCTGACCGACTCTTGAACTGCCACCCGAGGAGGGGAGAAGGTCGCGTTTGAAGGGAGGGGGAAAAGCCTAAACGGTGGCGATGGCTATGGTGCAAGTAGTGAAAGGACAACAAAACACACAACACACATTGCGCAGCTCCATCTCAGCCTCACATCAGATAAGAGCGGCCTCCCACAACAACAGAATCTCCGTCGGTTCATCAGTGCTGCCTCCCCCAGACTCACACTGAGACCGCCCTCCCATCCCCTCCCAGACCTACCGAAGAATGGACAGCCCGCTGAGCAAAAACATGACAATCGACAAGCCCAACATGGTGACGACAACGACAACGACGACGGCGTCGGAAAAGTTCTTCGAGGTGCGCTCGCCGGCCAGCTTCGCGGCGCGGATGTGGTCGCGCACGGCGCACAGCGGCGTGCCCGTCGTGCCGGACGGCGACGTGATCCTCGTCGTCGGGCTGGGCGACGAGACGGCGGAGCTGCGCGTGGACTCGCTCATCCTGAAGCGCGCGTCGCGGGTGTTTGGCGCGATGCTCGGCCCCCGCTTCAAGGAGGGCCAGAGGCTGCTCGACCGCAACGGCGGCGCCTCGTCCGAGCCCGTCAAGATCAACCTGCCCGACGAGGACCCGGAGATCATGGAGCTCATTCTGAACATCCTGCACCACCAGAACTCGCGGGTGTGTCAGATGGCGGCGGCGGATTCGATCTTGGAGGTGGCTGTCGTGGCGGATAAGTATGACCTGGTTGATGCGCTCAAGTACGCGTCGCAGACGATGTTGCATTACCACGAGCCGTCGATTGAGCATTTGACTGTCGGGGACCTGTGGCGGTTGGGGCTGGCGGCGGGCTTGCTGAATGAGGGCAAGGCATTTGAGAAGGTGACGCGGATGCTGGTATGGAATCATACGGTGCCGTATATACAGCTCGTGGACGCGGAAGATGTGGTCGACATTGAGTTCGCGCTGCGGATGTGCTGTGAGTTTGAAAAGAGCACTTGCTCATGAGATGCTTAGATGCTGACCATAAGTTACAGATCTGTTGGAGAAGGAGAGGCAAGACTTGAAGACGTCTTTGCTGCAGCATCTACTGCCGATCATTTCCACTGGGAATCAGCTGCGCCTGGTTGAAATCAAGGTGGACTCGGCGGAACACTTCGACGCGTGGCCGGAGTTGATGAAGCTGTTCGGGGCCAGTCTCAATGAGATGACCCGGTTCGCCGAGGGACTCGTCCTGGCGGACCGAAGCCGCCGCGCCGCGGGGCCCAACTCGGACTTCATGAGGCACTTCAGGAGTCGGGGTGGGATACGTCTGGAGGACGCGCGGAAAGGGCGCGACTGATGAGATTGATGACGGGGGAGGGGGGAATAATAGACCACGGCGCCAATGAAATATGCACTTGCTTCCTCATCTCGTCTGCCCAAACCGTCATCCAAAAAGTGCATATGAGATGAAAAAGTAAGCAGTGAGAAAGAGAGCGGTTAATATCTTGATTTTCCTTGTCAGTAAAAGTTGCACGGACGACTTAGCTCAGGGCTCGCTCAGTCCGTTCTAGAACAATTGTCGAGATGGCTCCCGTTAAGCTCTTTTTTCATCGATCGTCGTCTAGTTTGAATCGGCCGTGGGATCCAGTTACATGGGTTTGGCAAGGTGACATTGAAGGCCAAGTCTAAATGTTACCTGGGGCTAGGGAAGCTAGGAACGCCAGGGAGCAAGCCACAAAGCGACAGCCGAGGCACAACAGACGTGGCTTCGGAGCTTTATAGATTAGATTCGGTCAAACGCCGACGGACAGGCGTGACCCTTGCCGAGGAGGATTGCAGACGGGCCCCGTTCCGCGCAGGCCTGCAATCGCCGTAAATACCATTCGCGCAAGTCCGGTCTGCCAAGGCGCTGGTTACGTTGGGCTGTCGTCCGGCCGAGGCACAGATGCAGTGAGAGAGGAAAAAGTTGATAAGCAAAAAGTGGACTCAGGACGGGTCACATATCTTTTGCGAAAGGTTTTGCTCGTTGCCGGTCGAATAGGAAGCGCAAATGACCCTGGATAGCTCCAGAATTTATGGGCTGACCAGGTGCGGAAGTTGGCATGGCGGAGCAGTCCAGGCAGGTCTGGCAGTTCAGGCTCGACGAAGGCAATTTCCAGAGATTTTCGCAAGAGCCGACGGCTCGGGAGCCAAGTCTAGCCAGTCGTGCAGGGGTTCTCCTGGGCCGCGGTCGCTTGGTCACCACTGGCCAGCAGGGTAATTTGGCAGCTGGACTTTGTTCGATCTTGGGAAAAGAAAGGACTGGAGGCTCGAATCGGTCCCGATGATGGATCGGCTCCGAAAGAGAGGGGCTCGTTGTTGATGGCCGGATCGAAAGACCGAATGCCTCCTCGATGACAAAAACAAAACCAATCGAATAAGCAATGTAGCACACCGACGCTAAAATCGCTAGAACAGGTAACAGATTCATCGCCGAATGAATGGTTCTGCCAGTTGATTGTCCACGGGTCGCGCGCTCGCGCACTATTGGCGAGGTCTCGGCCGACGCGCCGGGAGGCTCAGCCCAAGGTGCGCCAATCTCTGAAGCGGGCTCCCCAGAAAGGCATTCCAGTGTTGTTGGTTCGTTCGTGACGGGCATTGCATTCAACCTGCATCAGCCTCTTATCGGGCGGCATGACGATCCTTCCCATCCATCTGTCCAGATCTGGCAGCTGGCCGGATATACCAAGTTCCAACAGGCGATAAGCCGCGGGTCTCAGTTCATCCACCGCTGGGCGTAAATAGTGACGGCTTGCTGCCTCTATCGTCGTATGTTGGTGGATCGGCTTTCAGCCATGCCTGGGTGCTTAATGATTCAGACAAGTATATCTAGGCGAGCGCGTGGCCTGCCTTCTCGGCGTCCTCACAGCATCCGATTAACAGGGCGTGCGCGTCCGCGGCTAGGGATGAACTTGACAAAGTCCGAACGGTCGTCTCCAATCCTGTCGACCTGAAGCCCTGGTTTGTAATAAGAAATGAGTGGCATTAAGTTACCATGCGCACCTGAGAAAAAGGGATGAGCGACGGAAAATACAAACAGCCCAAATCCGTTGGAGTTGGGAGGCGACTGACGGTCTGACCTTGGGTAAGCCATCAATCGACCTCGGCACGCTGTGCAGATCCGCCGACATCCCGGTCTGTGGAGCTCTGCAAGCGGGCCGCCGACCCATGAGAAATCGACTTTGAAGGCTTCGTCCACGTTGTTTTCGGTCGTTGAAGCCCGGTGTGGCCGTTGCTGGAGGGGCCCTGGCTCGCTAGCCAACACGTCATTCCGCTTGTTGGTGCACTAAAAGCAGTCCAGGTACGAAGTACCCGATTTAGTCGGGAAGGAGAGAAGAAGAAGAAAAAAGTTGCCGACGAGAGTGGATCCACCTGCCTTGCACAACTGCGAATAGAGTTTTATGCAATCCCGTTCGTCTTGTGATTCAAACTTCAGTTGGAAGGGCCTGCGACCTGCCATCGCAAACCTGACAAGAGTCTATATCCGGACGAGGGGCATTCTGCTCCTGCAGTCCACTCTTGGCATCAGTCTGGATTCCGTCTTCAAGCCCTTGCGCCGAGACACAGACACGACACGCCCAAACTCCGAATCAAACGATGACTCTGCTTACGAGATGACGGCTTTGCAATCACCATCCGCCTGCTGCAATCTGTGCGGCGCATTCGCGATGTCAGACAGGCGGCGGCTAAGGCTTGCGCTAGCCCGCGACACCAGTCGCATCGACTCACAAACTGCGCCCGACACGGAGATAACCACTCGGTCAATTGCTGTCCCCGGCCAGCCACGTCCGACCCTCCGTGTCATGCAGTCATGGACGACGACCTGAAGAATTGTGCACGCGGAAGCCATCCCGTTCGGGTGGGCTTGCATCGGTGGAGCCCCCTTCCCATGACCCCCTGCAATCCCGCCCCGATGGAGACACTCCATTGTGATACGAGCACCGACAAAGGGTGAAGAGGGCGAAGGCCATGGAACGACCATTGGAAATCTCCACTGCGGCCACCCGCTTGGTACGCAGTATATAGAACATACGCCGTCCCAGTTCTCCGGGATTCAGATCTCGCTCTAGATCTATCGCCCATCTTCCCCGACCTGGAACACCAGAGTTCGATAACGACATCCTCGACGATCGTCATACAAGCACAGTCCAGGCCGTTCAACATCGCGATATAAGCTTATCAGACCACCCGTGCTACCGGATCACCACGAGGCCGCCACGAGTGCCGCTACCACCAGCTCGTCCGACCCCAGACTCCATCATAATGGTGTCAACGCCACACTCTTCGTCATCTTCAATGACGGCAACAGAGGCCGATGTCGAGGCTCAGAAGCCCGCCAGCAAGGCCAACTACTTCCACCTTCTCTTCGACCAGGCCGGCGTCACCCCGGCCGTTGTCGACCGCAAGTACCCCGGCGAGGGCACCCTTGAGTCTCCCTTCGTCGTCGATTTCCTCCCCGAGGATCCTCACAACCCCCAAACATTCGCCACGTCGAAGAAGTGGACGTACACCATCCTGCAGGCCATCGCGACTTTCGCCGTTGCGTTCGTAAGTACAGCTTACTCTGGCGGCATTGCTGAGGTCATTCGCACCTTCGGCGTCTCTACTGAGATCGGCATCTTGGGTGTCTCACTCTTCGTTGTTGGTTTCGCTGTTGGCCCCTTGCTGTGGGCTCCCCTGTCTGAGCTGTATGGCCGTCAATACCTGTTCATCGGCACTTACATCTGCCTCACTGCCTTTAACGCTGGTGCTGCCGGCGCTCAGAACATCGAGACGCTCATCATCCTGCGTTTCTTCGCCGGTGCCTTTGGCTCTTCGCCCCTGACCAACGCTGGTGGTGTTATTGCCGACATGTTCAGCGCCTCGGAGCGTGGTCTGGCTACTGCCATCTTCGCTGCAGCCCCTTTCCTTGGTCCTTCAGTTGGTAAGTATGATTCATCCGAACTTGTCCCGTTGCAGCTCGAACTAACATGTTCAGGTCCCATTGTTGGTGGCTTCCTTGGTGCCGCCGAGGGCTTCCGCTGGATTGAAGGCCTGATGGCCATCTTCACCGGTGTCCTCCTTTTCGTTGTCGGCCTTACCGTCCCCGAGACCTACGCCCCCGTCCTCCTCCGTCGCCGCGCCGAGAAGCTCGAGAAGATGACTGGCAAGCACTACGTCTCCAAGTACGAGGCTCACCAGCCCCGCAAGACCGTTGCACAGCAGTTCAAGGTCGCCCTTTCTCGCCCCTGGATTCTCCTCTTCAAGGAGCCCATCGTCCTTCTTACCGCCATCTACATGGCTATCGTCTACGGCACACTGTACATGCTCTTCGCCGCCTTCCCCATCGTCTTCCAGCGCGGCCGTGGCTGGTCTCCCGGTGTCGGTGGCCTCGCTTTCCTCGGTGTTGCCGTGGGCATGATCGCTGCTGTTATCTACACCGGTTTCGATAACCGCCGCTACGCCAAGGCTGCTAAGGCCGCCGGCGGTTTTGCTCCCCCTGAGGCCCGTCTCCCGCCTTCCATGGTCGGTGGCTGCCTCCTTCCCATCGGTCTTTTCTGGTTCGCTTGGACCAACGGCCCCGAGATCCACTGGATTGTCTCCATCATCGCCTCCGGCTTCTTCGCCGCCGGCCTCGTCCTGGTCTTCCTGTCTCTACTCAACTACCTCGTTGACTCGTACGTCGTCTTCGCCGCCTCTGTCCTGGCCGCCAACTCCGTCATGCGTTCCCTCTTCGGCGCTGCCTTCCCGCTTTTCACCACTCAGATGTACGAGAACCTCGGCATCCACTGGGCCTCGTCAATCCCCGCCTTCCTCTCTCTTGCCTGCTTGCCCTTCCCCTTCCTCTTCTACAAGTACGGCCACATCATTCGTGCCAAGTGTTCGTTTGCTGCGGAAGCCGCCGCTGTCTTGGAGCGCATGCGCAAGACCCATGAGGAGGTCAACGAGGATGAGGCTATGGAGGAGGAGCAGGAGATGAAGCGTGAGCGCACCCTTGAGCGCCAACGCACCAAGGAGCAGCGCCAGCGCGCCAAGTCCAATGCCGCTGCCCCTGGCGGCGTCTTGTCCGAAGCGAAGGCTGAGGATGAGAAGGCCGCCCCCACGGCGTAGGCTCAAAATCCTTGACGCAACCACACTTTCCTCATAATCACGGTTACCAAAAATGTATAGATGGTGGGATAAATGATGATACCCGGAGACGTATATATGTCGATTTCACGGCATGACTAGCATTGGCGAGGAGTTATTTTTGGCATCATTTATCGGAACACTATCACGGCGGCTTCAAGAGCCTCATGCAACTCATCATATACCAGATAGACCTTTCATGTATAATCCTAGTAATAAAGTCTATGGACTCAAGCCTCGTTTTCTCTCCCCTGTGACTTCATGCCGAGATCTCACAATTCATCTCTCTCCCGGCCCCCAATCTTGATCTTCAACCCCGGAATGTTCTTGACCTTGAGGTTGCTCGACCCCACGATCCTCACGTTCGCGCCCCCGGCCTTTTCCTCCTTCGGCTCCTCCTGCCCCGCCGGCGTCCACGCCTTCACCCTTCCCTGCCACACGTCGAGTCCCCACCCCTGCAGCTCCTTCGGCGTGAACCCTTTGTCCTTGGGATAGCGGTACACTCGCCCGTTGGACAGCTGGTGGACCGCGCCGGCGGGGTACCCGTCCCTTGCGGGGTCGAGGCCGAGTTTGCCGGGTAGGTCGGGGAAGTAGGCCGGGTCGACGGTCACGCTCGTCAGGGAGGCGTACTGGGACTTTGCAAAGGAGGATAGCTGCGCGCGGATGGAGGCACGGGTTGCAGCTGAGGGGTGGAAGATGTAGACCATCGGCCAGCCGCGCTTGGGGATGTTAGCAGCATGTTTATGGATATGGGTGGGAGGGGGTTTAGATACCTTGAGCAAGCGCTCGTGGGTGGCGCGTGATAGATCCGTAATGAGCGGGCGCGAGGCCTCAGTGAGCCATGCTTCCAGACCGTCGGGCGAGGAGGAGGTGTGTGTGCTCGCGTCGTCGCGCTTGCGGCAGACGACCTTTGAGTCTGCAGCCTGCGTTTCGACGACGCCGAAGGTGAATTCCGTCCAGTGCTTTTTCGCCATGTCCTCGAAAGCCTCCCGGAGAGATGTTTCCGAGGGTTGCAGGTGCGCGATGCAGACGAAGTCGTCTACGTCTTTGAATCCATCTGCCTCTTCCGGGCTCACATGCACAGGAATCTGGGAGGAGCGTTTGGCTCGGTCGGTGAAGCGAAGGATTCTAGCTGCGGTCAGTGAGGGAATTCTAAAGCATGCGAGAAAGGGGTCTTACTCATCGGCGGTCTGCGGCCCGGCATAGGCGGCCACGTGCTCGGGTCCGCGGTAAAGATGGATCTCGGGGATCGTCTCGGGAGGGGGGGTCGGGCATCTGGAATCGTTGGGGCAGTTGGCGACCCATTCCAGGGGAACCTTAGTCTTGGAGCGGACGGTGTCCCATTCTTGAGCGAGGGCTTTCCTGGTTCCTTGGGATTCCTGTTGGATGGTTTGAGTTGGATGCTAGGGCTTGGAGGGATTTGGGACTTCTGGGTCATGGGATGAAGTTACTTTGACAACTGCGATTGAGTTTAGTGTGATGATGCGAAGATCGGGTTGGGATGAACTCACATGCGACCAGTCTGAGGCCGGGGGCGGGTTCTGCAAGCGGTGCTTGGTCTTTGGCGTAGGTTCCGGAAGCTAGCAGCGACAGCCAGATGCAGAGAGTGAAAAGTGTAGAATAAATCATGTCGCGGCCTTTCATGTGAAATTTTAGTGAGCTGCGAGAAGAAACAATCAGGTTGCGAGAAGAAGGTTGATGGGATTGGGGAGATGGTGGGAACATCTTCGACAACCCCTGTCCTCTCTCAGACAGGGGTATTCTCCTTAGTCAGGGGCCCGTAGTTGAGGTCACATCGCATGAAACGTCGCTTTTGCCAAGTTGGGAAGTCCAGCTAGTGCTTGACGTCTATTACCCTGACGAATATCCGACCAGTAGTGATAGCAGTGATGACAGCAACGCTGATGGAAGCTGGTGACTAGGTGGTTGTTGCCATGGCATTACAGAACTGTACTTGTCCAAGACTTGATGGACTGCCAGACCAACGAATTTGTCGAAGGCTTGGATGCCGGGCTGTAGCCGAGAAAGAGAGCGGCCACGGTAATCTTGGACAGCGCCGAATCGTTGAGCCACATCGTTAGATGGGGTTAAAAGATCGCTTCTCTGTCAAGCACAAAAGGTTGACTGAAATTGTACTTGTTAGCCACGCGGGCTAAGTTGTAGAGTCGCTCGACCGGAATGAGTGCCTGTTGAAGCTCGTCTTGTGGCGAAGGCACAACATGGTGAAATACAAGTCGTTAGCATGGTCGTCGTCGCCGTTGATGACATGTTTACGTGAGCGATAACTGTGGCTGGTCCTTCGGTTCGTCGATATATGAGAGGCTGTCCCATAATAGCGGGGAACGGCCGGGAGACCGTGGGTAGGTATCGGCTGTTGATTTGAAGCCTGTGAATGCTTTTACCATCACGAATCGACATGAGTATGTCCCTGGCAGGATAAATTTCGGTGATTGGCTCCATGGGCACCATATGTATATCGCTTTGAATCATGCCGGTGGTTGTTGATGGTAATGCTGTCGATATAAGTATTGTTGCAGGGAAGTTTCGTCAGAAGACACGCAGTGAAGAAGAACCATATATAAAGGGATAACCACAAGCTACTGCCTGGATTTCATCGTCCCCGTCGATCGGCTTTCTGGTAGGTATTCCGATACTAGGAGCTCCAATCACACATTCCACCTTCAGCCTCAACGCCATCTTCCTGAAAGAATACCGGAAAGCACCAGAAGAAAACACAGGGCAGGGACGAAAAGAGAGAGAGGGACAGAGACGAAGACAGAGACAAAAAGCAAGGGGCGCGGCTATCTGCCAGGATCCTGTGATGAGGAGCCAGAGTAGAGGTGGCCTTTCGCAATGTAACCATAAACCGTCCGGCGATCTTTAAGCGGTGCTTTCTTTAATTCGAGGGTATCGCGATCATATTGCTGTGCTACCATTATTATTACACTAGTCAAACCCAGCCCATTCCTCCTCATCTTCACTATCCTCGGAGCTGTCGCTGTCATCCTCACTCTCTTCCTGACTCTGTTCCTCCTCCTTTTCCTGAGCCGGTTCATCGTCGTCCTCGGCCAACGAGACCGGCTCACCAGTGCTCTTCAGCACCGGCATTCCCGTCAAGTCCCTAATAATCTTCCCCTCGTCATCTCTCACGTAAGGACCGTCCTCCTCCACCATATCCACGTCCCCATCCCTCTCAAAAGCAGCGACAAAGAAACCCATCACTCCGTGCCCATCGCCCTTGTACGTCCGTATACAGGCCTCCGCAGCCGTTTTGTCCCCACCACACGCCTCGGGAAGCCCGCGAACAGGCCACTCCTTCATCCCGCGGACCTGCTTCTCTCTGACCAGAACCCTCCATCCGCGCTCCTTAGCGACCTTGGACTCGAGGGCCTTCATCACCACGCCCTCGTTCTCTTCAGCGTGGATCGAGCAGGTCGAGTACGTGATCTTCTTCGCGGAGGGGAACCTCATCGCGTGCAGGAGCAACGTCAGCTGGAACCCAGCGAGAGAATTCAACCTCTTCTGCAGCTCCTGCTCGGACTGAATCTCCACCGCGTTGCCGTCGTCGTCCACCATCACCTGCTTCGCCTCGTCCTTCTCCTCCCGTTTTCGTTTCTTAACATCAGGCTTCGCGCCCTTTGTCTTCCCCTTCGAGCCGCCCGGCCCCGAAACCTCTGGCAAATGCAACTCGGGCATCGAGTCCCGGCCCACGATACCGCTCCCCGAACAACTCGGGTCCAGCAACAGCGCGCCGACATCCTTGTACGTTTCCGCCTGCGGATCGACCTCCAAAAAGTCCTGCCCGAGCCCAATCTTCGTCGTCCCTCTGCTCCCCGCGATCCTGACCATCTTCTCCAGCGTCTGCGCCCTCTTCGGGTCCCTCTCGAACGCGAAGATGGTCTGCTTCGCCGCCCCCTGCTCCAGCTGGTGGCCCTTCATCACCGCCGCCAGATGCGTCGTCTTGTTCCCCGGCGCCGCGCACGAGTCGATCACGTCGCCGTCCTGCGGGTGCGGGTCCAGCAGGTACGCCGGGAAGCACGACGCCTTGTCCTGCAGGATGACGTCGCCGTTCTGGTACGCCGTCGACTTGGTGACGTCCGTGCCGGGGCTGGTGGCCAGCAGGTTCGGGACGTGCGGGTCGATGAAGACCGCTTTCGCGCTCGACGCCGTGACGTCCGCGATGGAAAACACTCGCTCGAAGCCCTTGAACGTCGTCTCCAGCTGCGTCTCGACGTCGCTCTTGAGGTGGTTCACCCGGATCCAGCGGGGGTGTCTGCCCTCCGGGTCCGCGTTGGCGTTGACGTCCGCGCGCAGGGCGTCGAGAGAGGGCATCCGACGCCGCAGACGCGCGCGCGTGAGCTCCGAGGTGAGGCGCGCCTTGTGCCTCTCGATGGTCTGTCTGAGGCCGTGTGATTGCGGGAGTGCGATGCCGCCTTTGGCGAGCAGGAAGTCGTGGGCGAGCAGTAGGGATAAGATTGGGGTGAGCTGTGACGGGTTAGTGAGTTCTCAAGATGAGTGAGCGCCGGGCTTTTCTACCTTGCGCTCATGGCGAAGCAAGTCCGCCGCCTCGATGACCTCCTTAAGCACGCCGCTCCATTTGCACGTCTCGAATGCCAGGGCGTACACCTGCGCGGTCGGCGACTTGAGCCCCTTCTTGCGAAAGACGCGACTCTTGAGGCTGCCGCCGTGGTCAGGGCTGGCCGAGAGGATCTCGGCCGTCTCGTGGTACAGCGACATTGTTCCCCTTCTGTACTCGTTTATATAGCAATTTCAATTAGTACAAGTGAGATGAGAAAAGAAATATTGAATCGCCCGTCCGGTGTGGTGCATTTCAATGCCTCGGTGAGTGATTGTGGAGCTTGCTCGGCCGTCGTTGAAGAGAATTTGCGGTTCGGAGAATTTTTGCGGGGACCGGGCGGGTGGAGACGACGGGGGATTGGACGCGCGACGAGTGTTTCCCGGCGCATGCCCATCGACTTTGTCACTTTAAGCTGATTTAATTGGGGGAAGATCCGGTGAAAGATTCTGGATCAGAATATTGATTCAGAAGATAGAAGAATTGTGTCTTGGGGCTGCATGAAAGGAAATGAGGTGAAATTCCTCCCAGTAACCTTGATTGGACCGCCATGGCGGGATGCACTTGGTAAGGTCACTCATCTCACGTAATTGACCACGACATTCCATGCGAACCATGATGTAAGTAGTCCATATGGTGACGCTCCAAAAGCAAGCAATTGATGGAAATCGTTTCTGGTTGAAATGTCTATCTGACTACCAGAGCGAAGAGGCCAGCGCCTCTATCCATTTGTGTCCCTTTCAAAACCCCTTCCCAAATGCGGCCCTTTCAGGCCGAACAAGAATCGAAATATATGTGTCCCCGGTGTGAGGTATGTATGTAAATCTGTTTCATCATCTTCGTCAAATCCAACGACGCAAAGTCAAAAAAGCAAACGGAAAGCCTCCGAGTGAAGTCCATTTTCCAAAGCCTGACCGAAATCCCCGCCCAGTGTTCGTTTCCAACCAGAAACCCTTGGTATAAGATCTGAAACTCCCGAATTTCCCAACACAGGCCCTAGAATGTCTAATGAAAAGAAGTTTGGTACAGGCGCAAACCAAAGAGGTGCGCGAAGGTGGAAAACTCCGTCTGTGTTGATTGGCCACTTAGTGGTGGTTGCTGTGGCGGCGGCGCATGTGCTCGTGAACATGGCGACGGGCCTTCTTGTAGCCGTCGCTGTTATTGTTCGCAGGGGTAGCGGCGGCCTGGGAGTCCTCGCTGGCAGTGACCGTGACGGTCTTCCAAACAGTCTTGGTGCTGCGGGTGCAAGAGCCCGTGTTGGACTTGACAGCATCACCGAGAGGGTTTGTGGGAGCGACGGCAGGAATTGACGCCTGGGCTGCCTTGGAAGTGACGGCCGCACTGCTGACCTCCTTCTCGGGGGCTTGCTGGACGGGAAGCTGGGATGCGACGGCAGTGGCCGAAGCCGCCGGAACGGCTTCCTGCTTCACAGCGCCGCTGGAAGCAACAGCCTTAGCGGAAGCGGCAGAGGAAGCTGCGGCAGAAGGCTTGGCGGACGCGGCGGCAGATGCAGAGGTGCCGCCAGAGGAAGGCTTAGCAACGATGCCACCGGTGAGTCCGCCAACGACATCGCCGAAGGTCCAGCCGCCAAGAGGGTTGTTTCCTGGGAGAGCGTCCAAGATGCCGTCGGTCTTCTCATCAATGGGAGAGGGAATGGTGCAGTCCTTGTTGGTGTTGAGACCCTTGAGCAGACCGGGGCACTTGTCCATACCGCTGGAGCCAGCGTTGCAGTTGTCGATAATCTGCTGCAGAACATCGGTATCCCAGGCAGCAATGAAGTCGGCGTGAGAGCTGTAGCCAGAAACATCACCGTTGGACAGGACAAAAGGCTGGGTGCCCTGGCCCGGAGTCCAGCGGTCGGAGAACTTTGGGGTGTTCCAGTAGACCTCGAAGAACATGTGGGGAACGTGGATGTAGCCGGCAGGGCAGTTGGCACGACGCTTGTCCGTGGCATCCTTGTTGGAGGGCCAAGTCATGCTGTTCTCATAGTCGTCGAGGGCCTTGTTGGGGTTGTAGCAGGAAGGCATGTGGATGTCGGCACGAAGGGGAGAAGCGTAGCCGTCGCAGTTCTGGTCAGGGAAACCAACACCAGAGCCCTGGTTGTTGGGGTCAACGATACCAGCGGTAGATCCATCAGAGTTCGTGGGGTAAGAGGCGGGGTTGTAGTTGGATCTAGGGCAGGTCCACTGTACTGGCTGGACGGGGCCGTCGGCGGGCTCGAGATTCTGCTTGCCGCCAGTAGAGGGAACCACTCTAGTAGTGGTGTTACCGCTGACGATCTGAAGACCCTTGGGGAAGGCCTTGATCTCATCGTCGGTACCCTCGAAGCTGCAGATACTGTCAGCACAGTTCCTCAAACTCCAGACGCGGCACTTACAAGTAGTAGACGTTGACGTAGAACATCTCAACCGGCTCGAACTTCTTGGTTTTGGGGTCCTGGAAGTAAAGCCAAGGGAACCAGTAGGCACTGTTGTCACCAGCAATCATGGCATTGGAGCACTTGGACTGGGCCAGTGTGTCACCGGTAGCTGACATGCCAAAGTTGCTTCCTCCCATGACACCGTGAACGTGCGAGGCAGGCTGTCCGGGGGAGACGATGGGATCAACACGGGTGCGGACGAGCTCCTTGCCGTTGAAGCGGAGGACGGCGAATGTGCGGTCGCTTGACTTGGAGCCGGCCGAGGCGGTGCCAGCGAGGGCGGCCAGGGTGGCGGCGGCGGCGGAAAACTTCATGTTTGCGTTTGTTTTGTGTGATGAGAATTGGTCGAGGTGAAGTTCAACTAGATGAGTGAAGAAGAGGTCGTCGCTGGGACTTTTGGGCGTTGAGTAGAGACTGTGGATGCTGATACCGGAGCACCTTCGAAGAGAACGATATATCGCTCAGATGTGATTGTGACTCGGATGAGCGTGTAAGACACTGTGAGTGAGAGAGTGAATGAATCAGACGGATCAAAGACGATGTCTGGGTGTTGTAATGAGAGTGGTGCCAAGCAAGCTCAGCGTTAGTTTTGAAAAGGAATGATGATGAAAGGAGAGAAGAAATGCCCAGCAAGTACGACAGGGAAATGTAGTGGAATGGGAGGTGAGGTCGGGAGTGTAGATCAGGGTTGAAGGAGGCGGACGGGGAAGTATTATAATCGGAGGGCATCTTGGGACGGGGACACACGGACAGGGTGGATGGCAGTTGGCAGCCTACGGCCCAGGCATCCTGACCTCACCTCCAGCTCACCTCTCGCCGCGCGGAAGAGGCCCGGGGGGCAGGAAGACGCTAGTCTAGAGCCCAGGCGCGCTCAGCCGTGACGCCATGGAGTGTTCTGGGTAGTGCGGCCTGGGAAAAACGGCGATGGATGCCCACAGGACCGCAGGGCGAGGACGGGGGCACGGGGAACGATGAGGTGGTGTGGGCGTGGTTGTAAGTCTGCCGGGGGCCGGGGAGGCAACGCATCTTGGCGGGAGACCAGCGAGATGGGAAGGACTGCGGGTGTTTGGCTGGGCTGAGTACCGAGTGCTAATATGGCCCGCCTCCGTCCCCTGGTGATAGACTTTAAACATGGGATGAACGACAGGGACGAACCCTTGAGCTTCAGAGTGCGTCGAGGTTCCTTCACTCCTGTGCAGCTATTTTCGAGTACATTTACTCAGCTTATCCTGCCATTATTATCCACAACCAAGAAGCAGAATATGCATTAGTGGCATCAACATCAAGGAAAAAAGAACGGGGAAACAAAGTTGTTTAGGTGGCTTCCCACCACCAGAGAAACGGCAGACGGCTGGAGAGAAGAAACAAACGCTGCAAGCCCCTGGATACCAGACCCCCGCTCCTCCTCTGGCCGGGCGTTTTCCTCTCTGCAGACTGCAACTGCAGCTGTGCTGCACACTTACAAACGGGAAACCGCCCAGACTTGAAAAGGAGGCCGCGGGAGTGCACAAAAGTTGAGATGGTGTGCTGCAAGACCTGTTCCTGCATAGTGCATACGAAGGAGGCACCCTCATTGGCCATATTTGCGTCTAGCTGCCATTTTTTGTGCAGGTCCCGGGTTGGATTGTCGTCCAGTGTGACGCCGGACGAACTTAGCAGCATGACTCGCCCCTGAGTGTGAGTTCTTTTTTTGCTAGCGCTGTGCCGCGCCGAGTGGCGGCCAGTCAGCTTCAACCAGGTTGAATCAGCGCCTTGGAAGAAGCGACTGCCACCTTGGCTCAGTAACCCGCGAGGCCAGGCGGCAAGAGGTAAGCATACTGCTTTGGCAGCGACGGGTGCCCGTTGGTGGCGTAGACGGTTGACATTGGAAACGACAAGCGCTCCGTCCGTCTGGAAAAGCTAGCAGCAGTTTGGCCGAAGCGCATGGCAACCAGAAAAACCATTGATCCCGACTGTTCCATGGCATCTGGCAGTATTCGTATTTCAGGGGCAACAGAAGCCGAGGGGCCACCAAGAAATGACGTTCTGGCGGGCTGTCACGGTCTCTCATCTAATCCGCCATGTCTTTGCCCGTCCATCGAGAGGCTGACGGATTTGATGATGTGGACATTGCCAATACGGTCGTCGACGGGAATGACGAGGTTGCGGCGGGGGTGACGGGATCTCGGCTAGGATGACGGGCGGTGGAAATAGGGTGAAGCAGCAGCCGTTTGTCGCTGTTTTCTTCAGCCAGGTGAGACGGAACAAGAGAAGATACGGTGCTCACTCAATCGAGCCCCGAAATGCCCAAAAGCGAGTCGAAGCAGCAGTGACAGCTCTCCCTGGACTCAGAATGGACCTCAGAATGGAAAGTGAAGGGGTTGAGGGGTCGAGGGGGCGAGCAAACAGGAAAGAAGAGGAAGGGCCGGCCGCTATGCTAACCTTAATCCAGGCAAGTGGTTCCTGGGCTGGCGGGTCCACTTGCGCAGGGGCTTCCCCATGCCATCTGGTACGTACCTTCGTTGATTGCAGTTCAGGGCTTCTACACGTGTAGGAAGAGAAACTGGAAAGAACAATCCAGATGATGGACGACAGTCGCTAACACCTGCCATCCGCTGAATAGTTGCGGTGGCAGGAGCACAGTTTGGATGTTCTCACCACCTGGCAGTCACGTCGAAGACAACCTCTTCTCTTTCCAGTGTCATTCTTCTCCGTCACCCACCACAGCCTGCAAACAATCCCTTTCTTGCCCCGGTGAGGAATCCTCTTGTCTCGGCTGCTCTTGGCCCGGGAAAGACTTTTCTAGCTGCATAACTGCTTGTGCACTCATAGCTGCCCGCTTTGGTCGCACGACACTCGATTGGATTCAAAATTCCAACGATACCAACCAGGAGAACAATCCCATTCATTTTTGCAAGTGGATGGTGACCCAATAGTCTGTTTCCATTCCAATCCTTGGGCCTTTGCGAGGTCATTCGACTGAAGGAGAACACCGATGGATTCGCTCTGGTGGGGTTCACCAAAGAGTCCAGACCTTCGCCGATATCTCCCACGGAGGCTGGAGGATCTGTCTTGAACCCTGCCATGACAGATTGCACAGGCCCGACTCAATGGTCAATGGATTTTGAAGGACCACTGAGTCGCATAGCCAGCCGCCGGTGGGGTTTCAGAACGTCTCATCCCGGCGCTCATCCCGTGTCTGTCTACCCACGTTTTCAACTAAACATTCACGGAACCTCCAGCGAATCACGCTTCGTCGAGCCGCCACCGTTCCATTGGTCAAGCCCCGACGGGGAGATCAACCTCTACCTCCGAATGTGACCTCGTTACATCGTCTCCCTGTCCATTGCATCGGGATTCCTTTTCATCAGCTGCAGCGCCAACTGACCACATTCAGCGACACGGAAACTTGACGGCTTTTGAAACCGCCACAACACATGCCTCTCAGGGGCGTTGCGGCCGCGGCCGCCTGCCCGGAGATCATTCTCATGGCACTTGATAAATGGCTTGCCATCCTCTAGGTCCTCCCGTGACTGCCGCTTGCCAGTCTAGGTCGTTGTCGACCTCGAAGCCATCCGCACACCAAAGTTCCCTCAAGTCGACCAAATGATGGCTGTCAGATGCGGCTGGCGCCAACCTCCAATGTGAAGTGGTTGGGTGGCTGCGGAAGCATCACGGCTGGTCACGTCTGCATCTTCGTTTGCTTCCCTTGACAAGAGGCTTTCGTATGGCTGAAACCGCGGACAGGTTTGCGCCTCCGATTCTAGAGTCGTGACGTGGAAGCTCTCTAGACCAGTCATCTCAAGCATCGTGGCCATGTTGCCGTTTGGTCAGGCTGGGAAAAGTCAGGAACACAACTCTTGCTTCGATCAGCCTCCATACTCTGACTCTGAATCCTAGCAACATTCCCTTCATCTACAACGGCGCACTTGCGCCCTTTGCTCGATTTAGGTCTCGTTTTGCAACGCCTCATTCCAACGCTCGCCAATCCCTCGCCAATCCTTGCTTACCCGGACTTCGGTCGAGTGTCCTTCTGTCTTCCCAAGACTTCGGTCGGAGACAGTCTCACCGTTTTTGGTCAATTGTTCTTCGGCCAGGGCAATTGTCACCGGACGTCGTCATGGAGTTCCTCAACGGACTTCCCGGGTACCACTCACCGCCGTCAACATCACTGCCCATGCTCTTACTCCTCAGCACTGCCACCGTCTGTTTATTTCCATGTCATTCAGCCTCCGCTTATACGGTCGGCGTCGGGGGCTCGCGAGCGCCCCAATGGCTCTTTTCGCACGTTCATATTGCCAAGCAACCAGAGGGCCTGGTTTGGATGAGTAAGGCCAAGAGCGGACGCGAAATGAACGACAATAGGGCACAACAAGATGCCTCGACGTTGAAATCCATTTAAGCATACCCTGCTCTCTGGGCGACCGTCATGCGATTCATGCTTGCTCACCTTTTGTGAAGCCCGTGAGGGTGTACCCCTGTCGCATTCAAGGGCGGAAAACCACAGACTGGCGCGCGCTTCAGAAACGCCGGGCTCACAACAGTGGCCCGCCCAATCAAACAGATGACGAATACCGGTCAAGATCAGAATGCGTGGCTTCTCATATGAAACACATTGTTTTCACCTTCTGGGAAACAACAATGTTCAGTTTTGTTTGCACAGATACGTGGGTGCGGGCAGCCCTCCCGTCAGCCAAAGACCGAAGCCACCAGCCATGCAACCGCTACGCTCGCTTACATCACCATGCACCAATTCTCGGCGAACGGCAGTTTTCATGCAAATTTGCCGAACTTTCTTATTCCTGTCAGAACATGCGAAGATCCTTTGGACGAGCAAACTAACAAGATTCATTTATGAGATGATTGCTGCCCGCTTTGCGATAGTGCTTTCCCGCAGGGACGGATCGACGGCGGCGCGCACGATACCGAGCCCAGTCCAGCCGGGAACGCCATCCAATCTTAAGCCATGTGTCGCCCCTCGACCATCTAGAATCCCTCGTCTGAGCAAGCGCAGCCGATCATGTCACCGCGGCTTGTTGATCCGGGGGAGCTCAGCCGGGTATCTCTCACGGAACCGAACCGTCACCGACATCAGAGCATCTTCCGTGCCCATCAGTGCCGACTAACCTACCATCAGCTCCTCATTAGCGTGGAAAAAAGTCTCTCAGCTGGTGCTGCCTCCTCCCCCGTCAGACAGAGTCAATGTCCCTACATCAGTGTGCCCTTATCGCGCCCCTTACAGCATCGCGACCCGGAACGGCGTAGCACGCAAAAAGCTTCGCTCGTGTGCGTGCCGAGCGTCCGGATCGCGGTCTTCGGGGCTAGGGCTGACAGACATGGGCCCGCGCGGGTGATGTTGGTGTTCGAATGACGGTTACGTGCGTCTCGCTCTGTTGGACCCGTGTGTCTCCGAATGTCTAGGACGGTGGAAGTCAGCAGTTTCAATAATTTTCCACGGCACGAGACACGCTGGGTCGACAATTGTTCGAAACTGACACACCCCGTACTCTTGTATTTCCCCTCATGTCTTGGGGGATGAGCCAATCGTAGTTGACGGAATGATCTGTCAAGCTCCGATGCGTTACACGGCAATATACTTGCTGAGGAATCAGACGGCCGAGGCGTTGTCGCGTTTGAAGCTGCGGCCAGCGAAGAATTCTAGTAGGCGACACCATTTGTCTCGTTTTAGATTTATCAAGTGCTCATGGAAGTGGTTGAGATCACCTTGTATTGCTACACTGCTATCTAGGAAAAGCCGACCTCGTCGACTTTCTGTCGTCGTGAGAGTAGTCGTGAGAGTACCCAGACATGAAAACCTCCTGCCGAACCCATGCCATTTTTAGTAACTAAACCCACATATTCACTTGAGGCTCACACAGCTAGTCCTTCTCCCGACCTGGATCCTTTCTCTCTCTCTCTGTCTCCTTGATAGCTTCAATCCGACAAAGTGTGACCCAGCTCCTTTTCAGCGTCCTGCATATACTCCACCACCGTCTTAGCATCTCCCCGGATAAGCTCGTGATCTCTGTCATCTCCCTTGCTCAATTGCTCCAGCCTCTCGATCCAGAAGCCCCATCGTTGCAGACACATCATCGGGGGACCATGATACAATGGTCCTGGTTCTTCGTAGTCCATCGAATCCTCCTTCGGATGTTCCGCACCAACGTTTTCCAGTGCCCATCTGAGAAGAGGTTTGGAAGCCAGACGCATCGACCACTCACAGGCGATAGACATCCGACACTCAGCAATGTCAATATCTGGGCTGATCTCCTCCTCGAGGGCCGATCTCATGGCATTCATGGCATGATGATGAGGTCCGCCAATCGCACTTGCCAGACACAGGCCTCCGAAACTGTTCAATTGCTCCCAGGCAAGTCTACTTTCCCAGGTGAGCTTCGTGTATCCCGTGGTCGGATCTGAGAGTAAGTCAGTGATTACTTCCCAAAAGTAAAGCAACTCAGAGGTGGCATACCAGAACAAAAAGCAGCATCCATGCAGTATGAAAACATGGGAAGATCCTTCCACAGACGCCTTTCCTCCTGCAGGGCCGTTTCTCGTCAGTATCGATGAAGCATAGAGAAGATCTTGAAAGAAAATAACTTACACTACCAATCTTCACGTATCCCCTCGCTTGGCGATGCAACGATGAAACAACCCAAAACATCGAATACACGCTCCTGAAATCACCAAATCGAGCGATGTCAATGAGGATTTCCCACAGCGTCCACAGCCAGTCTTTGACCTCTTCCTCCTGATCGCTAGGCGGGCAAAGACTGTCAATCTTCGCGGCGGCTTCCTCCGAAGATTTTGTATGGATAGACGCAACGGCGGTAGCCAACACGTCGATGATGGCACGCTGTTGCTCAGAGAAGTCTCGGTTTTGGAATCTTTTGATTCTGTACACAGGGTTCGAGTTCGGGATCATTTTGTCGTCTGCATCTTCGTCTGACTGGTGTTCTGCGGCAGTGTGGAATGAGGCGTTGTCGTCATTCAATGCGTCGGATACAGTCGTCAAGTCCTCAGTGACCACCGGAGGAGCTCCTGTTGGCAGATCTGAGTCGCTGCACCGACCAGACGAGAGACCAAGAGCGGCTTCAAAATCCTCGCTGGATTGCGACTTGGGTCTGTCTGAATATTCGATTGTGGGGTCGGCGTCGATTGTTTTGGAGAGATTGACGTTAAAGAGACCCTTGCGCTTCCCATTTCTTGAGCCAGTATCATAATTGGCGTCAACGGGTCCTCCAAACAGCGAGCGAGAAGATCCAGCATCGCACCACGCCTTGGTGTCAGAGGTGATGCTTCGGTCGATGGACACAAGCAATCCTGGAAAATTTTCACTGTATCGAAATCCAGGTGGAGGCGAGGGCTGAGGAGGGAGAGTAATCTGGGCAGTGGAAGGTTGGTTTGCAGAAGCCTTTGAGGTAGACTCAAGAGCAGGTCGAGTAGATTGCTGAAGTCCATCGTCGGCTTCCGGTTCAATGGCGATGTCAGCGAGCATTTTCGTCAGCTTTGCTTCGTCGCCTGTTGCGGATTCGGGAGAGGGATCTGTCATAGGCTCAGTCGCGGACTCGCTAGTATGCTCCTTGACGCTGTCCGGCGCGACCTCTGGCGCAACGTCTGTCGGGGGGTCAATCTTGGAGTTCATGCTGTCGTCCGGGACAAAAGTCTTCGTCTTCTTGGTTGTACGATCGTGCCGCGAGAAGAGCAAGGAGGAAAAATTGAGAGAGCAATGCGAAGGGGAAGGGGAATGTGAAAAGTCGAGGTGGTTGAGGGAGCGAGTTGGTGAAAGAAGGAAAGAAAACAAGACGGTTGAGGGTAGGTGCTGAAATAATTATCAGGCTTGATCACAGCTGATCTGAAAGCAAGCTGACCGCCCCGCTTGTTCTTTGCGGGTGCCCTTCCACGGGCGACCCTGCCACGTGACCCGTTTGTCGCAACTTCACCTCAAAGATCACCCGACCGCCCAGTGAATTAAGCACACCCATCAGGCGAATGTATTGCCATGGCAGATACGGTTTGTTGACTTTGGGCCTGTCCTCCGGTACAACGATTGAACGACCCTACCTACGGTGCAAGTACCGTCGTCGATCGATGTGGGTCCTGATCATGAAGCTATTCCCAAAATCCGGGTATGTGAAGTAAACAGAGCAACTGCCCATGTGGCAGGTACTCAACAGAAATCGTGATGGCCCTTGGAAGCTCTTATTATTTGGTGTTTTGAAAGTGTGTGTATTTTGCCTCACCCGCATCACCTCACGCGTTGCTACGTGGTTGCTTGGGAGGTTGATGCCTCAGGGGATGGGCTTCGTCTGATGATACACCGCGCTAAAAAGGGGGTACCGCAAGTGAATACAGAGACGAGGCCTCAGGCTTTGATCGCGTCAGAGTGATCGCGTCTCAAGGCCTTCACCATATAAAGACGTCAGAGTATCCCTCCCCCTTTCAAGCCCACCAACCCTACCCTTCTCGCGATCTTTCCCTCTGACTCCTCTTGACGAGAACCTCAAACCTTGGTGATTGCGATCTGCAATTACAATTCACACTGTCTTCTCACAAACTACCCCTATCATCGAAGACGTGACCATGTCTCTCAGTCTGTCTCGTCTGCAGACCAGAGGAAGCGCCTCCAACAACTCGCGCCCGACAACTCCTCCCAATGCCCCAATGACATGGGCCTCCGTCGTCTCGCCCAGGGCTGGCCGCCCGGTCAACCACTCCGAGAAATCCTTCGTGAGCCGCGTGGCCCGCCAAGAAGAGGCCGACATAGAAGCCGAAAGGGCCCAGAGACGCAAGTCTCACGACTCTTACGTACATCAGTCCCTCTCCTCCATGTTGCATGCCTATGAAAACCAACTGACTTTACTTCAAAGTACTTCGCCCATTGCGAAGACGAGCCTCAATACGACCATCTAAATGCCGCAGACATCCGCCGCCAAGTTCGACAGGCGCCTTCAGAACACTACTCTCGCGGCCTCTACCCACACGAGTACGGCAACAAGCCTCCCCTCCCTCTGCAAGCAGAGCCAAGGTGGTCGGAGTTTCCGATGAAGCCTAGCCCTTCCAAGGGTGACCGCGGAAACAACTACACTGGCGGCAACCCCGGTCCCGTCCGAGCAATCTACAACGACGACAATCGCGAGGTGTTCGATGTGGCGTATCACGACAAGACGCGTCCTGGCCGCAAGTCGAAGAACGGGAAGTCTTAGGAGAGCCACCCGTTTTCGCTGGCGACGTACCGTCCCGCCTTCCACAACCCAAAGCCTTGAAGCTTGCAGCTATTGGATCAAAGATGAGCAATGTCATTTTATGAGAATCAGCGAGTTTGCGTGGACACAGCTTCTTTCTTGGTAAGCGCGATATCCCTTGTCCTAGACGATGTTGCTTCCATCGCTAACACCTTTGTCAGATTACAAGCGAGGCGCATTGCGGTGCTTGATTGAGAACATCACGAAGGATTGCAGATTGGATGGCAGGTTCTCGAAGATGCAGACAGGCCACTGGTTCATCAAGCCAGAGGAGCATGAAGCAAACGCGTGGCGGAGAGCTGGATTTGGATGGATAATGACTTTACGTGGTGGGCTGGGGATAATGAGACATGGATGATATTCTTTTGAGTTGCATTGGTTGTGCTGATCTGACGGTGCCATGGCATCGAAGTTGGGGCGTTTTGGCATTGGTTTCGTCGTTCTGCACTTGGCTTGCAGATTGGGCTTTATGAGCAAAAAATACCCACAGCGATAGAAGCTCTTAGTTGTGCTGTTTTCCAGAAATCAAGTTTGTTCTGCTCCTGATGAAAACGCTCGTCCTTGTGGGATTCCACAGCGTGGTAACACAATGCTTTCTATTTCCAAACAGACCGTAGACCTTTGAGTCGCGCTGGATCAATGCCAACTACTAGCCTATGATAACTTTTCTGCAGGCTTGGGGAGCAGTTCATGCTGACAATAAACGACGCACACGCTTCTCGACGTTTCTTATCGTCTTCGCGGCCTGAAGTGCCATTTCCCGCGTGTCTTCTTCCAATACAGACGCCTCCTTCCCAAGCATCTCCAGACGTTCAATCCAGAAGCCCCATCTCTGCAGACACATGGTCGCAGGTCCGCCGTACAATGGGCCTGCTTCCAAATATGATGGCGAGGCCCTGGCGACTTTCGCACGACCAGGGTTCTCCAGCGCCCACCGTAGAAGAAACTTGTCGGCGTGCTTGATCCAAAGGCAAGCGACCTGTATCCTGCAGTCTGCAAACCCCGGCAACGTATTCACATCCTCCTCAAGGGCTGTACGCAATGCTATGATAGCTTGGTCGTAGTCACTGGCGAGACCTGAGCGCATCAGTCGAGCCGCAAAGCAGCTGATGTTCTTCCAGCTCTGGACGTCTGCGGGGTCAAGCTTTTCTGCTCCCAGTTTGCTGGTTGGGTCTGTATTGGACATGATTCAGAATCATTCTTCGACATGGCATAAAAGGTAGAACTTACCATTTTCCCAGTACTCGTGAAAAGCGATTGGGAAGACGGGTAGATCTCTCCACACGCGTAGATCGCTCTAAAAGCATAATCAGCTGATGTACAACTTCAGAATATTGCAGGGGCAGCCTACGCCCCAGACGTCCATCATCCCTTTGGCACACTGCACCAACTCCTCAAGGATGCGGATACAACCCTCTTGTACTGTGTCTTTCGATCCAATATCTGCAACGATGTCAAGCATAACGAGCCAGACCATGTACATCCAATTGTTGGCCTCTCCAGTTCGGTTCAAGGGAGGGCAGAGATCGTTGAGCTGGTGCGCGGCCTCTTTTGCGGCTTCTGGAGTGGCGGCGGAAATTCCGCGAGCGAACAAGTTGAGGACCGCAATATGTTTTGAGGTGATGTCCTTACCATCGAGGTCGTAGCTTTGCAGGATCTTGTCCTGAATCTCGAGCTCGAAAGCAGCAATTTTTGCGGGCGAGGTCTCGCTATCGACTTCTTCAGAAGCTGGACCATGAGTCTCGATCTCCGCACTAGGCGCAATTGGCAACTGCGTCGTGCTTCTTGCCTCGTCTTCTGTCGCAGGTTCTCCATTTAGCTTCGTGGAGCGTTCTGCTCGAACTTTGGCGTCTGCTTGCGCGTCCCGTTCCATCGCTGACTCTGTTTGATTTGGACTCTGTGCTCCAGTCTGAGTATTGATGGATTGTGCGACGCACGGTCCCTCTATAATGATTGACTTGAGTGGATGATGAGATGCTGTGTTATAATAAGACGTCCAAAACACGAACACGCGTGTGGGAGTTGGAAGATATGGGCAAAAGGTGGAGCGCCAGAGTATCTGCGACTAGGTGAATACGGAAAGTGCGAGAGGTGAAGGTGAATTGGCGTACCGGAGCAAGGAAGGAGGTGGTGATGTGAGGAGGAAGTCACTCGCCCCGCCTGCTTCTTCCTTTAAGCACCTAACAGCCTCACTTTCTATCCGTGTGGCTCAGTTTGCAAAGCTTTTGATACACGAATCAACTTTCGCTTCTAGTAAGTAGCAAATAAGTAAAGACAAAACTCCGTGAATTTAACTGAGTCACTGGTTATGGTCATGACGAAAGTGAAGTATCGTCAAGTCCTCAGACAACATCCGTATGATGTTTACAGACACTTGATGCCCCCTGAGTCACCTGTGACATCCATACATTATCTGGATCTTTGATCTAGGAATGCACAGAGTTATCATACTATGCGTGGAATATTGTCACTACTCTTGACTTGTTGACGTCTTCGACTGACGTGTTTGAGACACGCCCAACCTTACAGAGGAAGCATCCACTTCACAGTGATGGCTTTTCAGATATATTCGAAGCAAATTTGTCTGAAGATGATATTCACTTGGTATCCCTTTGGATGATGCGCGCCAGGATATAAGCAATAGCAATATCATCCTCGCGCAGACGGCGACACGAGGTGAGTGAATTCTTAAACCCCATCCACTTCAACGCTGGGAAAGAAAATTCGAAAATAAAATCCCTTGGATTTCTCCCGAGTGAACACTCTCTCTACTCTCAGTCGACATTGGTATGATCCCAACTGCTCTCGCCATACTATCTCAGGAGTTTTCTCGGCGTCTGGGTGGTGTAAGTCTTCCTGCATGTCCACTTTGCGCTGAGCCATCTTGAAATCTTCCCTCACTCTCTATATGTCTCTCGATAACACTGATTATCTCGCAGGTACAGTACTTGAGAAGGAACAATACTCAAGATGAGCTACTCGTCTAACCGTCACCACTTCAGAAGTGGCACCGGTTCCTCGACGTCCTCGCAGACGGAAGTCAGGACTTCGCGTCGGCAAACCGCGATTATTGATGTCGAGGACCAGCGTGAGATTCACCGCTGGACGTATGAACCTCGTCAGGAGGGGGATTACCTCGACGAGCAAGATCTCGAGCACCGCCGCCGTCGAAGCCCGACCCCGTCTCATGTGAGTGATCCGCCGGTACTTCACGTCCTAGCTGAACGTAACCCTGTCATTATTTCGCAGTACGAGACCGACTGTGAAAACCCCGAGTACAGGTTTCTTCTCGCCTCAGATGTCAGACGTCAGGTCCGCCAGGCTCCTTCGTACCATGGTGGAAATCGCGGCTATCCCCATCAGTACTTCAATCGCGAGAGACTCCCTGTCCGATCCGAAGCTCCTCGCTACGAGCATCCCATCATGCCAAGTCCGGGTGAGGGTAGAGAGCTCGACAACTGGAGACCTGGACTTATACCGGGACCCGTCAGGGCGATCTATAACGAAGATGACCGCACCGTCTTCGAGGTGGGATACCACGAGCGTAGTGCCGCACCAAGTGGACCGCACGTCGGTGCGAGACAGAGTAATACCCCGTTTAGGCTCGCCAGGTACCATCCAACTGTTGACTACAGGGATGAAGATGAGAACAGGCGCTCGTAAGTTCGGCATTGATTTTGCTCAGTATACATCTTTTCGTGTCTTTCGGTGTCTCGCTTGTCGGCCATGGTTGAGAAGCATGGACGTAGAGAAGAGGTCTTCATTCCCACAGACCGGGGGTATCTCTGGATGATTTTGTTACATAGCATAGCGCACGGCGTCGACGGCATCGTAAATAAAGAGACCTGTTTCTTCATTTGTTATCGTCTAGTATATATATGGGCCTCCGGCTGAGTGGAACGAAAGCTTGCGCGTGGCGCAGATGCATAACCGTTACAGGCTTTATACCCATCTTCTTCTCAAAGCTGACTCTTTGCTCTCCCGTATATTATGGCCCAAGCTTGTCAGATAGGACCCAACAAACCAAGCTTTCATCTTTCTTGGTGATGAATGCAATGCTTGCAAGCAGCGCAACAATCGGGGACTGCTCTTTGAAGATCGCCACCTTTTGGTATTGACGCCTCGCACTATCCGCAGTGCCTATGATACTGCCAAACTTAGATATGAAAGATGATTTACATTTACAAAAGATTTACACAAGCATGGGACAATCTTGAGCCCTGTCTACTGCTCATCGTGCTCCTGCGGCCAGCAAGCAGCTACCTCAATCTCGCCATCCTTGCCCTCCTCGAAGCTGAGCGCCACGGTACCTCCAAATTGGAGCGGGCTGCCCTCCCAAATGACAATGTCCTTGCTCCTCTCAAGGCCGAGAATGTCTTCGACGTTGCTTGACACAAGACGGACGGTCTCCTTGGCTCCGAGGTTGGCGTACTTGGCTGCCCAAGAGGCCTCGAGCGCAAGGTCGTGGAGGCGGTAGTCGGCTGGCATGACTAAGGAACGGAAAGTGTCAGTCTATGTATTATTTTCATAGCGACTGTATGAAAGGGAAACTCAGGGGGAAACATACTGTCAGACACAACGGCAATGGCGAAGTAAACACCTGCCTCACTCAAGAGTCGGGCGACACTAGGCGTCAGGGGCGGGCCGACGACTGCGTCTCGGTGTCGGAATTCGTCGGGTGCAGGACGAGTCTGTGTGAGAATGAGAGGGATCTGGGATTTGGCGAGCTCCAGGGCGACCTGCAACGCATGGTTAGTCAGATAATGGGCAGCGTCAGGGATGACACTTACCAGAGGGGCCTCAGCACCGCCTTGAATAACAATGTTCACGTCGGGGAAGTCCTTCTTGATGCTGATGATTTGCTGGATGTCCCACTGTGCACATGTCAGTTACGATGCACCAAATCTGGCCGTTGGGTGACTTACGTGGTTATTAGCCTTGATAATGAGCGGCAGCTTGCCGTGCGCTACCTCTCCGAAGCTCGTCTCGTTGTGCTTGCCCTGGCCGTCCACCAGAATCTTGCGCAGCTTCTTGACGGCGTTGCTGATGGTTCCCACGCTGGCCTTGGCGCCATCATCAAGAGTGACATGCAACGCGACCTCGGGCTTGAAGATTCCACCATCTAGGAGGGTGCGGCCCCGTCGTGTGAGGATGCCGACGCTAACACCGTTGACGAAGCCAGCGTCGCTGACGGGAGGAGAAATGGCACGAGTGACGCCACCGAGGCGGGCGCGTGCAAATGCCTTGCCCTCCAGCTGAACGCCGTACTTGGCAAAGTCAAGGTTCTCAGGGTCGTTGCCGTCGCGCTTGAAGTCGGCGTAGCCATCGCCAGTGGAGGGTTCCGTCGCAATCTCCACCAAACCGAGGGAGGATGTGATGGCCGTCAGACCTGGGAGGACGTGGCCGTCGGACAGATCCAGGGTGGTGACTTCGCCTTCTGCTGATGCCTGGGTGACTTCTGAAGCGCAGTTCTTGGAGGTGTTGAGACACGTGATGCCTCCCTTGTTGATCACCAAGGTCAGGTTCTCCCCGCTGACATCGTGGAAGGTCGAGGGCATCTGCGGGTGGTTCTCTAGGAAGGTGGTTGTGATGCCGTTGATGACGAATGTGGCCTTCTTCTTGGTCTTGGAGCAAAAGGCTTCCTTCGCCTCTGGCTCGAGTTCCGTTCGCATCTTGGGAGTGATCGGTGCGGGGACCTTGGCGGACGCCTCGTTGAAAGTCGTACCCATGCTCTCTTGAACAATCTGGTGCTTAAGCTGGGGGTTGCCGTCGATGTAGACCTGGAGAGGGGTCGCGCCGATAGAAAGGGGGTGGGCATCCCAGACAACCAGATCGGCATCATATCCAGGACGCGCGTAGCCAATGCGGTAACCCAAGTCGATGGCCTTTGCGGGGATCGAGGTGACAGATTGCAGAGCCTGCTCTTCCGGCAAATGGAACGAATGGCCAACACCGGCCTGATACATGATATACTTGGCGCTCAGCTCCGCCGACGTATGGTCAGATTTGTAGGCGACAGGAACGCCGTGCTTGGCGAGGATTGCACCTGCAGACAAGCTGGGAGCGTAAGCCTCCCACTTGTACAGACTGAACTCGGCAAAAGTGGCAATCGTGACGTTACTGCAGGTTTGTTAGTTGTGGAGGTCGTTCAGATTACCCGGTGATACTCACTCCCCATAGTTCTTCAGCATCTCAGGGACTTGCCACGCTTCAATGGCATGGTGGAAGGCCCGGACCTTGACACCAAACTCGCCGGTCACTCGCAGCATGGTCTCCAAATCCTCAGGAAGATAGCAGTGGTTCTGCATTGCCACGCGGCCACGAAGCATGCCAGCGGTAGACTCGAGCTTCAACTCGGTGGGAAAGTTTCCCAACTGCTCGATGAAGCGGCGCTTCTCCTCCATAGAGGCTGTCGACAAGAGCGTGGCAGCCTCGCAGTACTCGTCCTGCTTTTCAACAAGCTCTTTGGCCTTGGCGAATTGCTCACGGAGAATCCAAGCATCGGCCATACGAGTGTGGTCGTACACCCGCTTCGGGTTCTCGCCGCAGGCGAGCTTCATGTATCGATGGCGCTCTTCGATGGGGATTCCGTGCTCGAGGAGGAGCTCCTCCACAATGTATTCGCCCAACTCTCCAGAGTTGAGAACATTCTTGATCGCAGTTCCCTCACCACCCATGACATTGGCGGATCCAGGGAGAAGGAGAGACGAGGTGATGCCACCTGACATGATGATCTCTGTGGCCACATCATACGCCTTGGTCGAATCGAGAACGCGCACGAAGGGCGTCAAGGGGCCGTAGGCTTCGTTCACCTCGTTTGTGTCGTCGGTGGCAGACAGGCCAGGCCACATCATGACTGCATGGTGGGAGTGCATGTCAACCAAACCGGGTGTGACAAAACGACCGTGCACATCGTGCTCGACAGCTCCATCGGAGCTGATTGACTTGGAAGCAGTCGTCGCCACCTCGGTGAAGAGGCCTTTCTCAAACTTGATGTCCATTGGCTCGGAGGCAATCGTCTCGCCGTCGAAGAAGGTCGCGTTGCGAAGCACAACAGGCTTCTCCTGGCCGCGCTCCTTGTTCCATCGCGGGTTCGACGTACGCGACTTCGGGTTGGGGCTTTGAGGGAAGGTTTTGAGAGAGGCGCAGTGTTGCAGCGACTCCTCGAACCGGGTCAGCCGGGCGGACGAAGTCGCGTGTTGGGCGACATGGTCGAGCTTCGTCTCGCGATCGAGGAGAAGGCACAGCCAGGTAATGGCACCGCAAAGGAAGACGGCGAAGAGCAAGCGGACGGATATCAGGCGTCGGGCAAGGGTGCGACGAGTCCGGACGCGGGGGTAGGCGGCAGCTTCATACGGTGGTGGGGTCTGGAAGGAATAGAGGTCGGCCTCTTTCGAGGACCGGCCTGCTGATTGAGGCATCGTGTGATGATGCTTGGGGTCGAGAGTGCTCCGGGTGAACGAAGCAATTGGTCACCAAAATGGCACTTCGAAGTAGCAGAAGAAGGTCGACGTATCGTAGAGAGTGGGACGTCACATCATTTTATCAGTGGCAGCCTGGGGTAGCTCTCTTGTGAGCTTCAGATTACGACTTTTCGCATCCATGAACGGGAATCTCGACCAGTTGGGAAGGTCAATTCAGCGTCGCTGGAGCTCCAGGAAAGCTTGGGTGATGAGCGGGGAAGCGGCAGTGGTATCTCACGCGATAAGCTTCTGGAGTTGTTAGTCCGGCCATATCGTATGGGAGTGATCTCTAACAGGAAACATCCGTCGCCCCCAAAGCTACTTGTGCTCCACTGGAGCTCTCATCGCCAACCGGGAGCTTCGCTGCAGAGTGTGTGCGACAGGGGAACTTTTGGGGAGCAGCATGTTGCGTGTCTCATGCTGGACGTGACGCAACCCAGAGTGAGCGTCGCTGGCGCGTCCAGACTCTGCATCGGCGCGTCGACTCGAAGTGAGCCTTGTCACGACCTGCGTGGGAATGCAGAATAGGCGCTTGGACTGTCCATCGTGCTGAATATTCGAAGACGAAAGACCTTTCACTCTTCACCAAACGACGACGAGTCCTTCTTCATTGCTGGGATTCTCAAAGTTTCCTGCTCCATCGGCAACAAACCCCCGGGCCGCCACCTCGTCCCAACTATTGAATGAAGCCTCGTTGCGCAAGGGAATCTTCAATTCAGCCGTTCCGACACCTGCAATCGACAATTGCCCATACCAAAGCCAGGGCGTTGCAGATAACCACCTGCTTTTAGATGAGCGAGGAGCTGCTAGAAACACCGGACGATGATCCCTGGGGGCGGGAAGTACGGGGAAAGGCACACTTGGCACCGGATCTGAGCCAGCACTTCCTGCAAGTGGAGGTCTTGGGTTAGTGACGGAGAGGGAAACACTGTGAAGGGGGGAAATTCGTCTCGTCTTTCCCTGGTTGGCTTGGGCCGCCTCCGTCTCTGGTGGACCAATAGGTCTCCCCCTCCCCCAAAACGGCATCTGCCACAGTGGGCCTGTTTTGGCTCTGTTTTGGAGTGTTTGACCCTTGGGAAATCCCAGCTGCAGCGACAGCTAAAGCTGTTCTGTTCTGGTCTTCCTGCTGAACATCGACATTTTCTGCGATTCAATGTCTCTTTCCAAATTCCATATTTCTTCTGGTTCCTCCTCACCGCGCCTAGATTGGTTTGTTTCCTCGCCTGGCATCCAATCATTTCGTGCTTTTTTCGATCTACCAGAGACAGCCTCTGCATTGTAATGCTCCTTCGCCGGCGTCTATATCCATTGTCTCGTCCGTAATCTTTCCATTTCTCGGCACTCGCCTTCGTCCTCCCTGCATCTTCTTCGCCATCGACACCACAGACATCTCCACCATTCATCACGATGCCGGAAGCAAAATTGGAAGAAGCAGTTCAGCTGCGCCCTCCGCAGTCTACTGCCCGCCTGGTGGAGCGCATCTGTCAGCTGATATTTGTCTACGCCATTTCCTTCGCCGCCATGTTCATGCTAGTCACCAAGATTTCCCCTGGAAAGTGGCCGCTAAAGGAGCCGTCGCTGGACAAGCCCAGACTCAAGCTAGGGGCCACGAACCGCGACTTTCGCATTGGCATCTTTTCTGATCTGCACTTTGGGGAAGTCGAGTTCGCCTCCTGGGGCATCGAGCAGGACGTCAACTCCACTCGCGTCATGAAGAATGTCATGAGGAGCGAGCATCCGGATCTTGTGGTACTGAATGGCGACCTAATTACCGGCGAGGACACCCACAAGGAGAACTCGACAGAGTACATCAATCAGATCGTGCGGCCCATGATAGAGGCTGGCCAGAAATGGACCTCTATTTACGGAAACCACGATTCCAAGCACAACCTGGACCGCGAACAACTCTTCCGCGCCGAGAAGGGCTATGACCTCTGCTACACCACCTCCATGGGCGACAAGCTCCCCGGCATCACCAACTATTACTTGCCCATCTTCGACGGCGACGCCAAGGACCCCATTGCTCTGCTGTGGTTCTTTGATAGCCGCGGCGGCACTACCTACCAGACCGACTCCGACAATATGGACGATATTCCCAATTGGGTCGCACCTGAGACGGCCGAGTGGTTCACCACGACCTACGACGAGCTGAAGGAAAAGCACGGCCGTGTCATCCCTAGCGTGGCCTTCGTGCACATCCCGCCCCACGTTTTCCTCGACGCCCAAAAGTCAAATCTAGACCCAAGCAAGTTTCCGGGCTTGAATGCCGACTCCCCGTTGGCCATTCAGGGCCAGGGCCAAGAGGACGACCCGTTCATCGAGGCGCTGCTCGAGGCCGAGGGCCTCCACAGCATCCACGTCGGTCACGACCACGGCGACTCCTGGTGCTCCACTTGGCCCGGCCACGAGGGCGGACTCGGCGCCGAAGCTCCATTCCTCTGCTTTGCAAAGCACACAGGCTATGGAGGATACGGCGAATGGAACCGCGGTGCTCGGATGCTGAGACTGCTGTTTTCCCAGGGCGATAACCCGCAGATGTCGGTCGAGACCTGGGTCCGCATGGAGGACGATCAAGTCATCACACGTGTCTCCCTTAACGAAACCTACGGCCTGGATTCCTACCCTTCCAACAATGGAGAGTGAGGGATAACGGGCTATCTATAACTACAAAGAAACGCATGAATTACAAAGGGTTGCCTGGACGGATTTATATCACTGCAGTGGAATATGCAGGATAGGCTATTGAGACCCGGCCAAGTCAACCCAGGAAGCAATAATTCCCACTTCGGCTCGTTTCGGCCGCAATAACTGGTCTTCGAGACAAGACATTCGTGGCACATTCTCCCTCCGAAGGATGCAGGATGCTGTGCGCCCACCCTTCTACACATTCCCTCACTCCTCCTCCCATTCCTCTGGGCTCGCACGGAAATTGCACAGTCCTCGCCCTGCGGTCAGCTGCGGTCAGCACCACGCTTTGCGGCCGGCCGACGCCTCGTCGCAAGCTAAAAAAGAACGCCAAACAGGCCGCCAGCAATCTGTGCGATGCAGCCATAATACCATTGTCTTCTTCCTTCGCGCACTTTGTCTTTCTGTTCCTTCCGCCATCGATCTTACCGTTCTCCAAAACATTCTGCGGCAGAGTCTGGGACGATCATTATGGACAGAAACACAACATCCAGTGAGCGACCACCGCCGAAGTACACGACTTTCAAGTCATTCGCAATGTCTCGCCAACCTCTTCAACATGCACGACGACCAATTTACATTCTAATTGTATACTTACTTCTCCTACTTGGACCCTGGATTTGCATCTGTGTCGTCAATCAGCGAACAACGTCCGATCCTTGGGGCATCCTCATGCGGGATGATTTCGACAAGTACAGCCGATGGATGCGCGTGGCGCCGTTCCTGAGTGCAGTGACGGCTGTCATTGCGCTGCCATGCGTTGCGGCTCTTCTGGCCCATGGTGCAGTGGTGTTCTCTCAACGACGATCCCATCGGCAAGCCCTCAGCCTCCGACAGCTGTTTGCTCTTTCCGACATCCAATGGACGGCGGTTTTCTCAAAAGGACAGACATCGTCTTACCTGATGATGGCTACGGCATTGCTTCTGCTGGGTAAGCTTTTTGGCGACTGCTTGTGATCAATTGGCTGACCAGATCCAAGTTGCGGCACAGTTGCCTCTTCAATCACTGCTGATGCCGATGTCCGCTCGTGTGGTTTACCCATGCGACAGCTCTCGACATCTGACAAAATGGGATCGCACGTGCGATGGTGCAAGGTATCGGGCAGAAAGGGTCGGCATGGAGCCTGAGCCGGCTTTGCTGAGGGTTTCCACCAACTTCCCCAACATCATCAGTCCAGTGAGATCCAAGCTGGCCAGCATCACGTCAGCTGACGTCCAGGAGAACCTGTGGCGCGACGGAAACACTGACAGAAGCTTTGTGACTGGATCAGACCACAAGTACAATGACGCTTTCTGGGTTTCGTCTGTGCCTGCAGGAACGACAACGGGACCGCTCCGGCAACACTCGATGAGACTCAACTCAACTGCCGACTGCCAAGTTGCGACTCGTGAAGACTTTCCTTCGGACTGTGTCGGCTACTCAACCACTCTTGAAGGATTCGGCGTCACCATCAAGGTCTGCATGCCTGATGACTCCAAGAACCCCGAAGTTGAGCGAGCGCTGCTTCCCCCGCGTCGACGTCAAGACATTGACGAAGTCGTGTTCATCGATGCACAAATCAGCCCTGAGGCATTGCAGGCCTCTGATTTCGTCTCAGACCCAGCGGAGAATGTCACCCTGAAATGCACGGCCAAAACAACCCGTGCATTCTTCGAGCTTGGTAGCTTCTACACCAACCTTAATCAGTCAGGCATTATCGACGAGTGGCCCTCGGATGAGGTGATGAAGGCCCAGTACCACGATTACGACTGGGCGGGCAACCTCATCACCAGCGAGTGAGTTCAAACATGCCCAAATTTAAGTCTGATACTAACACCCTGCAGGTCGGATCAAGAGTGGGATCGCGACGTATTCGGGGGATGGACTTCGTCTCAGGGCCCGCTGAGGACAACTGTAGAGGCCCTCTTCGGCGCCGAATCGTACCCGCAAGCCGTACTCGCCTTCCTCAGCCAAACCTTTCCCGATGGCCAAATGCCCGGCAACCTCACTTTGACCGATGACTCAGTCCGCGATGCCACCAAGAAGGGTTGCGCATTGCCCGCACCTCTTCATGGCTGGCAAATGCCTTACAACTCCAAAAACGACGAATTCGACACATGGTACCCTTCCATCTATAACGGATGCACGCTGAAGAAGCTTCCCAAGTCGCTATTCAGGATCGCACAGGGTCTGCGTCACTTGACTGTGGCTCAAAGCACTCTCGGGGTCGGCATGTACCTGTCCAATGCTGCCGTCCTGCAGGATGCAGCTTCGAACGATGCGGCAAGAACGATCTACAACCTCACTGGCACGGCTTTCGTTGCACCAAAATACAGCCTCGGGGCGACAGTCATGCTCAGCGCGCTCATTGCCTTTCAGGCAATCTGTCTCGCCCTGCTCGTCTGGTACATCTGCACCCTGCCGACATGGACAAACACACTCGATTCGTTTGCGATGTTCAGAGTAGGCTCGCAACTGAAGGACTCTGTCAACCTCCCTCCTATGGGCCGTTTTGACAAGGACGATATGCACAAGTTCAACGAAATCGATGGCCTAGTCGGAGTCGTCCCGGGGCCGGGCACCACGATGGACGACGATCTCGAGATGGCGGCCATGACATCGTCCAACCGTCTGATCCGAAGTGCATCTTCGGCGCAGCAGTACGAGATAATCAGGCCCTCATCGCCGGCCAGCTCAGTCAGTTCAGCCTCGTCCGTGGATATGCCGGCCGTGCTGCCGCAAGCTCGCCAGGTCCCTGATGGAACTTACCCGGGCGGCGTACCCGGGATGTCGGCCGCTGACTTGAGCTCCTACCTTCAGGGGGGAGGGCTTGCTGCGCCAGTATCCCCAGTCTCATCCGTGGCGTTGTCTGTGAGGAGTGCGTCCCCGCCGCCGCCGTATTTGCCGACGAACTCGTCAAATAGGGAGCAACGGACGAGGTTGCCGTATGAGCTCGGCTTGGGAGCCCCGGGACTGATCACAAAAGCATTGTGGAGCAGGAATCAGCCGAAATAGTCGGCTTTGGGAGTTGCATTGGGCCGTCGCTTATCACAGCCAGCAAGCCTTGGAGTTTACATTCATTCATGTCGAATTAGAACTGATACCCAGAAAATAACAAACGTCGTATTATTCACATTGTCGATGCGTTTGTCCTCCTGAGAAGTATCCATTGCCGTCATTGGAAGTCGCCAACAGCGACAGATGTATGTTGTCGTTCCAACTCTTGCTTAATTAAACTCTCCATGATATTCAGCCTCCTCGACGCCCACCAAGACTCCTCGGATCCCAGCAGCAGCCTTGAAGTTCGATAAAAGTGGTACAACACCAGCAGTGCCCTCGTGTCACTGCTGATAACCATTTCTAGAAAGGTGCCGACGCAAAAGAGCGGGAATGAGAGGATGTACCGCTCAAGATCGGCTCTTTGCGGTGGCGACGAGTTGGTCTCTCTGTGCCCCCAGAGCGCGAGGATAACGGAGAGACGCGTGACGATGGCGTGGTAAGCCTCGCGCTCTTTTGTCGCCTGGGCGGAGAGCTGTGTTTGGCTAGTTGATGATTCGTCATACCGTCTCATGAAATCTGCTACTATGCCTTCACAGTCCATGCCCTGGCTCGCTACGATATCTTGCAGAGCACTACATTGGGATATCGACGACATATTTGCGAAAATGCTATCCGGGCCTTGGGCCCTTGTGCTGGACAGGAATACCCTCACACCGGAACTGAGGAGGAACAGCTGGTCACCCTTGAGGTCCAATCGACGGCCGTCAGCTGGCTTCCCCTCGTCTTCCAGTAAGTCTAGGTTGCACCACGTGAGGTAGTGGATCAACATGGCCGTGAAGAACAGCGGGTTGTGCTTCTCACGGCCATCGTCCTGGCTGAGGGCGGCACTAAAGCCAGCACAGCTGCGAGACAGGAGTGCCAGTGCAGCTTCATCGTACAGCGGCTCGTCTGGGTGCAGGGCGCTAAGGTGTCGCGCCGAGGTGGCCAGCATGGCGGTCATCAGGTACTCTTCCTGCCAGTCCCGTGAGTCAACTGTCCCTGCTCCTCAAAGGTAACAAGGAATATTCACCTTGAAAGCGAGCGACGTCGCTGGGCCCCATACTTCAGAAAAGCAGAGAGTAGGAACCGTGACGTGCTGGAAGTGATGGAAGAGCTCCAGGTGGACGAGGTTTACCGGCCCAGAGAGGTGTGGCGGCCGGGAGGACGCGGGTGAGGCGTCCTTTTCAGGAGTAGCGGAGGACTTGTGGGGTTGATCGCATGTTTCGTTCCGTCTGATGCAGTTCGAGCAGGGTGTTTGCTCGTCGCACTTGGGATCGTCAGAAGCCTGACGGGTTCGTAAAGCACCAGGAGGGAACGCACCTTGACTTTCCGCTTCTTGCAGGCGCCACAGCCGCCTCGGCTCTTCTTGTGCGCCCTCATCTTTTTCGTCTCGTTGTGAGCCGTGTCGATGAACCGCAGCGACCGACCGGGTTCTGTACCCTGAGATCTGGGGTCTGACATCGTGTGATGGATCACCTTGAGCAGTAGGGGATGACTCTATGGAATGTTCGTGTAGCTGCTGGTTGAAAGGCTCAGGGTTGAACTTTCATAGATTAGAGAGTCACTGCATCTCGACAGGTACTGCTCGATTTGTAAGATTCCGGTCCCGGGGTTTTTTTTTGGGCGCCATCAAGGACAGGTTCGATGTGGACTCGGAGGGGTGTTGTCAAATGCTGAAGTGCCTGGGGTAAGCCTGGTTGGAATGTGCGGGGGTGGCTGCAGTCCGAATAGAGTTTAGCTCGAGGGTACCTGGATACCAGATTAGCGGTGCCAGGGGAGCCGGCGTCTTCATTCGCCAGCGTGTAAGTGAGTTAACAAGAGCCGGCTGCGAACTGTCTGCGGACTTGCATAGCACATTGACACTCTGCGACTGGAATACGACTCTATCGAGCAAATTTCTTGACATAAAAAAGTAAGGCTGCGGGTTTGAAGGAAGAATTGTGTTCCCATGACGTCATTTACGGGTCCAACCTCTCTGGGAAGACACCTTTTATCTCTCTCGTGAGAAACAACCGCATAATCCACAGTTGATCAAGTCAGGAGGGTAGATATATGTCCAGTCACACCATTTTCGAACAAAAAGCTAATTTTGAACGAAGAACATAGCAGGGACGATGACGATGCCAACTACAACGAGCAAGGACGACAACGGCGGCAAGGAGGAGGACGGTAGTATTAGAGTCCACCGGAAAGGTAGTCCATTAAGAGCAGTAAAAGTTGTGGTCTCTTGGTACACCAAATATCCTACCAGAAACTCTCTGGTAGATGAAGTCCCCCTTGATAGTGTAGGCATCTAACATTATCAAGACTGACATACTGACAATTCCTCATGGCCCGCCAAAATCTCAATGAAAGTGACGAGGAATATCACCGAATGCCTTTTTTGTTGTTTCTCGCTCGCTCACGATCCGACCAACTAACCAGGCGTTCGTTTCCTCTTACCGCCTTCAATCCATCCTTCCCCCGGAGGCATGAATTTCCCCTCTTTGGCCATCGACCTACCAGGTCACAAATTTAGACTTTTCTGTAGCTGAAATCAGGGTTACGGGTACCTAGCTTGAAAGATGCCGGTTCCTGAAAAGATGTTAGAGATACCTCTGGCAATTGATGCTTGAAGATCGACTTTTCTGTGCCTGAAAACAAGGTTACGGGTTCCTGAAAAGGTGGTCTATGTTATCTGACCCTTCAAGCTCTCACGATTCCTTCGATGAATCCCTATAAAACCCCAATCTCTCTCATGGTCTGGTCCTCCTGAAATCTCTCCTTCTCTCTTCATCGTAGCTTGATTTCTATTTCGCTTCCAGCAGATACAATTCTCGTTACACACAACTCTCACCAGATACAACTTTCGTTACACACATCTCTCGCCATACACAACCTCCTTCACACACATACACCGTTTTTACCCTGTTTGCCTCGAAGTGGTCAGTATGACCTCTAACGAAGTATCTCGAGAGTCTTCTCAGCAGAAGCGGGAGGTGGCCTCCAGAAGCCCCCGTTTCTATGTTCAATTCGACTGTGGCCTGTCTATTCGATGCAAGCCTACGCCCACCCGCTTCCACGGCGACCTTTGGGTTGAGCCTCGTGAGCGGGCCATGGCAGCCATTCCTGAACAGGACCAGCCCACACCCCGCGCTCTTAATCTCTTCACGGATGCCTCTTTTCCTGGCAAAGAGTCGTGGGGAAGTGGTCCCAGCGGTCACTCAACACTGGACAACCCCGCGGGAGCCACCGTTACTTGGCAACCCCGCCCCGGTCTCAGCCCCGACTGGACAGCCAGCACGTACAGGCTCATCAAGTGCACCGACTTCCTGGTGGCAGAGCTGTACGCCTTGGCTCTCGGGCTCGAGACCGCCCTCTACCTGTCCCGCGCGGTCCCCGACCTTCGACAAGTGAACATCTTCACGGATTGCAAGGACGCGATCCGTTCACTCATGAGGGCCGACGCGTCGGACGATGATCCCTTGGTCCAAAGAGCCGTTGCGGCATCCGCCAAATTAGAGGCCAAGGGTGTCAGAACCGCAGTCCGATGGTGCCCGGGCCATGTGGGCGTTGAAGGCAACGAGAGGGCAGACCAGCTCGCCAAAGCAGTTCGCCGCTGCTCGACAAGGAAGGGGGCCGTCCCGACTGAGATGCCAGACAAGATGAAGGAGTACAGGGTCACCGTTAACGACCACGAACTCCGCTCCTTCAATGGCCGGTCCTCTCCGCCAAGTCGTTCGCCTAGTCCTCAGCCCGCACCATCGCTCTCTCAGGGGCCCATGATAGGGTCTTACAATGAACATGAGCTTTGGGTTCCTTCCTCCGTCCTGACACCAATTAACCCAGGACACCCAAGCCCCTTCAGACCGCCCACGCCGCCTGGTTTGGACTTGTTTCCCGCATACCAGGCGGCAATGAGTCTGACATGGCCCCAGGCCTACTATCAGCAGCCCCCCATGCAGACTCATGGGCTAACATACCCTCCTGGACTGATGCCCCAGGCCGGTGCCATGGTCTACGCATAGACCTGAAAGAAGCAGCGTCACCAGGCCTGCTAAGTCGGCTTAGTTCCCTGCCAAAGAACGCGAGTCCAACTCTGGAGAGGACTGGACCGGCATTGACGATAATGCCGTTCCAGCATCCCACCCGAAAAAGAGAAAAAAAAGAAGAAAAAAACCAACATCTCTTCGGACACCTCTTCGGATACCAACCGCACGTTATAGGACATGCACTCTTCGAATACTTCCCTGGCAGCCGCTCTTCTTCACACCAAGTCGTTGGCCAGTACCAGCGTCCTTCCAGTCAGCTATGGAGGACATGGTTCTACACAGGGCCTTTCCAACGACTTACATGCCGCCAGCGGCGCTTCAGCGATCAGGTCTCCTCAGACCGACAAATGGAGACTACCTCGCACTTGCGGAGCCACCAGCCTGGAACATCCAGCAGTCTACTATACCGGCAGGATAACAACCACACCAGGTCGTAACACTACCGGGATCACTTTGATCTTGGAATGCGTTGCCGCTTAAACACATCCTGTCGGTAGAGCTCCTCTCAAACAAACGCAAGGCCTTTGTGCTCCCACGATCGCTTCAAACAACACACTCGTGGTAGACCGACGCTACAGTCACCACCTCATCCTAGAGTGCGTTGCCGCCACATCAAGGCTGTCACACTCCCAGGATAGCCTCCAACACCACAACTCGCGCCATAGACCAATGTCCCATCTCATCCTAGAATGCGTCGCCTACCTTAACAAGGTCGTGTCGCTACCAGGATTACTCACAACAACAACTGCGACACAAACTCATGGTAGACCAGTGTCCCGCGCCACCTCATCCTAGAATACGTCGCCTACCTTAGCAAGGTCGTGACGCTACCAGGATCTCTCAAAACACAAACATTGTAGTAAACCAATACTACAGTCACCACTTCATCCTAGAATGCGTCGCCTGCCTGACCAAGGCCGCGGCGCTACCAGGATCGCCTTCAGCATAAACATCATTGGCGACAATGCCATCTCAAGCGTCGAACAAGACGTTTCTTGTGTTACGACACAGACTACGCAGCACTCGACAGGAAGGACTCTTAGGGCTCCACCCACCGTGACAACTAGAGTCACACTACCGGCTTAACGCCACTTTTGAACAACACCCAGCGACTGAGTTTTGCGATTGCCTTTGATTTACCTGTTTACCAACCAAAAACACAAAAACCAAAAAAAAAAAAAAAAAAAAAAAAAACCATTGTGCTGCGTGGTCTGTTATTTCATTTCATTTACATCGCGGTGCAGTCAAAGACTGCAGGAAAGGGAAGGGAAGGGAAGGGAATGATAGGGAAGGAAGAAGGGAAGAGAAAGAAGGGAGGAAGCGCTGCGGTTCTAGTTGTTTGCTTTCGATGCTTACACATTTTGATCGCTTCGTACATACTTCTGAACAGGCACATAGAGAAAGCATTGCTGAGCGGTGCTGGGAATTGCCTGCAAACAAGGCACGGGTTTTGACCCGAGAAGGGTTTCCCATGACTTGGGGCAATATTATAGTACAATAACAACCTCAAGGTTGAATATACACAAAATATCAATGATCCCTCTTCTCTGACGTGACAGCCTCTTGATCGTGACTTGCATTGACGAGACGCTCCGTCGCCGTGAGCGTCTTATGGAATCTCCAAGGCTTGATGCCGCGCTCGAATAATTCGTCCAGCTCCGCAGCGGAGCGCCTGTTGTGATATCATCAGTATGTTTGTCAAATGATTCAGATGGGAAGACGTACCCCTTGGTCTCGGGAATCAGGAACCACATGGCCACCACGAACGGAAGTCCTACGCCGGTGTAGAACCAGGCCGTCTTCAGCTCCCAATTCCACTGGTTTCCGTCCACCATGTACGGGGTCAGCACGTTCATGACAACACCCGCAACGCATGTAGAGGCAGCTCCAAACCCAGCCGTGTAAGGCCGAAGCCTTTGCGAAGAGATCTCGCCGATGAAGCCCCAGCCGGTGGCTCCATTCGCAGTCATGCCGATATCTAGTCCAACATCGTCAGTATTCATCCTTTAAAGTTCAAGATGCCAACTCACTCCACAAACATGCAAAGAAGACCAACAAGACAAAGGTCGGCCCACGTCTCGGCACAACCCCGAGAATCCCAATGGCCATACACGCAGCCCACGACAACGTTGACCCGCTGCATGAAATCCACCTTCGCCCGACCTTGTCCGCAATCAGTATAAACACCAGTCCGCTCACGATGTTGATCCCGGACGTGATGCACGTCGCCTGGAACGGATCCTTGATACCCGCCTGCTTGAAGAAGTAGCTCGCAAACGTCGAGAACAGCGTCAGCCCCACGAACTGCTGCGTCATGAGCGTCCACAGCGCCGTCACCGTCCGCTTACCGTCGACGCCCTTGAAGATGGCGTACCACTCGACGTTGGCCTGGGACCGCGCGACCTCCATCTCGTGGTCGACGGCGATGACGAGCAGCTGCAGCTGCTGCTCGACGTCGTAGTCCTCGACGCCGCGGTACAGCCAGCGCAGCGACTTGCGGGCGGCGTCGAGCTTACCGCGGGTGACGCACCAGGCGGGCGACTCCGGGACGAGGACGTAGATGATGATCATGAGGCCGATCTGGCTCCACTGCGTGTAGATGGGCGTCTTCCAGTCCTCGGGGGCATACTGCGACATGACCTGCAGCGCGACAGGCGCGAAGAACTGTCCGAGGGCGAACCAAAAGTTGTAGGCTAGTAGTAGCCCGCCGCGGATTCTCGTTGGGGCGACCTCGGCGATGTAGGTCGGGACGGTGGACTGGAGGCAGCCTACGCCGACGCCCGCGAGCAGTTTGGCAACCAGCCATACGGGCCAGGTTTGGGCCACAGACTCGCAGAGGATACTCATGGAGAGGATGAACCAGTACCAATACATGGCGCCCTTGCGGCCGAAGCGGTCGGAGAGGAAGGGGACAGTCGTCATGCCGATGATTTGGCCGACGGACATTATGGAAGACCACGCGCTGAGGATGGGTGCGGCGAGGTTGGGTTCACCGCGCGAGGTGGTTTCCGTTGCGAACTGGTTGATGAATCCTGGGTTGGCGATGATGTTGCCGTTGATGCTACGTTGTTGTTAGTCTCATGTGGATGTCTCCTTCTCAAACTTGGTTCCTCAGAAGAACGAAACACAGAACACTTACCCAATCTGATAACCATCTGTCGCCGCGCTGAACGCAACAGCAAAACAAGTAGCGGAGCACACTTTGAAGGCCTTGAAAGTCTCCCACAACGTCAAGGTCTCGTAGCCCGACACGCCCTGGCCCTTGGCGGCGGCGTCGAGGGTCACGTCCTTGGGGTTGTCATGTTGATTCTCGAGTCCGACGTCGTCGGCGTGCTCAAGGGCGATTTCCGGCTTCTGGTCCTCTGTCTTCGTCATGCTTAAGATTGTCAGAGAACTTCACTCTTGCCAATGAGACTAAGAAAGCCGACATCCTGAGATGAACCGTTATATATCTCGCAATGCCAAAGACATGGGACGCAGACGGCAGAGCGGGTAAAGCCAGCACCACCACCGTCTACATGTCATCCAAGACCGCTAGGTCCCGGTGGGCTGGGCAGTGTCATTGCGCCAAGCATCTTGGGTCTAAATTATCCACAATGATATACCGAGGACAAGGAGGGCGTACCCAACAATCTGGGGTAAGAGTCTGGGGAAGTGGCAGTTTGATGGGGAGCAACAACTCCACGACGCCCGTTCGGTTTGCATTACCCCGGAATATGCCCCAGATTCCCAAGGAAGCTGTGATCGGTAGTTCGAGCCAAGAGGGCGAGTCGTGAGGGGAACCCCGCATCAACAGCATCGCTGCTCCAACTTGGAAGTTTTAAACATCGTTTTTCTTCTCCACTCTTTGGCTTGAAAAGGATATCCTACGCTCAAGGTTTGAGACGGTTGGTCAGTTGGTACGGCTGGTTGACTTGGAAGGTCCAACACAAGGTCCCGCTGGACATGGGGTTGTTCGACTCAGAACCTCGGTTGTCAAGAATGAGAACCAAGGCTAGGAAATCATGGTCCCGGACCCTTTGTACAGGAATCTGCTTTTCCACTTATTATTTGATTTGGGGCAAAACAATCGCAGTCGCATTGAAATGTCTGAATGTGAAATCTGTGCGGCCAAGGCCTGTTAACAGCCTTCGTTTTTCTGGCAATGTCGAAGATGTTTAGACTCAGGCCGCGTCCACTCTACTAACACGCTCTTCAGTCTGTACTAGGCGTCGTACGCGTCAACGAACATTCAATTTTCAGAGACTTGATGAGATGGCGGGAACTTTGCGATATGAACTTGGAAATTTTTCGATTTCTTACACCGACGCCTGCACTTGCTCTCGTCGTCATCGACCCTACTCGGCTCGCCTCTTGTGTATTCTCCGTTTTATATGTCTTCGTCGCCCGAGACGCTACACGGGACTAAAGGACAACAACTTCCCGTTGCAGTAGCACGGCGTCCATCATTGGCCAAAATTCACATGATGCAACCAATCGTACATGATTTATACAAGACAACTCCACACACGCCATCTCTGAAATGTTGACTTTGCGGACCTCAGCTTCGTCACCTTACAAGTACTTCTTGGGCATCGAGTTCTTTCTTCTCTTGTAAAGGACGTAGCCGACAGCGAGAACGACCTGAGACCCGACAATGACGAGGATAAGCTTGCCGTGACCAGGAGCGGCGTTGACGATGTTCGAGGACAGGGTGGAGTGATGTTCGCTCATGTAGCCCTTGAGAGAGTGCTCCGTGTTCTTCATTTGCAGGTTGAGATCGGTGCGCATGGCGCGGATCTCGCGCTCGAGGGCGTTAATGCGGTCCTCAATGCTGTAGACCTTCTCGATCTTGCGCAGCTCCGTGCGGAGCGAGTCGAGAATCTGCGAGGTCTCTGCGTGGCGGTTCTCGGCGTGCTGGTTGTACTGGTTGACAGAACGGTAGATGGTGCCGATCTGGTGGTTCACCGACTGAAGACGGTTGTGCAAATCGGCGAACTGCGCCTTGGACGAGGTGATCACATCGGCAGGGCTGTCGGGGATGGCGTTGAGGTCGATGGGGTCCTCGTTGCCGCTGCGGGGGTTGTTCGGCTGACCCTGGTTGGCCTTCTGCTCGTGGGCTTGCTGTTGCTGCTGTTGTTGTTGCTGCTGCTGTTGGTGGCCCTGGTTTTGCTGCTCGCCGGCGTGAAGCGAGTCGGACATGACAACCATCTTGAAAATCTCGAAAGAGTCCGGGTTGTCGGCGCTAGCGGCGGTGATACCGAAGGAGTAGCCGGGAGGGATCTTGACCTTGTCGGTTTCGAAGCAAAGGCGTCCGTCGATCTCGACCTTGAAGACGCTGGAAGTCTGGCGCAGCTTAATCTGGCTGGGGCGGCCAAGGTTGCGGTAGTGGTACTGGCAGTGACCGAAAGCAAGGCCGCTAATATCACTCTGGGCCTTGTAGTCGGTCGAGCGGTCGTTCAAGAAGCCGCGAACCATGCCACCAGTACCGCCGTGACCGTCAACGACAAGCACGAGACCGTCGAAGCGGCCTGCAGTGTATGCTGAGCTCATGCCAACGTCGTTGGAACCGCCACTGGTGAGCCAGATGTTGAGGTTTCCACCGGCGCGCTCGCCGCCATTGGCACGGAAGTCGATGTCGGCGATCCAGTTGCTGTGCATCACCTTCTGGGTGCTCCAGATGGAGCCGCGCTGGTTCCCGGGGGCGACAGGGGTGAGGATGATCTTGTTGGAGAGGATTTCGGGCTGGTTTGGTTGTCCCTGGAGGACAAAGTTGGGAACGTGGCCATCGTTGTTGGGCGATATGCTGTTAGACGTCGTGGTTAGTGGGAGCTTTTGGACATCGGCCATACGTGGGCGCGCTGGAAAGATGCGGCTAGGAAGCTTCTTACCTGCCAGTGTAGCCAAAGCTGAGCTCATTGATGAGGTACTGAGCTTGTGTCAGGCTCGCACCGAGAAGAAAAGCGAGCGTCGAGCTCAGAGGAGCTTGCGACACACGCATTGCGACTGAGGGTGAGGTGGCACGCGGGAGCTATGTGAGGTGGTGGGAATGGTGGGGAGAGGAGAGAGGGCGTGGATGGGTATCAAAGAGATGGAATAACGAAGCCGGCCGTACGCCCACAGGGTCGATCAATTGCGTATTAAATCACAGAAGCAAGCTCCTGAAAAGGATGCAGAATTGAAGAGAAAATACGAAATGCAGAAGACGGGATCCAAACATGCGTGGGAATGGCGAAGATGGTTAGAGGGCCGCCAAGTTGAGAAACTCGAGGCAGGGGTCGTTGGTGGTGGTGCGGTGTCTGTGGGTTGAGGACAGGTTGGCACAAAAAAGTGTCAAAGACTCGCTGTGAAGCTCCTGTGCAGCTGTGGATGGACCACACTGCCCCTTCTGGAAGGCTGTTTGTCGGCGTTGGCTTCCGAAAAGCGCATTGAGCTAAGGAGTAAATGAAAATCAGCTTGAATGGAGAGCACGGCAGGCCAATGATTATTTATTCGCCTCCGGCTTTGCTAGTTTAATCTAAAAATGTCTAGTCTCCCTCAGGAGGTCGTGGGGTCTCGTGATGATGGATTCTAGAGATGAAGCTTGGGTACTGTTCCGCGGTCTAAGACGGAGCATGAGCCTTTACTGGAGACTGTCACGAAATAGAAGGGACCCTGGTCCACCACCTCCGCGTCGTAGGTAGGCATGGCCCGAGCTGTGTCGATTGGGCTCGCGCGGTTCCTTGCATTACGCTGTGCTAAGGTGAAGACAATTGTGGCGTGAAGCTCTCCATCTGTGGCTTGAACAGCACCAGCCACATCTATGTCTGAAGCTTCCCTGACCCACTTCTAGAAGTCGGGGCTGGTTTCACCGCGATTTCTGCACGGACCCCAAAACGGACCCCTGTCCATCGCTTAGTCCACGCCTTCTCCAAAATGGCAAGCTGCAGCTTTGAGAGCAGGACCCCTGACGAAAGCGTAGGTGGCCTGTGATTTTCCTCCCACCTGCCGGGCAGCTTCAGCTCTGTCACCACGCCAAATTGAAGCTCTCACGGCACCGCCCTGTTCAATGCGGACAACCTGCTGATCAGCCCTTGGAACGCGCCACAATGGCTGAATCATACCCAACCCTCTCCCAATGCGCGCTTGTCGCCGGCGCGCTCAAGGTCCTCCTCTTCCCGGCCTAGTAAGTGGACCGCCGACCGACACCTCCGAGAAGCCACCGTCGCTGACCTGCCGCGAAGCAAATCCACCGACTTCGAAGTCCACCGGAACTGGCTCGCCATCACGAACAGCCTGCCTTTGTCCAAGTGGTACTACGAGAAGACCTCGGAATGGACCCTCGACTACCCTCCCTTCTTCGCCTACTTCGAGTGGGTCATGTCCCAGGTTGCGAAGCTCGTCGACCCGGCCATGCTCAAGGTCTACAACTTGGAATACGATAGCTGGCAGACGGTATACTTCCAGAGATGGACTGTCATTATTTCGGAGCTGGTCCTAGTCTATGCGCTGCAGCGGTGAGTGCACCCACTTGTCCTTCGAGATGGGAACAACAGCTTATATGGGGTATCACTAGATTCATCGAGACCGCGACGGGAGGAACGAGACGTGCTGCCCAGGCTGCTGCCATCTCAATTCTTCTTTCCCCCGGTCTTTTGATCATTGACCACATCCACTTCCAGTACAATGGCGCCATGTACGGTGTGCTCATCCTGTCTCTCGTTCTGGCGAGGTCCAAGTCGGGCTTGCTGGGCAGCGGGCTGGTGTTTGCTGCGTTGCTGTGCATGAAGCACATCTATCTGTACCTCGCCCCGGCCTACTTTGTCTTTCTTCTCCGTGCCTACTGTTTGTCGCCCAAGTCCATGTTCAGAATCCAGTTCCTCAACTGCATCAAACTGGGAGGTGGTATTGCGGCCATCTTTGGTGCCGCATTTGGACCGTTTGCAGCTCTGAATCAGATACCACAGATGATGAGCCGCCTTTTCCCGTTCTCGCGTGGTCTTTGCCATGCCTACTGGGCCCCCAATGTCTGGGCTCTGTACTCCTTCGCGGACCGCGTCCTCATTTATGGTAGGTCATCCACCGACCCATGACTATTCCACAGGAGCATGCTAACAGAAATTTAGTGGCACCCAGGCTCAATCTCCCTGTCAAGGCCGAAGCCATCAACAGTGTCACCAGAGGACTCGTGGGTGACACTGCCTTTGCGGTGCTGCCAGAAATCAGTCCACGCACTTGCTTCGCTCTCACGCTCTTCTTCCAGGTGCTGCCTCTGATCAAGCTCTTCTTCCAGGCCCAGATACCCTTGCCCTGGGACAGCTTTATTGGGGCGGTGACTCTGTGCGGCTACGCTTCATTCCTCTTCGGATGGCATGTGCACGAGAAGGCCATTCTTCTCGTCATCATTCCCTTCAGCCTTATTGCGCTCAAGGATCGCCGCTACCTCAGTGCATTCCGACCATTAGCTGTCGCTGGACACGTCTCTCTCTTTCCCCTCCTGTTCACGTCGGCGGAATTCCCAATCAAGACGGTTTACACCATCTTCTGGCTGATTCTGTTCCTCCTGACCTTTGACCGATTGGCGCCGGCTTCCAGAAAGGCCAGGTTCTTCTTGCTCGACCGATTCAGCACGCTGTATATCGCAGTCAGCATCCCGTTGATCCTGTACTGCTCACTGCTGCACCAGATAGCGTTTGGGAAGCGGTATGAATTCCTGCCGCTAATGTTCACGAGCTCGTACTGCGCGGTGGGGGTCGTCGGCAGTTGGCTCGGTTTCATGGTGGTTTACTTCACGTCATGAAAGTGTGGAAAACCGCTTTCTAAGCGAAGGGTTGTTCATACTAATCGTGTATAAAAGACGAAAATAAGACAAAGACTGTGCCCTTGGGCGAAACTTTTGCGTGCCAGTGATGACGGCCAGTTGCCGGAAGTCTAAAAGAGACGCTTCGTCCCGTGGGGGCCTGGTCGACAAGAGCCAATCAAAATGCAGAAACTCACGTGTCTGGAGGCTGACAGCAGCACCCAGATCCACTAGCAGCCATGTCCCAGGCGAGAAACAACATTTTGGAGCTAACGGCTGAGCAGGGGGACCGGGGGTCGTGGGCCCCTTGGACATAACCCATTGTATGCCATCAGCAAACGGAAGAGCAAAACAAACGCATGTCGAGCACAGTTTTGGCCATGCAGAATCGGGATTTGCCTAATTGACTGCTCTGGAATGCACTTGTAAGGAAATCACTTACACGGAGCTCGGCGGCCCGGAGTGGCCTTGTCGGAGCAGTCCGGCCTTGATATCGCGACTTTTCTCGAGCCCCGTCCGTCGGAGGCATACAAAAAAGATCACATACAAACGAATCATATCAAATTTACCACGGAAGCATTTGGAAGTAAATTTTAAGGCGTTGTGGTGGTAAAACGGTGCTCCTCCGGGTGCGATCCCGAGGAGGTGATTGACGAAAAACAGCCTACCCGTCAAGGCCGGACGGTGCACATGACATATATGAGGATAAATCGACGAAACTGGAGTCTTTTCGGTCACTTGAGTGCTCAATCGATTGCTCCGGCGGCGGCGAGTGCAACGAGTACAAAATCGTGGGTGGCCGACGCGGGTGTGGGATTCCCGAGGTGGACGGGGTCGTGGCGGGTGGAGGAGGGTGAGGAGGCCTGGTGAGCAGCGCTCTGGGAGATGGGATGCGGAGGCACCGTGGGCCGAACGGGCCAAGCGGGCGTGGGCCAGGACCGCTTTTACTGGCGCTCTTCGTCTTTTTCCCTTTTCCTTTCCCTCCCCAAGCTCACCACTTCTCTTCCCACCTTTTTGTTTTTTTCCCTCGACGTTTCACCCACGACTCGCAGGCTGCGCGTTTCCTCCATTAGCCCGCGACCACAACTACCCTCAACATCGCCATTTGCAACCACATCTACCGCCCTGACACGTCTTGTTCGACCCGCACCGCGTCCGCCAACTCGCGTGTAAGTGCACCGCCGAACCCGCTCTCCCCTGCCCGACACCTCGACCGCGCCTCCGCCCCCTCCGGCCGCGACCACAACAACCCGCCACGACCAGCACGACGCGCCGCTATCGACCGGCAGATGCTTCTCGAGAGTCTCTAACACCACTTACACCGGTTCAAGAGAAGGAAGGCTGCAATACAGCCTCGTTGCGCATTCGGACCTCGACTTTTGGACCATGCCATTGTAGCCCACCGCCACCATGGTACGGACCCCGTACGCGCCCCGAGGGAGCGCGCGCCGCTGACTTGCAATCCAGGTCTTATTCAAGCGCAAACCGGTGCAGTTCTTGCCGCCCAAGGACATTAAGGATGACAATGCAGAGGTTCGAAAATTGAACTTCACGGACGATGCGACGAATACTGATGTAAGCCCTCAGGTCTGGCACATACCGCAGACCGGTGAAGTCTTCGCCCATTATGAAGACTATTTAACTAGGTGAGCTCCCCGTTTTTGCGTTCTGGTGGGTGTTCCGAGCTAACTCGGTGAAGAATGGATTTCTACAAACAGGTATGTTTAGTCTAGGTGGGGCTATGGGCCAAGACTTGCTCACACCGCATAGCGCCGATTCATTTGCCAGATCACAGGGCACTCTGGCTTGACGTTTTTCGAAGCTCTCAAGAGCGAGGTTTGTACTAAGACGTCATCCCCACACCTAGACACTAACACGCGATAGCTTGCTGGCGCCGAAGAAGTCGAGCAGGCCTTCCCCGAAGCCCTCAAGGGCCCGGTGCTGCGACGCGTACAATTCCAAACGGTCTCTCGAATCGATACCCTGGTAGACATGGTTTTTGAAGAGTTCAGGGCGGACTACTACCCTGGCGAAGCAGTCACAGTCAGCACGGCAGACGGAGAGAGGTTGCAGGGCGTTGTCAGAGAAAAGACCCGGTTTGGAGGCAAGGTACTACCCGACGGCACCTTGACACCTCCCTACACTAGATACACGGTCAGCCTCGACGAGAGACCCGGCGCCGAAGCTGTGGTTGACGACGATCACATCTGGCGCGATCGCAAGATCTTTACGAAGTCGGTCCTGCGCTCTTTTATCAAGAAGACGGTGACGCGCGAGGCATGGAACGGCGCCCCGTGGCTCGTCAAGCAGGACTATGCGGCACAATACCACATCGACTCTCGGGTCCCGGCTCACCTGCGCTACGATACAAAGTTGATGGAGCGGAAGCAGATCCAGGCACAGAAGCGAGCAAACCAGCCGCATGGCCAAGAGGCAAACGGTGTAAACGGAGCTATGCAGAACGGGCCGGCTAGGTTACCGGAACTGAAACCTGCACCAAAAAACCAGAAGGGCAAGCTGCAGCACCAATCTCCGGATTTCGACGGCAAGGGTTCGCAGGGCATGCTTGCTGGACACGAAGGCGTATTTCAGGCGCCTCCTCATAAGAATCCCTTCCAGCTCCCTCTCAACTTCAGAAACCAGCAAATGCAGCACTCCATGGCTGCTCCCGAAGTACCCCCACCGCCTCCGCCGCCAAAATATCCCATCGAAGATTTGCAGGTACCGATGAGGGAGGGTGTTGTCAGACCGCCGCTGTCGTTCTTCTGCAAGGACCCTCCAGCCGAGACTGATGACGCCACCAAGGGCAGCGCTGGCCCGCAGGACAAGATTTCGATGGAGTCAGTCGGCTTGTTCCTGGAGACGTGGGATACGCTCAACGTCTACTGCGAGATTTTCAAGCTGGATTCATTTACGTTTGACGACTTTGTTGAAGCGATGTGCGCTGCATCCGAAGAGACGACGATTCAGCTATTTGAAGAGATTCACTGCGCCGTTCTGAAACAGCTCGTCAGCGCTGAGGCAGACGGTGGCAAGGTCAACGTCCCGCTGCCAGAAGTCGAGGAGGAGGATGACTCTGAGGAGGAAGAGGAGGAAGAAGAAAAGGAGCCCACACCTGAACCTGACAGGCCGCCTGCTAGAGCCACTAGAAGCAGTCTGGCGAGGGCCGAGGCAGAGAGATTGGCTGCGGAGGCGAGGGCCGCTGAGAAGGAGAGCGAAAATGTGGAGCCCGAAATCAAGCATCGCGCAGACGAGGTTCTCGAGGACTACGACTGGATTGAAGAACTCCGAAAGCGAAACTTCGCAAATGGCGGCTGGGAGAGAATCATCGTTGGTCTGCTTCATCAGCTGTCGAAGGACGAACGGCATGAGAAACAATGCGAAGACCTTCTCGCACAGATCGTTCCCCCGGAGGTGGAGCAGCCCACGCAGGACACCGTCAGGGAGCAGTACGCCAACCTCGACGTTAACCTTCGCGTCCAGGCACTGCAAATCATCTGCTTGCTTACCACCAGAACCAAGGCCATGCGCACGTACATGGAGGAGTGCAGCGAACAGATGACTGCTTTCCGCAAGGAGAAGATTGACTGGCAGCGTCAGAGGAAACAAGCGTGAGTTACGTCAACCCCGTCTTACCAGAGAGTGCTAACATCCCGCAAGACTTGAGGAGCTGCGTGTTCTTAACGACCAGCGCAAGATCTTGTTGCCCGACAACATGCCACCGTCGCCGCCTCCTGAAGCGGAAAAGCAGGATGAAGACGTCAAGATGGCCGATGCTGATGACTCAGTCGCGGATGCCGAGGATGAAGTTGCCGACTCCGAAGAAGAGGGCGCTCCCCGCAGAAACATCCGTCGTGCCAACGATCGTGCTGCTGAGAGGCAGCGCAAGCGCGAAGAAGAAAAGAAGCGCAAAGAGAAGGCCGAGGCCGCGAAGGTGCCCAAGCAGTCGAAACAGTTCATCAAGGTCCTCAAGGACATCACCAAGAAGGAGGAGTTCATCAAGAAGTGTGAAGAGGAAATTGCCGTCATCGACAACGACCTTCGCGAAGCAGACTGCGGTCGAACCAGGGTGCTTGGCAAGGATCGATTCTGGAACAGGTACTACTGGTTTGAGCGGAACGGAATGCCCTACGGTGGGCTTCCAGACAGCTCTACCGCTGCCGCCGAATACGCAAACGGTTGCATATGGGTCCAAGGACCTGACGACCTGGAGCGCGAGGGCTACATCGACACCGATCCCGAATACCAGGCCGAGTACAAGACCAAATTCGACATGACTGTTCCAGAACGCAAAAAGCTGGAAGAGGGCACTACTAGCGTTTACAACGCGCGTCAGTGGGGCTTCTACAGCGAGCCGGAGCAAGTCGACGAGCTCCTGAAGTGGCTCGATCCTCGTGGATTCAACGAACTGCGACTCAGAAAAGAGATTGTGGCCTTCAAGGACAAGATCGTAAAGCACATGGGAAACCGAAAGCAGTACCTCGCCAGCGCAGAGCCCGAGGAGAAGGAGGAGAAGAAGGAGAAGAGGAGAGACTCCAAGCGGATGAGTACAAGGGGGCGCCATCATGAGCCGACGCCTGAACCGACGAATTACCGCTGCTTGTCTTGGGAGAACACCACAGCTATGGAGGAACTGGGTCACCTCCATTCTGAGCCCCCTCCTCCCCCAAGACCCAGAAAGCAGACGACAAAGAAGAGGCAGGCCGTTGAGCCCTCTCCCTCTCCTGAGCCGGCACAGAAGACAAGACGGCGCAAGTAAACGACACGAACACAAAGCAGTCACGACCTGATGGCCGTGTGATGTACTGCCCGGCATTCACTGTAATTACTAGACGTGGCCTGTAACGACTGAACAGAGCCATCGGTATGGGCTGATCTTGCCCAGTACCGACTTTTCGGGGCTTGTTTTTGGAGCTCTTGCGAGCTTTATTTCATGGACCTGGCAAAACATAAACTTTGGTGTTCCGGTAACTGAAAAGAAGAAATCTGACGGATGTCCACCACAACTGGGGGACAAGTCGAATTGTTTGCAGCATGCCTGGCGGGTGAAGGAACTTTTCAAAGCATTGGGCTGGCGGGTTGGATGGCGTGCGTGGTTTGCATTAGCTACATGGGGCTTGGGTTATAGACTCTCCAAAAAGAAATTCACGGATTATCGTTCTGGATGCACAGACTTGCGACGCGTGATGATGTGTGCTTGGGGGAAGGTTTTCCTTCGTTCATGGTTTGGCAGTTAAAAGAACGACGGCGCTTCATGCCGTATGATGCTGAAGATACCACGCTATTTTCCATCAAACCGTTGAGATGCCGGGAGAGGTCATGGTCACGATGTCGTCTAGTCTAGACAATATTTCCAAATCTCAGGAAGACGTTGACGAAATACTCCAAAACGACTCGACAGGCGATATTTCGCATTGTGGATCGATGCCAGTGCATCGGAAGTTGCTTGGACTGGTTCTTTCCCTGTCCTACGTACTTAAAGTCATTGCAGCTTCAACTCGAGGCAACCACCGAGTAGCATCACTTCTTCCATTGCGTCAGGGATACGTGCCATTCGTCAGGCGATTGGAAGGTTGAATCCTGTCATGCACAACTAAAGGGTTGCCAGTCTCGGCTTCTGACCGAAAATACACAGCAGGCAGCTCCGCAGGCGAAGCTGCGTGAGTTGCCAATGCCGGCACAAACACAATGGATAGAAGGTTGTGTCGTAGCCCATCCTTCCTTTCGACACACCCACGATGAGCGTTTACTACCGACAACCAGGGGGCAGCTGCCGTTATGCAACAAGAACAGAGGCACGGCGTGCTGCTCACAATACCGGCAAAGGCCTTTCCTCAGAAGGTGATACAGGCCTTCCTTTTGCTCCCACACACCCCATGGTGGTTATTACCTTCGGAGTTGGAGAATATAATGGGAAAGCGCCACGGGGCAAGACCAGCAACGGCAACTGGACTGGATCGCAGTTCTGACGACTTCTGGGCTCCCTCTTCTCCCGGAAACCTCCTCGACTCCACTCCAACAACAACAACACTTCTCCCACATTCATCTACGCCCGTCTCAATTTTGGCTGCACTACCACATTCTTCTTCTCAGCAGTTGGATACTTCAACTTACCAGCTTATCATCGTCCGATTCGCTGCATACCCATAACATCGCCATACTCTTCCCACCATGGCTGGCTCCAGTACCGCCGCAATCCCCCGGAATCCTGACTGGGACAAATGGTCTGTAGGCAAGAAGATCTTCCATGAAACGTTCTGGCAACAAATTCGGGATGGCCAGGATGAAGACTTTAAACGCGCCAACCTCAGATTTCTGAGACTAGACGTGTCTTCCGTGGACATGTCTGATCTTTACTTTTTGCAAGCAAAGGTTACCGGCGACTTGAGAAAATACGTGCAGCATATCTGGCTGAACATAGCATTCCATAAATGCAAATGTGAATGCCAGCCTGGCGAGGCGGAACCAGATGATGCGACGAAACTGGGCCGCAATCAGCACGGGAATCCGGTCAATAATGGGCCGCACGCGACACTATTGCAACAAGCCATCAGAAAGCTTTTTGACGCCTTGACAGATTGGAAAGAGCCTGCTCTAAACGAAAAAGGGATTGCAATCGAACTTAGCGCACAGTCATACTCTTACAAGAGGCACTTCAACTTCGACAGGTCGTATTTTGGGTCATCTGACGAAATAGGGTCTTCACTAGAACATGAAGAAACACATCAAGACCTTGACGTATCGGCTTTTCCAGATTACACGAAGCGCATTCACAAACAGATGGCATTCCGCTTGTCTGCAGACGGTTTGCCTACGCTTCCAGCAGTCACCAAGTTCGTACTGCGCAGACAGTTTCGTCACAGCCTTATATGCCCGCCAGAAAAAGGCAAAGGCAAAAGCAAACATAAATGGGGATTAAGACCCATCTTAAGAAGGTTGCCAAACCTTAAGTCTCTGGTTTTCGAGCCATGGCGAGCGTGGACTGATGAGCACCAGCGTCTTTGCGATCAAGGTAAGTACGCAGTATTCATATGAGACTCAGGCCAAAGCATGGACGACAGCAAGGACGACAGCAAGGACGACATCAAGGACGACAGCAAGGACTCACGTTCATTCATTATCCCATTCATCACTGACTTTTATCATTTAGAATACGGTTTGTTATTGTCGAAGCTGCCAGAAACAATCACAGACGTATCTGTGTATGAGGACAACAACGAGTCCTACGCCCAGAGGATTGCCGGTGTTGACCGCCTTCTTCGTGTCCCCAACGCTTCCCTCGGAAAAGAGCTTGCTGAGGCAAGCCAAAAACTCACAAAATTATCCGTCGCATTCATGGTCGAAGCTGGAGACTTTTTTGATGAGTGCTGCGGAAAAGAGGGCTTCCGATGGCCACATCTGGAGTCTCTTACACTGACATCGCGGCTACTCGCGCGCGACGATAACAAGGCGATATTGGATATGCTGAAGAAGGCCGCAAGGGTTGCTGAACGCATGATTAACCTCAAAACTATGGCGATATGGTTTGGCACCGAAAATAAAGCTTCTTGTTTCGCATACCACCTACGCAGCGGACACAGTCGCATTACCTGGCAAGGCACTAAGTCATTGGTAGATGATACCAAGCTGATTCAGCTCTGGACAATTGTAGCCTGGAAACAAGATGCCTCTTTCGACGGTTTCGTGCAGGAGGGTTTGTCGGACATAGGTTGGAAACTTAATAGTACATACTTTGCGGGCTTAGAAGGGCAGTTGAACTCAGCTCAGGAGCTCAAATCTCATGGGCATGCGGCGTTCCTCTTTGGGGATACCTTGCCCGCCGATGTCATTGACCCGCTTTCTCTGTGGCAGATGCAGCAGGAAGCTCGCGTGTTGTGAGCGTTTACATGTACGTTAAGGGGGCAGACTTAGCATAGAATGATTGTTATGAGTTGTGCTAGCAGGCAGTGTCAGTTGGCTTCCGGGCAGTGTCCATACACACGTATATCCTCGTAAAGCGACTATGTTTCAAGTCGTCGTCGTCGTCGTTGTCGTCGTCATCCTCTATCATTGTTATTTTTTTTTTTCGCTACCCCTATTGTTTCTCTATTGCTGTCGTCGTTCCTGCTAGGACTTGTATCGTTCATTGTACTTCCTGTTATGTTTGTCTTCCGCGTCGTCGTTTCCATGATCTACATCGTTCTCACCCACATAGGTAGCAAGGCTCTTTTGTAGACTTGCGGACTTCGGTGGCACTTCCAATCGTTGAGCAAGCAAATTTTGGATTGAACGATCAGCGTCGCCATCATGTCTTGTCAATTATGTAATCGTTGGAAACTAAATCTCGCCATCAAAACCGCTCAATCGCAACCCACCAAGCGGCGCAACTCATCTCAGCAACGCTCGCCCAAAAGGCACACACAACGCTTTCCCCTAATCATCATCCGTCTATATAAGAGAGTTAAAAAAACAGAAAAGCTTAGGCCTTGCCATTGATGACTCTCAACAGCTCCTCGCCCTTTGGCGCCCCGGTCGAGAGGTTCTCGTAGCCGTCGTCCGTGACTAGGATGTCGTCCTCGATGCGCACGCCGCCGACGCGGTAGTACTTCTCCAGCACGGCCTTGTTGATGAAGCGCGCGTGGCGGGGGTTGCTGAGGAAGTAGCCCTCGATGTATTCCCTGCAAAAGTACCTGCATTCCTCGCGTCAGCATTGTTTCACAGTATCGGGTGTCGTTGGGGATGGCGAGACTTACACGCCCGGCTCGACGGTGACAATCATGTTCTTCTTCAGGTACTGCCGGCCCTTGTACGGCGGGGGCACCGACGCGGCGGCGGCCGTGGCCCGCGCCATGGCGCCCATCATCTCCGGCGTGATGACCTCCCGCTTGCCCACGCGCCCGCCGGCGCCGCCGCCCATGGCGTTGTTCAGTAGGAGAAGCCGCTCCCTGCCCGAGACGTCGTGCACCTCGAGGCCGACGTGGTGGCCCAGGCCGTGGGGGAAGAAGGCGGCGACGGTGCCGGCGTCCCAGACCTCGGCGGGGTCGCCCCGGAGCACGCCGAGAGCGAGCAGGCCCTCCTGGGCGACCTGGCTGGCGTGGATGTGCAGGTCGAAGAAGAGCGTGCCGGGGCGGATCATGGCGATGCACTCGTCCTGCATGCGCTCGACGATGTCGTGGACGGCTTTCGCCTCGGGGGAGAAGCGGCCCGGGATGGGGAGGGTGCGGGTGATGTCGCTGGCGTAGCAGCGCCACTCACAGCCGGCGTCGAAGACGACGACGTCGCGGCCCTCGAGGGGCTGGTCGTTTGCGTCGTAGTGGAGGGTGCCCGCGTTGGGGCCGCTGCCGGCGATGATGGCGTAAGCCTGGTCGCGGGTGCCGGCGGTGGTGCAGCGGGCCTGGAAGATGGCCTCGATCTCGGCCTCGTTCTCGAGGTGGAGCAGGCGCTCTGCGACGCGGCGGTGGGCGGCGGCGGAGACGGCGTTGGCCTTGCGGATCATGGCGACCTCGTACTCGGTCTTGACGACGCGGGCCTGGTCGACGGCGGGCTGGAGGGAGGTGAGGTCGACGCGGACGTCGGCCATCTCGCGGAGGAACTCGCCCGAGAGGGGCACCTGGTCCGGGTGGATGACGTAGAGGGTCGACCCGGGGGCGAGGTGGCGGTAGAGGAACTTGTTGAGCTGGGTGGTGTAGCGGACGTCGTCGACGTCGAACTGCTTGAGGCACTCGGCGATGCCCGGGGTGCGGCCGAACCAGAGGACCTGGCGCGGCTCGACGTAGGGGACCCAGAGGATGAGGCGGTCCGAGGCGAGCTCGTAGGTGACGGCGCAGTCGGCGAAGTTGGCGCCGCTCAGGTAGTAGAAGCTATTCGCGGTGTTAGTCGGCTTGAGGTCCGGAAGGTTTGGTGGGGGGGAGGGGGGCTTTACTATCGTCGTTGCCTGAAGGCCGGGCCCATGTCCGAGTCTTCATATTCGCGGCTTGGTTCGCCGGGGAGGAAGACGAGGCCATCGCTGACGTTGAGCTCGGCGGCGACCTTGCGGGCGTGGAGTTTGGCTTTACGGTGTTAGTCTTATGTCTTTGGTTATATTGACGATGAAACACAGGCAATTCCGCGGGCCTCCCAATAGGCTCATATAACATCACGGCAAAGACACTTTCTCACAGCCAACATCAAAACGGAAACTTGCATACCGGGATACTTGGCCGGGATCGGCGCGACAGAGTTGACAGACTCGATCGTCGGTGAAGTCTTCACCTCGATAGCCCTTCACCGAAGCACAGAACACAAATCAGCAAACATTACTCATCAGTCGGTGTGAACAGGCAAGAGAATCAGAGCGCGTGAGTGAATGAGAGATAGGTGGAGGGGTGTGTGTGTGCACGCAAGCAAACACGGGAACAGCAGGAAGCTCGTTCTGGCATCTCGGGATGGCCGAAGAGGAGCTGCGTGGTGTCTCTCGCCTCCATCGCCAAGGCTCGAGTTCCCGGATTGGACAGAAGGAGATGGAAGTGAACGCGCAATGCTTTCTCCACCTACAGAGCATCAAACTCATCCACCACGACGACATCGTGATCAACGGCGCTCTCCATCGTCATGGTTGCTTCTTTCTGCGATCCTGTGCCGTCTCTTGGGTCGTGAGCAAAAGGCGGGGTCCCTAGTATGTGGTGGTGATGGGTGGTGGGCGTGTGTTTCCCCGTCGTCCGATGGCAAGGGTGGGTGGTGATGGGCGGTGGGTGATGGTTGGTTCGGCAAGGCGGTCTGACGACGACTGAGTTCCCGCCCAAGAGGCTCTAGAACGTCCCGCGATGGGCCAAGGCAGAGGAAACGCAGATGCGGCTAGGATTAAAGTAAGGTACAAGGTTTTGGGTCTTGGGGTAAGGTAAGGCAAGGCAAGGCAGGTTTAGTTGGGCTGGGTATCCGTAGTGTAAGGTAGGTAGGTAGAGTGGGATGCAGCAGATGTGACGGGACCTCTGGGTGCGTGCCGCTGCGGCTCTGTGGTTCAGCCCAATAGGCGATGCGGCTCGTGAAGGGTGGTTTGTGCTGGATGGGGGTGGCGTTTACGTGGCGTCGCGTGCCAAGACTTTCCCGAGCGGTACCGCAGCGGTGCACTGTAGGGCCAAGTACCTACCGCAGCGTGGGTTCGGACAACAGCCGCGGGCAGGCTACCTAGGTACCCGGAGGCTAGATCAGGTCTCGGTTGCAAGGCGAAACCTGGGGATTGGTCGATCGGTGTCGTTTGTTTGGTGGAGGGGCACTGCGCAGTAAGGGTTGGAGGAGGAAGGAGGGGCCGGAATGACGATGACACTGGAGCGTGCGTGCATGTGTCGTCGTCGTCGTTGTTGTCTTCGGCAGGTAGGGAACTGGGAACAGGTCGAACCGGCGGCGGCGGTGGTATGCGATGTGTGGTGTGTGGGCTCCCGGGTCGTCCCCGTTGTTCTGCGTTGGCGCAAGTTCCGCTCTTCGGTGCCTCCGAGAGGTGACGACGGCACGGGGGCGTCTGTTCGGTGTTGCGGGATTACGGAGTCTGACTAAAACGCCTTGAAGCGTCGCTACGAGCCAGAAAAAAAGTGGCCCGGCTCGACGACCTCAGGGTTCTTCTACGCGTAGTGTGAGGAGATGCAGCATGACAAACAACCGTCCCGTGATAGGACGGCCCGTCTTTCAGAAAGAGGGCCCGGCGCGCGAGATTCCCATCGTCCGCGGTGGCCCGTAGTGTCACGACTCACCAGTGGACCTCCCCTTCATTCAGCCCAGTGCGCGCCGTCGCCCGCCATTAGGCGCCCCATCGAAAAGAACATGCAAGAGAAGGAAGGGGGCCGACTTCGGTGCCGAAACGGCCTGCCGCTGCGAGCTGGATTCTGATAAGGATTTAGCGGAGATATCATACCCACAGCGCTACGCCCAGCTAGAGTCCACCACTGTCGTCTTTGGTGTGGACCGGGGACGGTTCCTGTGGGAAAAAAGCGCCGCGATCCAATCACTGCCAATGTCCAGCTTCACCAGTGTTGTATGTATCCCTACTCCGGTACGAATACATACAGTGCCCCTCTCTACATATCTGGTAACTCGACCCCCTTGTCCCCTGGATTTGCAGCGGCGGAAGGTGCCGTTCGAACGACTCCCCCCCCTGCTACTCACCTCACCATCTCCATCGGGGTCACACTGTGTGCTCGCGAACATGTCTCTCAAGGTCCCGCGAAGAGGGGAACGAAGAAGACCTCAATACGGTGAGCCATCATCGTAGGTAGCGACCGACGGGACCCTGAGCTAGGAAGGTGGGCAGAACATTCAATATGTTTTTGCTTCAGGCTTGTACGAATAGAGGGCCGCGGTACGGGTACTCCTGTCACACATACTTTTTCTCTCTTCAACGGATACAACGCTCTGGAAACAGGCAGCCAACGGTTCCCGCCTTTTACTCCTCTCGCATCAGCCCCGTCGTTCGTTTCCCTGAATCCCGCATGACTCCTCCTCCAAAACCGATACGAGTAGCGAAGGAAGGTACTTGCTTGTACATAGATTAGTATCCCGCCCCCAAATGTCGAGGCGTTGGGGAACCGCTTTTCTTGCCAAAAAAGCCAAGATCGCGAGAGAACAGTGAACACACACACCCACCCACCCCTGCCTGGTAAAACCCGTCAATCGCGCCATGCCTTACCGATACCAACCCCCTCCCTCTCCTCCACTGGACAGGCTGAACGTAACGTACCTCGGCGGCCTGTAGGTCAAAAGTCTTGGCCTGTAGCTGCGATGCGATGCCATGCCATGCGCTGCAATGCACGCCGAGCTGCACTCCATTCCATCACTTTCGTAGTGTAGTATGCCTGGGGAGGGGACCGTTTGTGTCGCAAGTGGTCCCTGGAGAGCACTTTTGTTCCCGCCTGTATCAACCCTCCTTCAACCCCACCTGGAGGTTGTCACTCCGTCACCCCATGCCCCAAAGCTTGATAGGCCTCTGCTCCCTGCCTAGTTAGCTCACATAGATGCATACAGATAGATGGTCATGATGTTGGTACAGTTGTCTATATCCAATTGTATACTAGCTGCTGCATCAACTACCATACAGGGCACAGATTCGTAAAGTGCTTCGGGGAGTACGCACACATGTCTCCCCTGAATAGATCCATGAACCTTCATTGAATGGCTCGTTGGTGATGTTGTTCATGGTGGCGGTCCTTGCCTTTCGAGTCGCCTCGCCCTTTGTCTTGCCTCGCCTTCGTCCTGGTGACCGTTTCCGCCTCTTGCCTATGCAGACTTGATTGTAAAACCCTTTATATCAAGTCACAACCTGAACGCCTGCGGGAACCGATATGGCCCCTATACCACTCCACCAGCCGGCTGGCTCTTTCCACAATCCTCTCCTCTCCTCCTGTCAAAAAAGAACCCCTGAAAAATAATCGCACCCTGAGCTTGCAGGGCTCCAAAAATAATGCTGGGTATCACTTGAAGCGAAATGGTGCTGCCGCCCCCCTCACAGGCCCTGATATCCGTTCCTGGCAAGCAATCCCGCTGCCCAGTTGCTTTGATAGCCAGCAGACTCAGCGAGCATCCTGTCAATGTCTCCAGGTCGTTGCTGCTGCATGTGCGCTCGCCTGGCCTGCTCTATCCTCGCGGCGTCCGACATGCCCGGGTATCCCGAGTGCTGGTACATGTTGGACATGTCGAACCCTGACTGGTGGTGTTGGTGGTGGTGTTGTTGCGGCGCTTGCTGCTGCCCCTGTCCCTGGTGCAGGAAGTAGGCCGGAGACTGGCCGAGGAGCTGCGTGTCGATGTCGTCGAATGCGCCGGGCATCATGAAAGAGGACGCATCCTGCGGGCCGCTGACGTTGTTCGGCCCGGGTCCCTTCTGGTAGCCCAGCTCCATCATCGGCTGATTGGGGTAGGCGAACGGGTCCTCCGACGGGAACATGAGCGAGTCGAGCTTGCTGATGTGGTTCATGTTGTTGCTGTGCGCGTGTGGTGGCGGGAATCCCTGCGGACGGGTCGAGCTGGCCGACGTGCTCACCGAGTCTGGAGTCGCCCGCGAAGCCATGTCCATGGAGAGTAGATCCTGCATCGCGAGGTTCGGGTCCTGGTACGCAGCCTCCGAGATGGGCACCCCGTCGAAGGAGCCGCGGACGTGCGACAGCCGCCCGCTGGCGATGGACACACTGGGCGATCGGCTCATGTCTTCGGATCGGCGATGGTTCATACCCCCGTGCATGCCCGGGTGGCCATGGATGGGTATCGAGCTGGTCTTCGGCCCGGGTGCCGATCGCTTCTTCGTAGGGATCGGCTGCGCCTTGGCCTGACGGAGCCTCTCGGGCAATTGTTCAAACAAGACCTGTCCTATGTTAGCCCATGTCGCGCCAAGAACAGATTGGGGTAAGCACTTACGTTGAGGGCGTCGGTGACCCTGTCGGCGGCTTGGCTCTTGTTCTTCAGTTTCGCAACAATGTCCCTTCCTGCAATGGCGTCCTCAAGGACCTCCGCGGAGCCTGGCTTTTCGGGATTCTCGATGGCGTAGAAGACGAGCGAGAGAATGGCGAAGAACTCGGTGAAGAGCATAAACCAGTAAGGCCCGGCAAGCACGTTTTGCTTGCGGATTTCGATGCCAATATGGACAATGTTGCGCGAGACGCTGATGCATGCCGCGGCGCAAGCATACGAAAGCTCGTCAATGTTCTTGTCCATGCTGATCCGAGGAGACACGTAGTGAAGGAACGGCCTGTAAAGAACGAGCTGCACATGCGCGTAGGCGAATCTCAACAAGTGACGGACGCTGTGGCATTGTTAGCAAATTAGTCTGTTGTCAAGGGTCCCAATTTGACCTACCGGATGACCTCGACAGGACCGTCAGGGCTGGGCCGCCATTGCGCAGGCAGAACCTCGTACCACTCCTGCAACTCGGTCTCGATCCGCTTGATGTTCGCGTAGCTGATAAGGTACGTCGCGCCCGGCTTGTCTCCCTTCATGACGCTCTGCCCAAGGCCCTTCAATGGATACACGAACTTAAGGATCTTGGCCAGAATCTCCATCAGACGAGTGTGGGCGTTGAAGGCCTCGAAGAACGAAAAGACCCCCGGCGGCGGAGTCAGGATACCCTCGTTCGTGATGTATTCGTCGTCGATCTCGGTTGGGTACGGCTGATCAATATCGTCTGCGTTGAGCAGTAGCGGGAATCCAAGCATGGCCGAAACGTAGATATCCATCTGGCGGATCACCCAGAATACCCGCTTCCTTACTTCCTGTTCAATGATGGAAATCTGCTCGTGCTTCAAGAACCTGTGCAGACCCATGCGCAGGGCTGATCGGAGTGCGATTCCCACGAACGCGTAACATCCGCTTAGGTTCGAGGTTGCTTGCAGGAACAGAATCATAAAGAGCAGTGCTTGAAGGGATGTCAGGTCTCGACATTCCGTGATATCTTGAAGAATCCTCCTGGCGGTGTCATAATATTTCATTCTGTGACAGGTTAGGTGAGGTTCAAAGATTGGAAGTTGTTATTACGTACCCTTCTTCCGCGGACTCCTTGTAGGCCACGGGAGGAGCGGTCTCGTCCAAGTTGGCATACATGCAGCCCAGGGCCATAACAGCAAATAGCAAGCCCACAAAACGGTGCTCTTCCTTGGTGTAATCTTCGTGAGACTTTTCGTAAACGCGGTCAAATAATTCGTAAAAGGTGGGAATGTGAACCACCCGGATCAGGCAGGTAGCGCAGTTGAGCGAGTAGTAGCAGAGCTTCCTTGCCACTTCCTTTGGGGGAAGTTCAGGAGCAGTTGCCAACGACGCGTCGAAAGGGGAGGAGGCGGCTGATGCTGGGGAATCCAGGTTGATCAAGCCAGCAGGTCGTTCTGGCCGAGGGAGAAAAGGTACTTTGGTCACCGGTCCCATCATGCCCCGGAAGTTCTCCTTCATGCGGCGCAAAAAGACAGCCCCAGATGACACGCCGTGAAAGTCCCAACCGCCCTTCTCGTCCAAGTCCAGCTGGCCTATGGACTCGATCATGGACAGAAGCTGAGCGTCTTTCTCCTCAGGAATAGCAAAGGGGTCTTGCCTCAACTTGGATACCGCTGCTCGTGCGTGCTCCCTGTTGCGGAACTCTTGCTGAACAGCAGGGTCGAGCGTGGGATCGGCCAAGTCGACGTCCGGCATGAACTTGCGCAAAAGAGCTTCTGCACGTTGCAGGCGGCTTTCCAATGCCTCAATGTACTGAGGAGCAGGATTGCGCCTGCGGTTTGAAGGCTTGTCATATGTGCATTCTGGCGAAGTTGTCAGTAAATTAGGCATAACAGAGTTCTCAGAATCTACAAACCGTAGCTGTAAACTGAGCAATGAGTGCAAGGCTGCTTGCCATCGCACTTGATCTTTTTGCGTCTGCACTCGTCGCATGCCCTGGTTACACGTCGACGTTTCTGTACGGGAGCGTTGGGAGCGTCAGGGCCGCCCGCCTTTTCGTCCATGTCAGAACCAGAATGGCTGCCGCTGGGCGAGGGAGGTTCCTTGACGGGCCACCCAGCGGAAGGCGCCGCAGATTCGTTGTCCGACATGTTGGGAGAGACGCCAGAAGCTTGCGAATCCGGGGGAGAGTTGTTGTCGGTCTTGACAGGGCGTGGTGGAGGACTCATTGCTGGTGGTGGTGGGAGCAAAACCAACAAGAGGTGCGTGTGCCAAGAAATGCCAGATTGGAGGTGATGTGTGGTTGTGTAGTAGCTGTTTGTGTTGGTGGTGGTAGTGGTGGTGACAGCTCGTTCGAGCTCACGGTTCTCGGTGTAAGTGCAGTTATGGTGGACGAGCTCTTTGCATATTTGTGTATGTATGCAAGGGTAGTTGTCCGACAAGCCAACCCAATTGCTAGGAACGGCTTCCGGACTGACCAGTCTTGAACATTTGAAGAAGAACGAAACGTGTGCCAAGACTTCGCGGGGGATAGAAGGAAGATAAGTTTAAACAAAACAGGAGACGAGAGGAGGAGCCGGGGGATCTTTTGCCTCTTTGCTGGCTCGTCTGGGTAGCTGGGGGGTGGAAGGCCCTTGTTTAAGGCCGAGCAGGGTGCGGGTGCGGTGCGGTGCGGTGGTGCGGTGCAGCGCAGCGACCAGCAGACTGAGAGATGGGCGTGAGGTGTGTGTAAGTCGCGCGGAAGCTGAGCGCGAGGATGGATTACGTAGCGGTAGGTAGCGTCTCGGCCGGGGTTGATTGAGACAAGAGAGTACACGAGTCGAGGGTATGGAGAATATGGTCCCGCACGGTGCAGTCACCGCGCTACTGGGACTGACTGCAACACACAGGACACGATCTGGCGGCAGCGGGAAGGGTGGTGTAGTGTACTCCCCCCCATAGTCCCAGTGCACTAGCATTCTGTAGTGTACCTGCCTTGCCCTCCAAGGACTTGGAGACCGGAGTCTAGCACCCCGGCTCGAGGCAAGCTGTAGCAGTATCCTAGGATCTTGGGGGTGTGTATGTGTGTGTGTTCTTCCTGTGTACTGGTTGGGTCACTTAGCGGATAGGGACAAGAGGGAACGGAGACAATACGAAACCGTCGCGAAGGGGGACGGGGAAGCTAGGACGAAAGGGCAATAGGGATCGGTACGAGGGTCAACGCCGTGAGTATGTATGATGTGTGAGTGTGAGTGGTAGTGGAGGGGGGCAGAAGAGGGGATGGAAGTTGGGGGAGTTCGACTTGGAGACATGATAGAGTGTGTGTGTCCAAGTCGAAGGAGGGGAGGGGAGAGGGGAGGGGCGAGCATGAGAGGAACAGGGGAGGCGTAAGGCAGACTACACTGTGACTGCTGAGTGGCATGTATGTACAAGGCCAGCAACAAGCCAAGATGAATTAAGGTAAGGCGAGCTGAGCGTCCAGACGACCTGTCGTGGCGCTCGTGCTTGGGATGCTTGGGACACTGGCGGAAGCGCGCGAGGAGACACAAGGGACAAGACTTTTCGAACTGGGTTCTTGGGCTGGGAAGAGCACAACACAATGGCATGTACCGCTTCCCCCCAGCAAGCAACAAGAGAAGAAAGGGCCCGCCAAAGGGGGACCGGGAGGGGGGGGCGTATTCCAGGGAAGATGGAGGTAGGGTGGTGAAAGCTCGGTCGAGGCGACCGCGGTGAGAGATGCGCGGTAGCCATTGGTGACAGATGGCGGCAGCTAGATGCGCGAAAGAGACCATCTCCGCGGTACGCATGGTCTGTGAGCGATGCGCCCAATGACTACTGTTGTTGTGGTCATTTATTGTACCTGTATATGCACAGAACGTGAGGACGGAAAGTACGGGGATTAGAAGTCTGTACATAAAATGTGCCTATGGCGAGTTTGCGCCGTATCTCGTCGCAGAGTACCTTTCCGCTGGGAGGAGTGGAGTGGGAGGAACGGGGATCGTGTGTCGATTCCACCGAAAGCCAAGACAAGACAAAACGGACGAAAAGAGACGCTCCAAATCGAAAGGGTGCCCGCCCCTGGACCTGACATATGTTGGTGCTAGGACTCTCAAACTCTGAACAAAGGGGAGCATCCCGACCCGACAGTGTTCTCTGCAGAGTGCAACAGGCAGCACGGGCGAAAAGTGCGGTGCTGGGATAAGCTAGAACTGCGAGGACGCTCAGAAATGTACAGGACCAGAAGGTAAGGTAGAGCGAGACTCTCAACCCCGACGGTGGTCGGTGGCATAGAGTCCGGACTCGAGGGGCCATGCTTGTTTCCGTGTTAAAAGCGCCATTGCAAGTGGAGGGCGTCAGGACAATGACGAGATTGGAGTAGTTGGAGCTTCTATCTTGAGAACTTGAGCTAGGCTCCGTTGAGTTAACATGTTGTAGGCAAAAATAGCAGTGCTTTGTGGTGCGGGTAATCTGAACGAACAGAAGGGTTCTTTTGAAAAAGCCAACGGTGCGAAGGGGGCGAGAAGCTAAGCGTGGATGTAGAATTTCGGGTTGGGGTTTGGCTTCGGGCCCGCAGAGTTGCAAATGCTCCCTTCCCTTGTCTTGACGAGTTAATGATGATGGCCAATCTGCTGGGCCTGTGACCAAAGAATGGGGACTGAGACTGGGACTGGACCTGGGAACTGCCGTTGGTGGCTGCCAGTCAGTACCTGGGCGAGTACGGCGTACACTACCATTTGCGGAGGCGCAAGTGGTACGTGTAATTCCGTGTAAACACAATTTGGCTGATTGCGATTGCAAGGAGCATCTCGTCTCTGCTTCGTCTCATGGCTATCGAGTGATTAATTGGCCGTGGGACGTACCGCGCGGGAGACCACACACGCTTCGGAACACTCTCAGACTGGCTCTGGGCCGTCGCAGGGCGGGCATACTTCAGCGAGTAATCGCTCTGTATGGGATGAATAATAGCGGCGAGAGTGAGCGACCTGAGTCGAGCACGCAGCAACCGGACGGGCATCTTTGGGGCCCCCGGCTGATTTGACTCGAAAAGGAATAATAAAAGCGGAGGTTTTTCGGGAATGGATGCAGCCCGTTTTTGTTCGATGGAGACTCTTTGAGAGAAAGAGATCCGTTGCAACCAGGACCCGTCGGCCACGGAACGCTGAGTTGCTCCTGAGAGCCTGTGGTGCAATAAGCCGCCCCCCTTCTGCTGCTGTGTGCTTCGCAGAGCAGCGACCGTCGACCTTGCTTGCTTGCGCCATGTCAGTCAACTCTCCTCACAGCATCATCAGTCATGCCGCAACGCCTGCAGCTCTGCGTCTTGTGGATTGAGAGCCTGCAGCGCCAACGATGTTCGTGCATGCGTTTGGATGCACGGTGGAGCCGGGGGTACGTATGCCTTTTTACCCTTTTCTGATGTTTGTGTCTTTTGCGAATCTTGCTTGAAGCCAACCGCAGCCCTGAATTCCACGCCATTCGGTACCTTACCGCATGGCAACGTGGTGTAAGGAACCTCAATCTGCACACACACGGTAAAGCTTCTGGGTAGCAGTAGCAATGACAGACCGCCACGGGACTGTCATCCGCCCGGTCTCGTCCGGCAAGCTCCATCAAGCCACCAGCGTCTGCAAGACAAACCAAGGCCTGGTCTGACGGTCCACCACCGCTAGGGTTAAGAGGATGCCATTCAACAGGTCTAGGGTGTTTGTATGTGTCCATGAATAGATCACGGAAGCAGAAAGAGAGCAAGCCTAGGCGCTTTGTCTTGTCCTCCAGCTCAAGTCAGCAGGAAGAGACTCTCAGTGGAAAGGTAAAGAGAATAAAAAAGTCGAGTCCTCAGTCAACGCTGACTTATCCCACCTGCCTGCTATGCACGAGACGCTGGATAAAAAGTGATCCAATTGGATCGGAATTGATTCCCAGGACACCCCCGGTCAGGTCCCCGACAAGGGTACCTCCTTAATGCAAAGCAGTTCCTGTTGCGACCAGTCGAGAGCAGAGGTCAGCAGAAAAAAAAAAAAACGAGACCACAAAAACCTAGTGAAAGTGAAATGGTAATGGTAATCAGAAATGGGGGACTGGTCTGATCCGTCGCCGTCGTCATTTAGTATGAGGCAGATAATGACCATCCCTAGTCCCTGGGTGCACTCGGTCCCGAGTACAAGGTTGGCCATCAACTCATTCGGTCTCCGAGTTGAGCTGGCGGAGCTAAGGCTTTTTGACTTGGCCAGACGATACCACGGCGCATGGCAGGCCCAGTTTCCAAATTGTAAGGACGGGGCCTGCTGGCTCAAACGGTCTGTGATGGTGCAGAGAGTCTGGGCTCCGCGCCCGCGCCTGCGCCAGCGCCAGCAGCCAGAAGGTCTTTCGTCCTTGCTTCATCGGTCCATCCCAAGCATCGCATGAGAGTGGCTCTCTGTCATCGGCCATTCCCAGCAGTGGCCTTGTCAGCGACATCAGCCGCTGCCTCGTCTTGCGATTGCCTTTTTTTCTCTCTTCAAGCTGTGACTCTTACCCTCCCTCGGCCTCCACCCACATTCCTTGGTGATGGAGGCAGGAATTGGTCCGAGGTTGGGATCGAGGGTCCAGTGCGTTTGTTAATTGTGTCGCCATGGTGGAGAGGCACGACAGACACGGCAGGCGAGACCATCCGCGCCGATCCAAAAAAGTATGGAGGATGGCATACACCTTCGTGACCTTGCACAGGGACCGGGAGACAAGCTAGACCAACGGGAGGGTGCCACTGGCCAAGAGCCAAGTTGCAGGACAAGAAAAGGCGGCGGCGACGAAGACGACGACGACGACTACGACGACGCAGGCGGGCCGCCCCCTTTGTCGTGGCATGAAGCAAGGCCGTCGAGTCTTCTTGTCGAGTGTGTGTGTGTGTATGAGAGTGAGCGTTCAGGTGTGAGTTGTGTGCGCGCAGGCGAGTGGCCCGCAGGACCCCTGTACTTCTTGGTGGCCCCCCTTCCGGATAGCCAGCTCGCAGAAAGATGGGCATCTGGCATGGCCATCGCGAGATTCTGGGCTTTGGATGCAAGCATTGTGGGAATGGAAGACGCATGGAATATTCGAAAAGGCTTCGTTTGGTGGATTACCGTCGCATGGTTGACGGGACGTTGTCAAATGGTCCGCCCTACAGAAGAGCAGGGCCCAGGGCTGAGGGAAGGTGAGGTTCTGAAGTCTTGGCATCCGTCATTGGGGTCGACTCTATTGCGAGTTTTGGCTGTCAATTTTCTCTTTTCGCGGGAAGGGGGGAGCCATTGGATCAGATTGGCGTCCCGTCGGGTGATTGATTGCGTTAAGGTACAGAGGGTACGGGTACGGTAGGTGCGAGACCTGAGCCCTGGAAGGCGCTTGGGGGTGGTGCTTGCCGCTGGGCTGGCTCTGGCTCTGGCTCTGGCGGCTTGGCTTGGGACGGGGGGTTGAGCTCCTGCTCCAAAAAAGCTCCAGCTTCCAGCCTTTGGGGTCTTCCTTCCATTGGGGGTGAGTGACCTGCACCTGCCGCTGGTTGTCTGTCTCTGTCTTAGAATGGGCAAGCGCTGGGTATCGTTCCTGCCACAGGTCACCCGCATGCCGTGCTTTCCCCCTCGAACGGTACAAACGGCAAGAGGCAGGAATTTTTCTTTGCTCCGTAAGTACCTTCCTTGCTTGCTTGCGTGAGTTTAATACCAAAGGTAGGAGCTGAGGTACGAACTGACTGAGGCGACCGGTGGAAGGTGACGACAACGGCAAGTGCCAGGCCACGGACCACAGGGCAGCAGCCAACGGCAACGCCAATGCCGTGACGTCCCATGGATTGGAGACTGTCGAGGTCCAAGGTGTGTCCACCGCTCCCACTCCCACTCCCACCACCGCGTCAGCCCAAGGGCGGGGGGCCAGAAAACGCAAGAGCTTCCTGGTCTTAAGTCTTGGCACGCTCGATTTTCCTCTTTGCCAAGACTTCCACCCCGCCCCTTCGCGCTTGCGCTTGTCTTGACAACATCCATCGATTGTAAAGAGCCTCAGTTGATATATCAAACGTTCTGGAGATGCTGTGAATTGGGCGTTTTTTCCCGTTGTTTTTTGCTCCCAAAACTGCCCAAAAATGCCTCGTCGCTGCCGACCGTCTCGCACCCCCAGGAGTGTGCTCGGGTGTCAGAAAACAGGAAATCAAGGAACCGGCCACGTTACCTTGGTGCCCTCGCCCTCGCCCTCGCCCATCCGCGCCCGCCCTCGTTATTTCCGCAAAAATTCAATCAAAGAGAAAGAAGAGCCAAAAGACTTAATGCATGTGTCAGCCACTAGCAGGGCCACCATTGTTGACACTGTCCTCCAGAGGTACACCCAAGTACAGTGTGAGCGAACAGCATGGGGGCGGACCGACCGTCCACATCGCTAAATCTTGGTACGTACCCTTTCCTTTTTTTTCCCCCCTCCCTCTCTCATCTTTCATATGCATCCTGGCACCCTGGTACCCTGCCATCCTGGCACTGCTTCAAAACCCCGGCAAGGTACCTTAGGGATTGTACCCGAACCACTCACTCAACTCTGAATCTGCCCGAGTGGTCCTTCTCTTCAGAGCAAGAGCCACCCGAGCCGACCGCAACGCTGAACCACAGTGCTCACGGCTGCTTGCCAGGTTGGGGCACCACAGTCACCACGACCACATCGCCCACCTGCGACCCCCTCGATCCCCTGACGCGACAGCGACCCGACGGCTTCCATTCAGCGACAGCACCCACAGGACCACACGACATGCCCACTACACCACGATAACGGCCAGACTTCTGAGCAGGAGACCCTCGCAAGACGCGGACATTCATTCCAACGTCCATCCTCTAGGAAGTAAGTCATGACTTGGGTATTCAAGGTTGCGTCTTTTTATGGAATACGGATACTCTGTCTCTGACAATATCCTCCTACCTTTTGCCCGACTGATGAGTGATCCCCCGCCGCCGGGCCCAGCGTTGGAAATGGAACCCGTCATTCGCGCCCAAATTCGCTCCAGCACCCTGCCCTTGCTTCGGCCCTGCTCTGCTGGACTGGACCAGGCCCGGTTGACCTTCCATTGTGAGGCCTGACCTGGACCTTGTCTGGCTCTCTAGGGACTTGTCTGGATAGAAGACCAGACCAAACCAGCCCAGCCCAGTTGCTCTAGGCTCTAGCTTCCATGCCACTGTCGCAGTCGTTGAAAATCAATCTCTCGGGCGAGCAACCCTTCGCCGATGGCTACACTTTCTCCTGCAGCAAATCAGGAGCACCGTCAACAAAATAATAGACTGAAAACCCGAGCTGAATCTGAGACTAGCCAACAGGGATCCTTTGCTTTCCCCAGTCCCATCAATCGGCACCAGTCAACTCTGGCGCGCATCGTCACAAGGCCTGCGCATTAGATCACTTTCGCCAGACATAAACTGGCAACAGGCGGAGAGCATCAAACAGCGATATGCTGCCGCAGAGGTCGACCGCGTAAGACGTGCAAGCCAAGGACGCTCGTATGGCATCGATCGAATTGGCATGCAGTACCGCACCCAATGAAGCACATACCACCTGCGCTCGACAATTCAGCCCGTCTTTTTAGCTTTGAGTTGCTTGGAAACAACACATACTCGGTCAACTACCGTCCTGTCACCTGCTGTCTGTGATCATTCCATCACCTAAAGTGCAGCGTAACTGTCTGAACAGGTACGTACCTAAACCTGCCTTGCAGCGCACATCACCTTCAACAAGATAAAATATTGGCTTGTTTTTCTTGCTTCAGTTGCTAATATTTGCGGTTTGGCTTCGGGCTCCAGTCGCAATCGTCAGACCAGTGCCATCTTCAATGCTGGCCCTGGCCCTTGTCACTGTTGAGGATTCATGTCCAACTGATCCATTCTGATCCAACCCCAATGCTGCCCTGTCGGTCCATGACGGCCTTGCCTCCATCCATCAACCCTCCTCCCGCTCGGTCATCAAACGAATCAGTGCACGAACAGGCCAAGGGTACGAACGAAGAACAAGGTGCGGCTTCTGCTTCCGCGGTCCATCTTACCACCGGCTGAACAGGGTGAGCCCAGTAGCATTGGAGTTTCTGGTTGATGTAAACTTTGCTGCCGTTTGTGTTTACAGCTGGTCTCACCACGACATATATCGTCGTAGGCTTCGTTGTAAAGACGTTTACAAACAGTGGCTTTGTACTAGGCGTCTTCGCCGCGCTAATCGCATGAGAAGTGTCATGCTATGAATGCACAAGTCCGCTTTTCGGGTTGTAAAGTTGCCGGTCTACCTATGCACAACTTGACAGCCTGACCAGGCGTAAGACAACTCAAAGGGAATGCAGAAAACAGTGGCATCTGTGAGGATCAAGTGGACTTCGTAGGAGTCGGTACCCAGCTTTTGCATCCCATCCGTACATACCTATGTACGGATGGGATGCAAAATACGTTCATAGAAAGTGAGGTGAGGTAAGATGAGGCAGGCAGGCGTGGCAGGTTCCATGGTTCCCTTCACTCAATCTACCTTACCGTATCGCCAAGACTTTGTACCTTATCCTTATTCTCAGTGATCGACCGACTGCCGCATCTGGTCACCAATCACTGGCTCCGCGACACGCAACGAGATCGCCAGTGTCATATCTGCGATTACCATTCTGCATACTTTTTTTTACTTCTACCTACAACGTTGCAGTTGCAGTCACAAGTGCAGCACCACTTTTTACCTTCGACACCACGTCCGAAGAGAGTCGCGACACGGATAGACAGCTCCTCGATACTCATGCACCTCAGCTCAAGGACTTGTATCCGCTGCGTGGAGGAAGTACCTCTGGCTGTTCACTGCCTTATTCAGGTACCTCCCCTCCTTATTCAATTACCCCGCAAAAACGGCCCCCAGCCACTGCCAAACAGTCTCTGATTCGCTGGAGGCGCCACCAGCCTGCTGCGCCTGCCTGGCTCTGCCTGCAGTCGCCATCCTCACCATCCCTCCATCTCTCCCATCGTGCCATCACATCACCTCCATCCAGTCGTCCTTGCCCCGTCTCATTCATCTCTTGCGCGCAGTGCGACACAGACGCCAGGGTCCATTTTCCATCGTTGCCATTCGCCTGCAGCTCTCCGGTTGCATCCCACGAGTTCATACACGAGACGGTCACAGAAGCGGCAGAAGCAATTCGAGCGGCATATTCCTGCCTGGCCTGAGCAGTCGACCGACGTACTGCGTAAGTGAGGCCTTCCACCTTTCTCTGAGCTTCCACCTTTCCACCTTGTACCTTGTCGGCGTTAGCCTCGCCTTCGCCTGCCTGGCCTGCCTGGCCTGCCTCTTCGTACCGTACCGTACCTGCCTTACCCTTCCCCAACTGTCACTGTCCCGTCCCTGTTCAAACGGCCAACCTGAGATAGAGCCCCTCATCCCACCCGACCTCAATCTTCCACTCATTCCACGACCATCCACCGCTTCCACCAGCCCCTTTCTCTCTGCTAGCCCGGGCAACTCTAAACCGCTATCGGTGCCATAGGCCACCGCACCTCTCATCCCCATCCCCGGCCTTCTCTTCGCCGTCCTTGCCCTCGTTGCCGGCGTGCCTTTCGTCCCCCCTCGCCTCGGTCTCGTTGCCGTCCTCCGCAGTCCTCTTGCTCGGTACGACACGCCCCCCACCCCCTGGCACAGCGCGCTGTACTGGCCTAACGTCCGCACCATACCTTGAGGTGCCGTCCCTTCATTAGTGTCACCGATACACACCTTGCCAGCCCCCTGCTAACGGTCATTTACAGAGCGCTGATACGATATCGCAATCTCATCATGGTTGCCACCAGCGCCAACGCCAATACCTCCCTGTTGACCTTCTTCACCCAGATGGAAAATCAGGACGGCGTCATTGTCAAAGGTGCGTACGCCCGTTGTCTAAGCCTTGCTCAACGTCCGAGCTAAGCCTCTCACTCATCTTCACCGTGCCCATTCCCCTCACCGAGCCGGGTCCCGGTCCTCCCTTTCCCTGTCTTGTCTCAAATAGGAAATCAGTGCCAAGACGCGTGGCCTGCTAACCCGCTGTCACTCTCTAGACATCCCCAAACTCGATCTAGATCTGTACATCCAGAACTACACAGGTATGTACGCTCTGCTCTCACACCCCAGCACCTCGTCTCAACCTTGTTTCTCGTAAACTGCGCCTTGTTGCCCGTCCATACCCTCGCGGGTCCTCCTTGGCTCAGCCTCCGTCCGCGCCTCCGCCCTCGTCTCCCCGCGTGCCAAGAAATTCCGCCGTCCCCCTCAGGGACCACCGCTCATAGGGGACCACACTACTCACTCTTCTCTCACCTGTCACAGGCCGTACCCGCTTTGAACGACTGTTCCTGATCGGCCGGACTTGCGTGCCGCTCTGTGTCGACGCCCTGAAAGCTGCAGTCGCCGAAGCCAAACAGGGTCAAGACGTTCAACGATACCGTGAGGCTTTTGAGCACATTCACATCGCCGCTCCTTCTGAGCCAGAGGCCGTCTTCGATCAAGAATGGGTAGACAACACCGACAGGGCCAACAAGGCCAAGACCCACAACCTTGAAAATGAACTGAAAGGTTACAAGATGAATCTTATCAAGGAGAGCATTCGGGTCTGTTCACAACGATAATCTGGCCCTTACGAACCCGGGAACTGACAGAATGCTACAGATGGGCAACGAGGATCTGGGCCGTCACTTCGAGGCCACTGGCGACCTCAACAGTGCTGGCGAGGCTTACAGTCGAATGCGACCCGATGTGAGCACATCGAAGCACATCATCGACGTCGGCAAGCACCTCGTTCATGTCTCCCTCCAGCGCCGCGAGTGGCCCATGGTCATTGCCAACCTGAGCAAGATCACCGGAGTACAGAACGGCGACGACGAAAAGGGGCTCCAACCCTACGTCAAGATAGTCCAGGGGATTGCCCTCATGGGTTTGGACAAGTTTGAGGAGGCAGCTAAGAGTTTCTTGCAGACGGATGCCGGCAAAGAGGGAGTGGACTACAGCAATATCGCGAGCCCCAACGACGTGGCAGTGTACGGTGGCCTCCTGGCTCTGGCGACCATGGACCGGAAAGACTTGCAGACCCGCGTTCTTGACAACCAGAACTTCAGAACCTTTTTGGAACTGGAGCCTCACATTCGCAAAGCCATCTCTCTCTTCGTCAACGGTCGGTACTCGGCATGCCTGGCGATCCTCCAGGCGTACCGTGCCGACTACCTGCTGGACATCTATCTCCAGAAGCACGTCAATGCCTTGTACTCTCAGATTCGGAGCAAGTGTATTGTGCAGTACTTCATTCCGTTTTCTTGCGTCACCCTCAGCAGTTTGGAAGAGTCCTTTGCAGTTGAGGGCCAATCGCTCGTCGATGAGCTCGTTACCATGATCAAGAATGGCTCCTTGCAAGCTCGAATCAACACAATTGACAAGGTAAGTCCGCGGCCCCCGAATTCGAACACCCCAAAGCGGAATCGCACAGTGCTAACGCACAGGCCAATTGCCAGACATTGGTCGCCGTGTCTCCGAACCCCCGAGCCAACCTGCAAAAGCTGGTCCTTGACACGATTGATGGCTACGAGCGGGACGCCCTCGAGCGGATCCGCCGCATGAGTATCATCGCAGCAGAGATGGAGGTGAAAAACCCCCGTAAGGGCACTGCTCATGAGGGTGTTGATGCACTTTGGTTCGAGCAGTCGAACCGGCCAATGGCGGCCGCCGGCGAGCTGAGCTGAGCTGCACAATGTACGTCGCCCTTGAAAGGGTACCGGCCGAGTGTCGGAGCAGTTCTCCGCGCATCGGACGCGAATCGGCAGGCGATGAATGCTGCCGAGCCAGAGAAACGAGGGGCACTTTTGACGATCCACTCGGGCACCCTAGTCAGAAACCCTAAAAATTGGCTGGTTGAATGCCAATGCAGAACGGGCGGGTTGGCGCCGGATCATTGGTTCCCCTGAGAGAGGCATACGTACGCTCGCCAACACTTTAGCAACACTGTGGTATCATTCAGACGTCATGGCACTTTTTGCGCCAGACACAACCCAATTAGCCACTAGAATCGGGGTCACTGGTTGAAGACTTCACGCAGCTGGACGGTGGAGCGGCGAAAGGAACATTTGGTGGTGTTGATCGCGGGATCCCCGGGGCCGATAGATTGAGGCTTACGCAGCAGGCATAGGGATGTGTCGAGGGAAAGGGTACAGTGGCACCAATGGGAATAATCGGGAATGAACTGCTGCCCGTATTCTATGCGACACTGCGTGCTTCTGCTTCGCCCGAACCGTGTCCACTACGTGAATCCAGCATCGTTTGTGCCTCATTCCAAGTTAAGCTTACCCTGTCGACGGGATCAGAGGACGATAGCCGGCGCTTCTCCTCGTAACGGTCTAGCGGTCGAAGATGGTGTTGTGTGCCACATCTCGACATGCGCATGCCTGCAAAAGCAGTTGCACAGTGCTGTCAAGTCTCTCTTTCTCGCGTCTCTCGCTTAACGGAGAACGGGCCTGAACCACCAGGGACCTTTCGGTAGGTGTAGGGGTGGTGGTGGGTTGGAAGGGGAGAGAGCCCGGGAGGAAGAGACACCTGATGATCGCTGCTTGGCTCCATACTCAAGTGGGCGCAAGGCTCCATTAGCATGACCGGGGCGATGAAATCACACCGAGGTAGAAGAGTCCCCATCCCCTGTTTCCCCGTCGCATCTACCGCAAATAAAAGCCGGTGAGTCTTCAAAATGGGGCGCATTTTGGGGGGTACCCGACGCCTCTGCTGCCGCTGTATCTTTTGTCTTTTTTTTTTTTTTTTTTTTTTTTTTTCCTTATTTAGGGGCCAAAAATGCTGTCAAGGATGCAGGGTATAGGAAACTCGGAGGCATGTCTCCAACTGACCCTTGGAGGGTAGGAGGGGCGCGGTTCGCGTTCCTAGACTGCATCAGGAAGTCCAACAGTCCTTGCCCACGATCCATCGCGGCAAAAGAGTAGGGAGGGGGGTGAAAAAGGCTTTGGTCTCCATCAAAACTCCATATCCATATCGACCTCGCTTTCGCCTTCTTTTCCCTTTTCTAGTGGGATGCCCGCCTGTCCGTCCGGGACTAAAATGCACCCGCTAAACCAATGAGCAAGATATTACAAACAGCGAAGTACAAGTTTTCATGGTGATGATGGCGCGAGTGAGCCCGCAGAAGCAGAAGTAAGGGGAGCGAGTGAAGGGGGAAATGCCGAATGTGCGTAGCCCTGTCTGATGGCGCATTACCTCCACTCGAAAGACTCCTCCTTTGGCGGTCTCGGTATTGTAACAAGTTCACAAAAGTTCTGCCCCAAAAAAACCTTGGTGACCTTGGCAAACCTGAGTCGTCGTACGTAGTCCTCTTTTTTTCTCCGCCGTCGTGCTTCGGGTGTTTGGGCTCGATTCGCTCATCCCATCAATTGCCGCACGTCGGTGGGCGGCCAGCGGACCTGCGCAAAGGTGAGCAGTCGCTTGATGCTCTGCAGGTACTTGCGGGTGACCTCGTCGCCCATGACGTGCCCGCGCTCGCCGTCGTGCAGCTTCTCACGGGCACTGCGCTCGTGGATGCCCACCATGGTGACTCCGATGGGCCAGGCGGCCTTGCCGATGGAGAGGCGGAGGTAGCCATCGTTCGCGTCGACGTAGCGGCGCTCTTGCGCGGCTTGGACGATCTCGATGATGGGGGCGAGGAGGTCGTCGTCCAGGTCGTACTTTTCAAACTTGCGGAAGAGCTGCGAGGTTGGTGTCAGTAATTGAGTGGTTGGCTGGCAAAAGAGGGTGGTCGTGGACATACCGGCTTCAGGTTCTCGCGGCTTTGCACCATCGCGCTGTAGGCCGTCTTGCTGGCTGTGGTATCCCGCCGCTCTTGCTCCATCGCCTTCTCGTACTCCGTCAAGACCATCGTGAAGTACGAAGCAAGCTGCCTGAACAACCATCGCCTGCCCTCCTTGTCCTTAGGCACCGTGCCGTCGACCTTCATGTCCTTCTCCTCAACCAGCTGCAGTGTCGTCGGTATCGGGCCCTTGGTCACCACCGTCGTGAGCCTCCTGTACCTCCGCAGCCTGGCCGCGTGGCTCTCCCCAAACAGCGTCGCCGGCTCGCCCAGATCGCGCAGCTTCGTGTAGAGTTCTTCGTCGGGTATATCCTCCATGCCATCCTCCATCTCGGAGACATCCTCGCTGCAGGCCTTGACGAGCTCCGGGAGCCCGAGCCGGCGCCGTCGCGCGCGCTCTTCCTCCTCCTCTTGCTCCTCCCGCCGCTTCCGTGACTCCTCCGCCAGCCGTTGTCTCTTCTCCTCGCGGATCTTGTGCTCCTCTGCCGCTTCCTCCTCCCGCTTGCGTTTCGCGGCGGCCTTCTGCTCTCGCTCTTTCTCGAGACGGGCTTGTTCGGCCAGGTACTCCTCCTTCCGCTTCGCTTCGACGTCGGCGCGCTTGAGATACTTTGAGGATGACGACGAGCTGGACTCCTTTGATGACTTGTCCAGCTCCTTTGACATGAGCGCTGCGAAATCCATGATTACGGTTCGCTGTCTATCGATCGTTGGGGGTTCGTCGTCAGGGGGACTTCGTCGGTCGCCGTGGCCAGTGCTGGCTAGGGGTGGGTCCGTTCCAGCTCAGAAGGGTGTGTTGTCTCGTGCCTGCGTCGCGATGGCGGTCCCGTCCCTTGATGGTCGTTTGTCGTCGCCCGCGTCGATGAAAAGTCGATGAGATGTCGTTGAACAGCTCGGCAAGGGATAAAAGAAAAAAATCGGATAAAACGTTCCGCAAAAGCTTACTTTGCTTTATTTTTACGTGTTTCCCCCACACCTTGGGGGAGGCAGTGCAAAAAGTTGTGGTGGACGATCCATGCATGGAAGCTCTGGAAGATCGCGCTTAACTTGCACAGCCTCACTCGCCTACGACCTTGACTCCAGTCCGGGGGAACGCACACACGCAAACTAGTTCCCGCGTTTTCCTGCTGGACACCCCCCGAAAACGTGTCTTTGTACCTGTTCGTCGCAAGGGGAGCTTGTCAAGCTTTTTTTTCCGGGCGTTTTCCTTTACTCCACCGATTTCCTGTGTTTTGCAGGCTTAGTTGCTTGCATTTGACGTCGTGTGTGCGGTGTTGGTTTCGTGATACCTCACCCTCCGACCGCACCCACCCGACTTCCGAACCACTAGACCTGCTCAAGCCAGAGCCAAGGAAGGACGTGATGGCTTCATACGACCGGGAGGTGACTACCCCATTCTTGCTCCGGCTCTTTTACAAGAATGGGTCATTTCACAGGTAAAGTGGGACTCAGGCACCCCGTCACTTCGGCCTTGTAGACATAGCTTGCTAATGAATTGTTTCCCAGGCCGGACGAGTTCGCATCGAGGAGCCTGCCACCGTCGCTGTCGCTCTACACCTGGCCCAGCAGCACCCTCACCGAGCTGGCAGAGCAAGTAGCTGCGGAAGATCCCACCCTCCTCCCGAGCCCGTCCGTGGGCACAAGGCTCGCGTTCCGATTGATCTACCCCGACGCCCGAAACGCGGCAGCCACCGCGGGCGCACATCACGCCCCGACACAACCACGGTTCATGGTGAAAGACCTGGGCAGCGTAGTGCTCGGCGGCGATGGCGCTCCGGCAGCGCTGCTTGCCGCGGCCAACGGCGCGGAGGGAGACGATGGAGATACCGAGATGGCGGGAGCTGCCGCGCTGGCGACCGCGGAGGCGGCGATGAAGGACAAGACGCTTGGGGAATTCAAGTTCGTGGTGGGCGACTACGTCTCATGCGCCATCTTGCCGCCGCTCGCCGACGGCTCCGTTGCGCCGGCGATAACGGCACGGAATGATAGGCCAACGGGCCCGAGGGGTCCTGCGGCTGGGCATCCTCCGCACAATAACCGGCGAGACGCTGGGTTCGCAGGACGCCCGGGTCGGGACAGGGAACGGCGTCGCTCTGGGTTTGGAGACGGTGGTTTCCCTGAGGGCGAGTGGAGGAGAGGTGAGAGGCTCCCTGATGATGCCCCTGACCGGTCTTGGGCAAGAGGGAGGCGGGGAGAAAGAGGCGACAGATGGTGATTTGGACCCATCTCGTTCAGTTGCGACCTGAGGAGTTTCTGGCTTTCCGGGTCGATATTGACTTTGCCTTCGACTGGAAACGACAGTGTCGGTTTCACTCGTTCGGAAATGGGTTCTACAGACTTTGGTCAACGAGGCAGGCTTCGGAAGTTATACGCCGCTCCGTGGTTGTTGACCTGATAATGACAGGGGACCGCGCCATCTGGTAGCCATTTTCGGGATGTGAGGGCCCTATTCGCCCAGACTTGGAAGATATAAGCGGCGGATGGAAAACTGCATCATATGACCGATCCAGGCTCACCATTGAGCTCCGAGAAGACGTTGGGGACAAAGTTTGACGCCTAGGCGGGTTTCCTAGATAGCTTCAGCATGGAAGCCTACGGGATTTGGGAGACGATGATTTGGGAGACAACTGATTAGGGGCCATCGATGAGTTTGTCAAAACCCTAGTGGGCACATGCAGGGCAAGGTGGCCTGGATGCTGAGAGTGCATCATGGAAGTAGTGGACATCTATGGCTCTGTCGGGGCATGCCGTCAACTCGAGAGCTTTTGAAAGACGAGCGGGGTTCGCCAGAAATACCGGAGGCAAGGAAGCAGAAAGGGGGCTTCGGATCACGACTAAGGGAACGATTGCGGTGGCTTCGCAATCGGCACGGCGTAAAGGTTATCAAAAGGGATACCAATTGTTTTCATTGGGGTCATTAGCACCCATACATCATCAGAACATATCAATCAGGACATGCTTCAAACACGGCAAATGTGACCTGAGGCGTTGCTTCGAACAAATGGAAACTTGAATTGTTTTTCATTTATTTCTTCCGTTCCAGCGTGGATCTCCAGGCTTATGTACGACCACAGCTCCATTGTACCAAGTCAATCTATCGCTCGTAGACGAGGTCGCCCTTGCGCTTCGCACGCAGATCCCAGAGACCCTGTTCATTGCGTCAGTATGTGTGCCACTTCAAGATTCCAAACCGTGCTCATCGCTAGGCAGGGTTCGGGAGAGAGTAGAGCTCACGTCGGTCTTGTAGCCAATGTATCCGATGATCGCGGGGACAACGGCAATGTAGATGAAGGAAATGCGGGCTGTTCTCGGCGTCCATCGGAAGAAGATGTGTCTGTTGCTCTGCATGTCTGTTCGGCGTCTTCGGTTAGCACCTCCACTGCTTCCTCTCTCGCGACGCAATCAATTGCATCAATTAGCTCGGATATTGGATTTAACGTACGTCCCAGCTTGACCAAGGCCGGGTCAAGGGCCAGCTCTGTCCGCAAGAATTAGCATTTCTTCAGGTGTATTTTTGGGGTGTCGGGGTGTCAGATTGGCTCACTGTGGTGCTCAACGCCGCCTGCCATCTTGATCGATGTCAGAGCAATGCTCAATCTGTGTCCTGGAGAAGAATTGGCTCGGTCGGGACGACGAAGTTTGCGGGTTTCCGGGGTCAATCGGCAGAGCTCATCGACTTGTGCTGCTTGAAGCGCCGTGATGCGCGATGCTCAGCCGACCGTTGGAGTTGCTTGCTTAGGTAATACCGTCTCATGCCTTGAGGGTCAGGCAATAACCAATCATACGGGCTGTATTAGCCAGATGCTTAGACACTGTGACACTGTGCACCGCGCCGCTCTTCAGGGCACACCGACAGTTTGAGGTTGGGATGAACACTGTCTTACAGACTCGTCTGACCCTCGCAGGCTTTGTGTAGTTAGAATTGCTGCTGTTTACATAATCACACCAAGTCAACGTGCCAGAGTGGTTAATGGGCTGCCCTGCTATTACGTCTGGCTTTCGCTGGAAAATAATATAGGCAGTGGCTTCGGTCGCGCAAGTTCGAATCTTGTCGTTGACGCATTTCCTTTTTGCTATTTTCCCTCAACTTCATCCCGTACATTCCGCTCTTCTCGTGTGTGGTTTCGTTGATACTTTTGAAGTTATCGTCTGAACTTTGACTGTTTCTCCCGGCATTCAATTGAGTTGTGCTGCAGTCGCAAAGTACCTCGCACTCGGGTTTCAACGAGGACTACCTAGTGCTTGTTATATTTACTTCCGGATCGTAGTTCAGCATCGACGAAACTGCTATCTACTCAATTTTACCCCCAAGACTCAAATCATTACGACGCTAACGTGTGATATCATTGACCATAGGAAATTGCAGTCGGAGCCAAGAGTTCCTCCGAAGATGCAGTGTCTCCGACGATCATGAATTGGGCACTTGATTGGGATGTCGACCGATGCGTTTGTGCCGAGGCAAGCCTAAAATGTGGGGGCCTCATCTGGTGTTGCTCAGAATGCGCCGCTGCGACAGAGGACGGTCCAAGTGTTTTTGTTTGGAAGCAGGTGAAGGTGAACTCGGTGGGGCCCGGACACATGAGTTTCCGGTGTACTAGTGACGTATAAAATGAGGGACATGACCTCGGTGATTTATTTGCTTGTCGATTTTCTTGTACGTTACTGTGATTGTAAAAGGTTCTGCCATTGTCTTGAGATAGCCCAGCTACGTTGAGTAACATCGGAAACGATAAGACGCAGTACCACATTCCAAGCGAAACATTAGCAGGATGGCAACAGAGGAACCCAAGGTGAAGCTCTACTGGTAAGTGTCCGTGAAGTCCTGTACGACCAAGTTCTCACATACAAGTAGGCTGGAGCAGTCCAGAGCCCAGAATATTCTTTGGCTGCTTGAAGAGCTCAAAATCAAGTATGAAGTGGAGGTCTTCCATCGCAACAAACAGACTCTGCTTGCGCCTCCAGAGCTAGCCAAGGTTCATCCCCTCGGCAAGTCTCCAGTCATCGAGATCTTCCCAGGTGGCTCTGGAGACTCAATCAAGCTGGGAGAGAGCGGTTACATGACGCAGTACCTGTGTGATCACTTTGGAAAAGACTCCGGTCTGATCCCCAAGAAGTGGAAGGACGGCCAAGAAGGCAAAATCGGAGGAGAGACCGAAGAGTGGACGAGATGCCAGTATTATATGCATTACGTTGAAGGAAGTCTGCTTCCTGTCTTTACCTTGTCTCTTGTCATCTCAGGTTGGTCTATCTCGAATGCCTCAATTGAGCATCTTGTCAGATCTCGCAACTAACACACTTCGTCAGCCCTCAAATCGGACAATGTCCCCTTCATCGTCCGGCCTATCACCTCGGTGGTCGCAAACAGGATCTTCAGCATGATGATCTTCCCCAACGCCAAGAAGCATCTATCCATGATTGAGGAGCATCTTGCAACTGCTCCAGGTGGAGGAGACAAGTACATTTGCGGTCCGAACTTGACGGCTGCCGATATCCTGCTCAGCTTTGCGCTCATCGCTGCTGAGGGCAGGCTCGACGGATTTGGAAATTGGCCAGGAGGCTCAGCCAAGAAAACTTATCCCAAGGTATTTGCGTATATCGAGCGACTCAAGAAGGAGCCCGGGTATGAACGGTCTGCTCAGAAGATCCGCGAGATTGATGGCAAGTTTGAGGCCACCATCTCTCGATTCTAGGGGATATGGGGTTGGGAAACTGGTGGGCGGAGAACATATACCACTTTGCATTGTTTTTCTTTCTTCCTTTTACGTTAGTAAATTGACAATGGTAACAACTCTACGTAACCTACCTATCAAGTAGAAACGTTACTTGGCCTGGTGACTTGAAGCTGACATCTCTCGTGAAAGTGGGAGAAGCGAACCTGGGCCCAAGCTCTCTCGGGTAGGTATCCGTACGTCTTAGCGCTGCAGCCAATTGACAGGGGCGGTAGCCACCAAATCGGCGTGCATCCTTCCGTGCCCCGACCTTGCGTCCCGGAATTTTTATCGAAAATCACCAACTTGCAGCTCATCGCAAGGCTCCAACCCCACGTCACACGGTTGCTCGCCCGACTGCCAGACGCCATGCTGGCTTCGAGGACGGTATGCACTCGCTGCCGGACCAGGCTTCTGGCTGGCGCGATCGCTGCCAGCACCACCCGCCCGAACTCGACAGCAAGTTTCCCCTCCGTCACTGCCGAGCAACCCTCCGTCACTGCCGAGCAACCCTCCGACACGACAGCGCAGCCACCGCGGGCCCAGGCCTCTGAGGCTTCTCCAAACAAGACCCGTTCAAGAAGATCAAAGAACGATGCCGATGCGAAGAAGCGAGCGCTGGACTTGTTCGAAAGCGCCATCAACAAGAGCAGGGGCGAAGAAGCCGTTGCGCAGGAGACGCCGTACACCTTGGAGAAGCTGGCCCGGCTTGCGAAAATACTCGATACTGTCCTGAACTCGAATTTGAAGAAGAACATCACTGTTGAAATCGCAGCGAGGAACTTCGTTATTCTGGAGACAGAGGTCTTGCCAAGTTTACGAAACTCGAAGATACCACAACCTATCTTGATGGAAGCTTCGCAAGCATTGCGACAACTTATAGACTTCAAACTCATCAATCCGCAAGCGAAAGAACTCCCGAGCCTGACAGACCTCTGCCGACTCATGTCTGATTTCGGAAATGTGAAGCCTCAGTCACGTTTGCAGTTCATTAACACATTCCTTAATGCAATCTTGCAAACGCTTTCCGAAGCAAAAGACACCGCCAACATGGAGTCTGCAGCTGTGGAAGAGAGGTTACTACAGGATCTTGTCGATTTTTGGAAGCATTTTACTGCGTTGCGGCGAGTGGACAGCGGTCTGCGATCCGAGCCGAAATTCTGGCTCACCTCGAGACCGGACTTGCGAAGCAGCGACCAGCCGGTGAAGCTCTTCAGGTTGCTACTACATTCTGTAGCAGCCAACGTGGTCGGATTGGACACCGCGTTAGTGACTACGTATGTCCTACTTTCAGACCCTGCATACGAACACACAAAAGCGAGGGAAGATGCGGCGCCTCTCCTCGAAGCGTTGGAACCCATTATCAAGCGTTTCGACCGCGGAAAACTTCGTCCTCTATTTGAGGCGCAACCCAAGTTGTGGCAGTTTGTTGAACCAAGGGCAGACTGGCGGGTCATTCAAGCGGCTCCCAACGTGTTGGGTGAGTTCGCCACTGCTGCGCCAGACGGCTGGGCCCCAAAACATGGCAAATTCGCCTACGCACTGTGGCACAAACGCTTCAACATGGCGTACCGTGGAAACGACCATGCAGCTGTGCAGCAGGCTTGGAGAGATCTAATCGAGCCACCTAATGATGCAAGTCGGGCGGGCAAACTCCGTAGATGTCCTGAGCTGTTCGATTACATATTGCACATTGCCTGCCACAAATCTCGATATGAGAAGGCCATATACACGCAGGTCATCTCCGAGGTTTTAGAATACATGAAGGCCATCGGCCTCGAGCCAACAATCAGGACATACACCTCTATGATGGAGGGTTGGAAGCTGGCAAAGCGAATCGAGCCTATCGAACACATGTGGGAGTCTATCACGACAGCCGGGCTGAAACTGGACCATCAGATTTGGTCAAGTCGGATATCTGCGCTTGGCGGGCTTGGAGCAGGGTGGGATGGCATCAGAGCGCTCACCCAGATGGACAAAGCGTGGCAAGAGGCAGTAAAGAACGGAACAGAGGACCAGGCTCTCAAACCTGCCATGTCGAACGTAAACGCGGCAATATCCGGGCTTCTGTGGCGAAACCGCATGGACGGCGTAAAGAAGGTCTTGGAGTGGGCTTCTGAGAGGGGCCTGCAGCCTGACATCTACACCTTCAACATGCTTCTCTCCAGCATGTTGAAGCAAGGCAAACACGAGGAGGCGGACAGGATACTAGTCAGCATGAAAGCGGCAGGTGTCAAGCCAGACGGCGCCACTTTCACCATTATCATGGATACCGCCTTCGCCGACATATCCCAGCAGTCGCCCGAGGAGCAGAAAGCCACTATTGGGAATGTCTTCAGGGAAATGAAGGCCTGCGGTATCGACCCGAATCAGGAGACGTATGCCAAGATGATACATTCTCTCATCAGACAGGGCGACGTCGCACGGTCTTCCATCACAGCCATCCTCGCCCACCTGCGCGCCACTGGCCAGCAGCCCTCCACCGAGATCTGCACCATGCTCGTCGAGTACTTCATCGACCATCAGCCCGACCTCGACACCGTCCGCGCCCTCGTTGACGACCGCCGGTCCCGCGCACGCGCCCTGACGGACCGCGTCTTCTGGGAGACCGTCATCAAGTACTACCACCGCGCAGACGACCTCGACGGCGCTCTCGAGATCGTGTACGACCTCGACGACTGGGGTATCTGGCCTGGCCTGCCACTGCTGGAGCCCCTGCTCCGGTCACTGCTTCACCGCAAGGACTGGGACGCCGCTAAGAAGCTCGTGGGTACCGTACGGCGACAGCCCCGTCCGGAGGCTGCTGACCGAGAAAGTCGGTACTGGAGGCATGCTTTCTGGGCTGTGGCAAGGGATTACGACTTGGTTGATCACAACGCAGAGGTGGTGCAGAATTAGTGAAGATGGCCCTCCCCTTGTACGATGTCGAAGAGACTGTTGTATAACACGTTACAATACTAAAACCAATGCCTCTTCATTTATTGTCTTTTGTCGATGATATTAAGACTTAAGTGAAATAAAAATTGGCGACTTGCCCCGGGGTGGTTGATTGATCAGCCGGCGAGCGGCGAGTTCATTCCCAAAGAAATACGAAGTTGTAGGAATGTTGAATCCCTTCCCACTTCTTGCTAACGTACCACCCTTTTTAAAATGGATCCAGACTGACCCATATCCAAGAAAGGGCCCCCGTGGCTCGTTGGTTGTTGATCTGGCACTATGACAAACCACGCGAGGGTCTTCGAGGGTTCTTCCTCCCAAATGCCCATTGAATAAGGCGTTGCCCTGGCTCAAAAGTTCATAATAGACAGAACTGATCATGTGTCAGTCCTGAAAACGTCCCCTTTGGAGTACTGTTCACGTCTGCAGCAGTCCCAGGGAATGTAATGCCACCTATGTTATTCGAGTGAGCTGAGGCAAACCATTGCATATATTCCGCTGACAAAAAGACGCCGTGTATCCTGATATTTCTCTCATGAGCATCCTAGTATACGGTTTTCCGGAACCATGATCTGTTTAAGTGTTTTATCAAAGTGCAAGCTTCACACAAGGTCAGCGGCTGGTGGCTTAAACAAGCTCCAAGTGTCAACCATGGCAGCAAAACTTTGTGGGGGAATCTCTTCACGACAGTGCCCTAGTTGCGACCCGGAACCTCCAATATGCCCTCATTCTTCGAGGTGGAATCTAGCCAACAACACCAAGAACATACTTGATCCCTGCCCAGTGCTCCTTGACCGTCGGCCGAATCAACTCCGGAGGCAGCACGAAGCCACCGGCACCACTGGTCTTAGGCCTCAACTCAACACTCCAAGAATACGTAGCATTCAGTGCGCCGTGATGAAAGTCTCTCGCAGAACCAGTGGAGTAGTACAAGATCTCACACGAAGGCCCGACCTGATACTCCTCGCCACTCGTCGCATTGATAGCAGCTGCGTAACCGCCGCCGACATCACGCTGTGCCTGCAGGTTCTTGGGGAGGACATCTGGCGCACAAGAGAAACCCCAAGGGAGGAGGATGAGCTGTGAGTAGCTGTGCCAGTCAATGAAGAGGCGAATGCCCCCCGGCGTGGCAGCTAGCTTGCGGGAGAGAGCGGAGAGAACGACGTTCTCAGTCGTGTCACCCGGGCTGAGGCCTCGGAAGGTCTGGCTGCAGGGATCTGATGAGACGCTGCCGTCCTCGAGGGGGTAGTTCCATTGGAAGTCCCAGTTACGGTTACCGTCAGTGCCGATACAGGTGATGTTGGAGCGTGGTTGACGGTTCTTCCGCCAGAGACGATCGGTCGTTTGGGTATATACGAAGCCTTGATGAAAGTTAGTGCATTGAGGAGCACAAGTAGGACAGGGAATTCTTGCCGTCTGGATTGTGGAAGGGCACGATGTAGAAGTCGTAAGCGTCGAAGAATGCTGTGACGTTCTTGTTCCCGGACCGATAGCCTTCGATGAGCTGGTAAGTCAGGTATTCGACGGTCTTCACCAACGATGTTAGTACATGCAATATCTTTTCAGTGGCAACGCTTACCATAGTTGTGATCCATTCCCTGGCGTGAACGGTACCGTGCCAGAGGACAATGGGCTTGTTCTCTGCCGGTTTTCCACCCCAAAGCTTCAGCCCAAAGATGTTGCGCCCTTCGTACGAAGATCCAATGTCCAGCCACTGCGAGTTGTTTGGGAACGCGGCATGAAGATCCTGCCAATATTGTACGTGGTCATCATATGAGTGGTAGGAGTCGAACCAGCTTAGACTTGGCAAGCCGCCTCGTTTCGTCAATGGGGTAGAGTTAATGACTCGAGATTCTTCCATAATCTGGTTGCCCAAGTCGTTGCTCAGAAGTTGGGTATCAAGTCCTAAAGCCTCGAAGCCGCTAATGTCATTCGGCGGAACCGCGACCTCAATGAACTCTTTCAAGTCGATGGAGGGGAATGACACTAAGCGGGATTGGAGGTCGCTGGGGGCATTGGCGGTTGACACCCGGTAGACATGGTATCCATCATAATTGACTTTTGCGTCTCGTGGGGCGCTGCTACTAGTGATTTTCACAGCAGAAGCTGCGACGAGGGGTGACAGAACCGCCAGGTAATTGGCGAACTTCATGATGACTTTGAGCTTGGCCCGGCTGCTAGTGTTGCTTGGAATGACATACGGGCTGAAAACAGCATTTGAACCGAGTAGACTTTATATGCGCAAGTCCCTTGATGGGCTTCCTCTTGGCTCAATAAACTCAACAGGGGCAAAGTGAGGGGTTCACTCTTGATAACATGCAAGCCAAGACCAGGATGCTTGGATGACGTTCTAGAAATCCTTTGCTTGGTAGCATTCTGATATTTCTTTCGTGAGATTGTCTATTATTTGGTGGAGGTAGCCTGTATAGGTTCGCCGTGATGTTGCATGGAAATGCAGAGCTACTCCCAGAAAAGTAGGTGCGAAGCATTTCGGGGTCTAAGGCGACTCCAACTTCCACATTACGTTTGCTTGGCATCGAGGATAACCGGCCACTTTAGTTGAACCTTCCGTCTGCGGATGCGGAAGAAGCATAGACTTACTTGGATCTGGCGCGCTGCCAGCATGTCGACTTACGTGAATCATTCGGCGGTATTGGTCTTTTAGCCAAGAATCAGGATTTATTTGCTGGCGATCACGCACTCGCAAGGCCTGCTCCGGAATAGTCCCGGCGAGTCCGGCTCGTGACGGGGATCCACTTTTCGGTTCTCTTCCGTATTCGCACCCGACACATCCGGATGTCACGCGGAGCTGGTTCGAGCAGCATTGTGTCTACCTAGTGTTCTTTGGCAGCCAAAGTGACTCGTTTGATACTAAGTTATATAGCCCACCGAATATCCGGGGAACCTTAGTGAGCTAAAACTCCAATATGAATGTGTAATTGTGCCAGGCAGTACGAGCCGGTGTTATGTGGAGATTGGCTGCCTTTTCTGGACCAGCCTAAATCCGGCCTTCGAATCCGCAAAACTCTATTTCGCATTTCTCATAGGAAAAACAACAAGCAACGGGATTTCATACAAAACCAATTCAGATTCTATGCTAGTCGGGTGTGTGAGTGAGATGACTGAGCATACCGCAGCTGGAGTTCGTCTTACTTAGTATCGGACCCAAGCTCCGCGTGTGCCCCCTAAAGGCTCCACTAGGCTGCTCGGCGTCGACCGGTTTGGACCCCAAACGCCAACCCCAATTCACCTTACCTACCTACCTACAGTTTACCTGAGAGTGCCTTGAAGCTAGCTAGGTGCAGTGAGTACAGATGGTCCGACGTCACAGGTGCCTGTGACAGCCGCCACTTTCCAGAATTTTTTTTCTCTCCAACTTTGACGCGTCGTCTATTTTTCAACATAGGTGTTTCTTAGCAAAACCATCGAATTATTGTCGCCAAACGCCAGCTCTACGACCTACGAGCGACGTTTTTGTCGCGGAACAATTGCACTGCGGAAATGGGCTAGAAATCACAACCGAAATATCGATACCGACCGACGCGATGGCTACCGAGAGCTCCAAACCTTCGTCGCGCGACGAGTCTTCCGACTCTGGAAGCGGAAGCGACAGCGAAAATGAAACCCCATCGGCAGCCACCCCGACAACGGTCGAATGGCTTGCAACCGGCCGTGCAAAGCGTTCCACAGCCGGCAACCGAATGAAGTCGATGCTGGCCAACGAAGAACCCGACTCCGATCTCGAGCTCCTGTTTGCCGAAGACGACAACGACGAGGGCTTCACCGATGTCGACGATGGCGGTTCCGACGTACAGATGGACTCGTCATCCGACGACGAAGACGAGCAGAACCAAGGGGATGACATGGAAGGAGAAAAGGAGCTTGAGAAGCAGGCCAGAGAGAAGAAGGCTGCGGCGCGGAAGCGGAAAGCCCAGGAAGTCATACCGGCCAAGTTCAGGAAGAAGGTTCGCATCGACGCAAATCAGAATACTGCACCAGCTCCGCGGCCCAAAAAGAAATCAGAACGATCAAGTTGGCTACCGTCGCCTGCCGACATGCCCGTCCGTGCCTCGTCCCGACAGACAACAGTGCTCAGCAAGGAGCAGCTGCATCAACAGATGAAGGAACGAGAGGCGAAGCGCTTGAAGCAGGCGAAAGCAATGGAAAAGAAGGCCCAGAGGCAAGCGGAATCAAAGAAGCCCCCGATGACACAAGCAGAGCGACTCGCTGAAGCCGCCATTGTGGAAAAACGGAACTCCAAGTCCCTGAACAGATGGGAAGAAGCGGAGAAGGCTCGTGAGGAGGAGCGGCTGGCCAAGATTGCAGCGCTGCAGAATCGCACGCTCAAGGGACCTGTTGTGACGTACTGGAGTGGCCTGGGCGAATGGGAGCATCATTTGAAGCATGTTGGCAGGGTCGCGGAAGAGGAGAAACCTGTGCGGAAGAAGCGGGAGAAGAAGGAAAAGCCAGAGAAGGGCAAAGGCAAGGAGAAGGACGGGAGGGAAGGCGAGAAGGCCGAAGAGAAGAAGGGAGAAGGACCAACAGCCACTGCGACTCCTACGCCTGGGCCCGAGACTACGCCTTCGAAGCCGGCAGACGGACGAGGGGAGTCGAAACCTGAAGCTCCATCAGCGCCGTCAGTATCGACAACTGGTGATGCCCCTCAGACAAATGGTACCCCGAAGGCACCATCGCCACCCACGCCATCTCCAGCAACACCAGCGGATGCGACTCCAGACATCAAGACAGAAGACAGACCCGGCGTCATGGCACCTCCGTCTATGGCACTGCCTTCATTAGCATCTCCTTCGTGTGCGCCTCCTTCTCTGGCAGCACCTCCATCCCTGGCACCTCCTACAATTCCACCAGCGGCAACCATCTCACCTGCAACCTCCCAACCTGAAAACCAGCCAAGGCTCATGGCACCACCATCAATATCACCTCCACCATCAATGAGCGCACCGTTAATGGCTCCTCCGCCGATACCTCCTCCGCCAAAGACTTCGGTCCTGGCAGCTCCGGTACTGGCACCACCAGTCCTCGCGCCGCCCCTGGGAGGCATACACCTGGGACACCACAACTCACAACCTAAATCCAACGTTCTCGCGCCACCCAACACGTCACAACATCGATCTCCTCTCTCCATGCCCGCCCCGCCTCCACCTCCAACGGCGAGACCGCCGCCTCCACCACAGGCACCCCTTCAACCGACTCAACCTCGAGCTCCCCCCAAACCTCCCATGGTGGCTCCGTTACCACCGCCGCCGCCTGCAGAACCCCCAAAGCCCGAAGAGCAACCCCCAAGCGAGGTCGCTCGCAGCGCGTTCATCCTCCGCAACTTTGATGAAGACCTGATCAAGGATAAGACAACCCAGACGCAGATTCTCTTCGGACGGAGGATGGACCGCCTTGCGAAGCCCGCCCCTCGCCCAGTTTGCGTCATTACCGCTCACCCGGCTCGCTACCGGGACCCCGATACGGGTCTACCTTATTATGACGTTCGTGCATACCGGGAGATTCAAAGACTCCGCCGTGGTGAGTACAAATGGAGCAGTCTTCTCGGCGCCTGGGTCGGCAGTTGTAACTACGCAGCTCGTGGAGTCCCGGAGAGGTTCCTGAAGGGTGACGGCAAACCCAAGCCCAAGCCAAAGGAGAAGGAGGTGGACGTCACCATCGGGGCACCCTCCGAAAAGCAAGAAGGCAAAGAGGACAAGACCGCCTCGCCCCCACAAGAAGGGGGGAAGGAACAGCCGGAAACGGTGGCGGAGAAGCAAACGGTTCCAGCCCCGTCTCCGTCCGCACCGCAGACGCCGCAAGCGCCGCAGGCCGTGGTCCAGACGCCAGCCCAACCTCAGACTCAGGAAGCGAAACCGGCAGCGACCGAACCTACAACGGCCCCTGTAGCCGCTTCGGTCGCGACACCAGTCTGAGTAAGAAGAGACTTTGGTGGTTGTGTCCCTGAATAATGGCGGCGGGAGAACGCCTAAAACCTCAGACGCTCTTTATAGGCTCCTACCGATCAGATCGGAACGAGGGGCCGAAACAGGAACGGGGGGTTTAGGGGGACGTAGGGGAAGTGGAGGGCGGGCAGCCTGTGCATGAAGAAGCTTGTTCGCCCGTTGGTGTTGACGCCCGTAATGAACCGCTCTTGGTCTGTAATCATATCTCTATATCGTATGTAACAATACCCTCAGGGCGCTTCTTCGAAGCCAGCCTCTGACGTCTCGAGAATATCTCGAGCAATACATGTTCTGCCTCACAAGGTCGCCGAACCAATCTCTCTCACGTTCTGGAATTTGCATCAGGTCATCAAACAAGATTACCTACAACGCTAGAATTTCAACCGTTCACCAGCTTCACGAACGTACCCACTCGCAGTACACCCCACCCAAAAGACATCGGGTGCTGCCACACATCGGAGCACTTGGGGCAGAAACGTTAAACGGGGCTCCGGCCGAAGATGTGTCGGCGCCGGAGCTCTCTCTACCATTTCGTCCTGCTGCAAACAATACAGGTATTAAGGGGGTCAGGAACAAACCGGAAGGTGTTAGAGAGGGCGGCCCTGTCCACTGGAAGGGGTGAACTTGCAAAACGAAAGGAAAATAGACGTCGACGGGCACACAGTAGCATGAAAAACGTTAAAAATTGAATTGTCTTGGAAGTGTCGTTGAGGGTGTGCTGGCGTGGTGCGAAGAGTCGAAATATGCTTTCCTTCACAGACGGTACGGATCCTTTCTCATGTTGGGACGTTTTCAATCTTCAGACCAGGCACACTCAGATGAGAAGGCTCTCTGTCGTTGGCCGGCGACCTTAGTCACAGCTCGACCCGTTCGGCCACTCACACCCTTCGTCTCGACTCTCACCACACGCAGCTCAAGTTTTTCTCATTACTCGTGTGCGTACAGTCTATCCCGTGTAAGCATAGTCAGGCACACACACACTCAGTCACATACAACCACACGGGGAGGGCGACGACGAGGAGGGCAAGAAAGGCACCTACACACCACCTTTCCTCCTCCCTGCCCAACCGTAGTTACGTACGCACGCAGCGCACGCACATAACTCACCCACACGTAGACCACCACAGAAGGGGAGAGAGTGCGCGCGCGGGCAGGTTTGCTGCAATACAGACGCATGATTACACTTAGGCTC